TCATTGAAAAGGTTGTTGAAGTTGAGCGTGAACGTGAGCTTCCAGCATTGAGTCTGTCGTCGATCGCCACACAGCAGACAGAACCCGTCTTACCGGCTGTTGAGCGGAGTGTAGACCCAGAACCTGAGCTTCCACAATTGGCTGTATCCTCGGTCTTCTCGCAAGAAACCGAGCCCGTGATGGCTACCCTGCAACGGTCGGCTGAGCCGGAGGTAGCAGCTGCTGTTGAGCGGGAGATTGCCGAGCCCAAGCTTGCAGATTTGAATCTCTCTCTCATTGCGTCGGAAAGCACGGAACCAGCTGCACCGCAGTTGCACGAGATCCCGGTGGTCGAAGCCCCTCAAATATCGCTATCCGAAGTGCACGCGGTGGAGACGAGCCCCGTCAAACATGTTCCGTCGGCAGTTGCGGTGCCCCCGGTCCAGCTGATGGATGAAAACGCGCCACCAAATCACAGCATGCATATGGTCAAGGGTCTCCCTGCTGCTGAACTGCCATTGCTTGTGGTCAACGATGACAGTCCAAGGAAGAATGCAGCCAGTGGTACAAACGGACCGGAGCCAGACTCCACTCTGCCTCTAGGTGCCATCTCTGGCAATGTTGTCCCACGCCACACGCGACAGCGGTCGTCTAGTCGGACGGAACGGGCTGACCAGGGTGCGCAAACAATTCTGTCGTCGAAGCAGATTGACCAGCTGCTCATGGATCGTGTCACCGCCCGGCCACTCTCTCCTCCGGACAGCGACAAAGCCAAGGAACAGAACACCTCACCGTTTGCCACACCCCGAGCACGCACTCGTCCCACTCATCAGTCCTCTCAATCCTCTCTCCCAACCCACCAGCTCAGGCCGGGCAGTTCGCTTAGCCATACGTCAAGCATCCAGAGCCACCCAGCTTTGCCTCACGACCACAAGGAGATGATCATGGCAGCCGAGAAACAATCATTGGATCAACGGCCAGGTTCTCCCACCTTGATGGGCCCTCCTCTTGCGCCAGCTTCCGCTCACAGGACCAACGTGAGCCAGCGCCCGCGGACTCCCAACGAGCAGGGTCTCCGAGTCAGCTCGATGTCCACGACGACCTCCCGAGTCAAGTTGAGAAGCGAGAGCCACAGTCACATCTCACGGCGGTCGTCAGTGTCATCCTTTGCATCTGAGATCGACGAGCGATTCGCTGCGCAGCCCATTGGTCCTCAGGGCTATGCCGCCGGTACAGACCCGAGGATGATCCAGGCTATTACACAAACGATGATTGGCGAGTTTCTGTGGAAGTACACTCGCAAGACTGTCACGGGCGAGGTGTCCAGCACAAGACATCGACGCTACTTCTGGGTTCACCCCTATACACGTACGCTGTACTGGAGTGCGCAGGATCCCCAGACCGCTGGCACGCGTGAACTGAAGACCAAGAGTGTTCCCATCGAGGCTGTTAGAGTCGTGCCTGATGACAACCCTTACCCCCCTGGCCTGCACTGCAGGAGTCTGGAGGTGGTCAGCCCAGGCCGCCGGGTTCGCTTTACAGCAACCACCAGTCAGCGACACGAGACTTGGTTCAACGCCTTGTCGTACCTGCTTCTGCGCAACTCGGCCGAGAATGGCGAAGAACAGGAGGGCAACGCTTCGTTGGAAGACATCGATGAATTCAACCCTGAGTTCCGCTCACGCTCCCGCCAGACCTCAAGACTCTCATTCTCCTCCTCGCGCAGTCGTACTGCACGAAACTGGCCGAAGGAGCGGGCTGGCTCTACCATTTCATCCCGTCGCACCCTAACGCCGGGACGAGGCTCCCCTTCGCTTGCTGCACCGTCATCGTTCACTGAGCAAAGGAACGGCTCTAGCTCGCGGCTCAGCACAATTCTGAACACGACGATCAAGGGCTCGTTTGGTCGCAAGGGTCCGCGCTATGCCAGCTCGAGTGTTCATGAAGGAAGCATACACACCCGTGACAGCCACGATGACTTTCGACATACGATGGAGAGACAAGAAAGCCAGGGGGACCGACTCGAGAACGTGCGAGCGTGCTGTGATGGTAAGTTTTGAATCTGTTTGGTCCCAACTGTCCGCAGCTAATTGGATTAGGCAAACATGATGTCAGTGCCTTGTCCAGGACAAGTAAATATAGCCCGCGGGTGAACCGGATTCATTCCCATCATTAACGCACTTGAGAATTGAGCTGCGTCGATCGGCGGGGCTCTTGCCTGCAGCTGTGGTTTGTTTCTGCACGAGTCTCTTTATCAGCATCCCATTGTTCTCGTACTGGGCAACATGGAGCACTTCTCTGGAGTTTGAATACCTGCACACTGAGCGTCTGGAACTTGCATATGTCCTTAGGTTGTCTACTGGACTTGTCTAATTCCCGCCGGGCCCATCTCGAACCGTAACATCGATTCCAACCCTCTTTGTCTCTCTATATTTACTTTTTTTAATGCTTCGAGAACGGGCCTTGACATGCTTTGGTTCTCTCCCCCTAACCTCCACTCTCGGTGCCCGGATGGCTTTTTGATTTCTCGTCATTCTTTTTTTTTTCTGGTTTTTGTTTGTCTTGCACTCATTGCGCTGCGCGAAGTGTCCCAAGTTGTCCCCGTCGCATGATCAAGAATAACTCCACCTAACTTATATAACCCCATGGACCACATCTACCACCACCCACCCCAACTAGTGACATGTGCTTACTCTATTTTTTTTTCTTATGTGTTGACAGTTGACGGTTGACAAAGTTGACCCGTCCTCTGCATGGCCCAGCGGCTTGAAGCGGTTTCCACCACTTACTCTTCTCACTTTCGCTCATTGGCTCATCATTGAAAGGGGGATGACATACCCAGTATCGGTCTGTTTTGGTTCCTAGTTCACTGGACTGGGCTTTTTGGCGAAGCTGGTGATTGTTCAGGCGGGCTTGATATTGATATTGATATTTTCCCTCTTTATCTGGGCTTATACAATGACAATCGAACTCCACATACTCAAATATGCCTTGGTGGTTGGATCTGGTATCGGGCTGGGGTGTAGGTTCTTTATATCCCGTAACTTGTGTGAATTTGGTGTAGGGCAGTGTTTGGGTGGAGTTGGGGAGAGTGTGTCTGCCTGTATGGTTCAGCCGTGAGCTAAGGTGTAGGGGTCGCATAACAATGAGTATACTCTCACTACTCGGTGAATCTGGTCCACCCCTCCAACTGTATGACTTGCGAATATTGAGGTACTAGTTACTAGTACAGTAGAGCAAGGCACAGCATAGCGGGTCAAGGATCTTAGCATACCATGTAACAATGTATATATATGTCCCAGTTGCGTGGCAAGTTTTTCAAGCTAGTTTAATGCACCGTGACGCTGTTTGATTTCTCCACTGTATCATAATCGCAGCCTATTCAACAAAGGCATAAATAGGGTATCATAATTCTCAAAGTATACATACATCCATACATACATACATACAGTAAGTAGGCAAGTAACGTAAGCACATATAGCCCGCCCACCCCTCCCTTTCCTCCCGGGGTGTGTGTGGTTTAACCATATTGGTTACCTAGAGCATATCCGTTCTCGGGATGTGGACAAAGGCTCGTCCCGGCCGGAGTCACCAGTCCTCCCATCATGTCGCATACAGTACTTCACTTCCCGCTCCTGGACGTCCGATTCTTCCGTTGTGCGGACTTTCTCCCGCACACACGACCATCCATAAAGACGAAAAGCCTTCGCTAAACGGGTTTCACTCGCCCCGCGGGCCAAAACTCAAATAAATCCAGGGCTTCGCGGGTCCAGGGGCCTTGATCGGAGGGGGAGGGGTCCGGGTTTGTTTTGTGGCCCGTGGATGTCGTGCTGGTGAGGGCTGTGGGGTCGGAGTAGGATTTGCGGAGGCTGGTGTGGGTCGTTGGGTTGGGGCTGGATTTGGTGGGGTGGTGGTGGTGCAGATGAAGGGGCCGGTGGGGCTGTGGTCTTGTTGTCGTTGTAGTCGTTGCCGGGGTGGTTGTTGATTCGGGTAGATCGGTTAGCTCATTGAGGATGGCTTGAGTGGAGGTTGAGGGGGCGAAGTCGTGGCTTTTTGGTATAATTGCGGGGGAGGGGGTTGTGCTGGTTGGTTGTAAGGGGGGTACGGAGGGTTTGTTGTTTCTGGATGGTGGTGCTGGTGCTGGTGCTGGTGCTACAGAAGCAGATGACGCTGGCTTGACGATCTGTCCACCGCCGGGGAGTAAGGCCGAGTACATCAGCTTCTTGCGGGGTTTGCTGGTGGAGAGTCGGAGGAGCACGGGCGGTTCGTCTGGTTTGGGAGGGCATGGCTGCGGTGGTGGAATGCCACTGCCGCTGCGCGATTGCAGCTGAGGATTGCTGTGCTGTTTGGATGCTTGCAGCTGAGGATTACTGGTAACCCCGCGCGATGCTTGTACCTGTGAGGTACCGCTCTCACCCTCCCGGGAGACCTCACCAGCATCGTTCCTCGCCGATGCATCGTGGAGCTGCGGTCGGGCCGGCTTAGACGCAGCGGAAGTGGTCGACGAGCCCGTCAAATCAATGACCGCCGATAACCGGGGCTGAGCCGGTCGACGAGAGGGAAGCTTGCCCTGCGCCTGCGCCTGCTGCTGCTGCTGCGCCTCCACCCTCGGTCGTTTCGCCGCGCGCGTAGCGGACATTTCCCCATCGCGACCATGTACATTCCACGTCGCCGCAGTCCCCGCACCAAGTGTCTTCCGAATCCCCAGTAAATCATTCAACGAGCGCATCGACAGCTGAGACCCATTCCCTGAGTGCACCCCCGATACAGAACGAACAGTATCCCTAGACCTCAAAGGCGACGGCGACGCAGCGACAACCCCTTGCCTGCCCCTCCCTAAACCCTGACCCTGACCCAGACCCAGACCCAGACCTCCCCCCTCCCCCACAGAGACCCCCTGCCCCGCCGCAGAAGATCCTCCAGCAGCAGGAAGAATCCCACTCAAATCCGTCTCCGACCTCCCCACCGCCTCACAAACCTGCACCAACACGCCGCGATCCAACTCAACCTCATCCCCCTCCTGGGGGGCCTCCTCCTGCCGCCAATGCAGATCCCCGATGAAGTTCCCGCTCGTGTCGTAGGCCATGATCCGTTTGTTGAAGGTGTGGTAGCGCAGGTACCCGTCTTGCCAGCGTTTGGCCTTTCGGCGGGTGTCGTGCGTGAAGAGGCAGCGGTGTTTGATCACGGGGGCGGTGTTTTGGGTTAGAGGGGTTGCGAATGTTGCTTGGGTGGAGGAGGTGGCGGCGGAGGAGTGGTGGTAGGGGGTTGAGGGGGTGGAGTGGTAGGTCATTTTGCGGTCTTTTGGTGTGGTATTGTGATGTGGTGGTGGTGGGATGGTGTATGGATGGGCGTAGTTATCGATCGGGGTTCGCGTGGGGGAGGTTTCTCGGTGCTGAGCGCTGCTGTATTCGGATGTTGTTGCTGTGTCTGTATCGCTCAGCGAAAGGGCTGTCAGGGTTGAGAGCCCTTGTTGGAGGGACCATTGGATGAGTCCGGTCGCAGTCGAGCGTGATGATGATTTCGTGGAGGTCTTGGATCTGGATTGTTGTAAGTTGGAGAAGCCGAGCGGAGAAAAGATCGGGAGATCCCCGGCGGCAGGCCGCGGTTCGCCTGAGGCCATCACTCCCGTCTACTGTAACTTACTCTATCAGTTGTACTCCGTAGTTACATTCATAATTTCGCACTTCATACTCCGTACTCGTCTCGTGCCATTATTTTGATTAACCATCGTATGCTGTCTGAAACGCTAAACTCCGCACTATTACTCAGACTCTGCAGTGTCGCTATGATGACTACTTGATACCCCGGTCACTCCACGTAGTTAGCCGGGAAACTCCCCTTCACCCCTCTCAGCTCCCCCTCCCACCAGTCATCCGTACTCTCCGTCTTCTTCAGCACACGAATCCGGTCGCCCTCGCGAAAAGACAAATCCCCCGCCCCTTGCCCCCCGAAATCATACAGCGCCGTCACGAACAGCGCGTTCTGCGAGTTCATCCGGGGCGGCGGCGGCGGTGGCGGTGGCTTCTTCTTGCCCGCCAGCAGCGTACTCGTTCCCGGGGACACTGCTGCACGGGATGGGGACGGAGATGGCTGTCGGTTGTTGCTGTTGGAGCGGCTGAAATGGTTCCCACGAGACGCGATGGACGATAAGCCGGGGGAGACACCGGCCGCGGCAGGAGACAGGGTGGATGCTGATACATTAGGCGAGAGCCGGCCATGGCTGTCAGACCGACTATAGTAGTCGGCTCGAGCCGCCACGGAAGAGAGCCCCGGGGACACTGCCGCCGCAGCAGAGGCTGCTGGCGACGTATACTGGTGGTTGTTGTTGTTGTTGTTGCTGTTGCGACTGAAGTAGTCCGCTCGAGCTGCGACGGAAGACACACCCGGAGACGGAGAGTGGATGGATTCAGCAGCGGAGACGTAGGATTCAGCTGCAGGGGACGAGGCGGATGTCGCGGGGACAGAGGCTTGCGGCGAGAGGTGCTGGCTCGAGCTCGAAAGGAGGTTCAGAGAGGACGTGGATGCGGCTGCCGACAGCTGCGGTTTTGGTCGGGGTATCGGTTTCGGCTTTGTTTCGAGATTCGGCCGGGGCTTGGTGTCGTAGGCCGGCGGCGGTGGCATAGGCGGGAGCTTAGACTGAGCTGCTGGCGGCGCTGGCGGCGGGAGTTTGCGCGGCATAGCTGCAGGATTCGGCGACACCGGCCGTGGGGGCTTCGGTGGCGGCGTGTCTTCGTGAGCGCCCGGTGACCGGCAGTAGCTGGATACTACGTTCACCGGGCGACTGATAAAACTATGACCGTTGCGCGGGTGCTCGTCCACCGGGGACATGCGAACGGTCCTACCATTGGCGATGCTAGCGAAATTCTCAACTTCCTGCTGAACGGGCAGATGTGCGCGCTCCCAGTCCTCCACGATATGTTCCATCGGCGGTGCGGGGACCGGGAATTGTTCGTCCTGGCTGTACTCCAGCACCACGGTGTAGTACCGGGCCAACATGGTGTTTTGCAGCTCGATCTGCGCGGCCAGCAGACGGGGGAGCAGGGAGAACGCTGCAGCAATCAGCGGCGGAAGGCAGTGGCGGAGGTGTTCGTCGGCAGCGTTATAATCCTGCGCTGGTCAGTCCACGTCGCATGGAGGGCCGGAAGAGTCCCCTACCTCGACTGCTCTCGCCAAGTCACTCTCAGCCTTGACCAGGGCTGCATTGTCACGATCCGATCGCTTCGTTTTCTTGGTATAGTTGTCCACACGACCTTGGTAGCGCTCATAGTCCAGCTACCCCGAAAATTGAATCAGCACAGCCGGACCGATATGACAAAAAAAAGACACACCTTGCGATCATCGCGTTTCTTGATCGTTTTCTTCATCGGAATCAGGTACTCTCGAGCCTGGGTTGCGGGCTGGATCATGCGCTCGTCCACCGCGGCAATGTCGGCCAGGATCTCTCGCCGGAGCTCCTCGTATTGCTCCCGAAGCTTATCTGTCCGCGCCAATGTCTCTTGCGGAGTCGGAACAGCTTTCTGGCCGGTCGAAGAGTCGGACGATCCAAGGATGGGAGCATACAGGGAATTGAATTCGCTCAGCATACGGTTCTGGTGGATGAGCAGTGAGGACCAAGCATCGCGCCATGCGCTGGTGAATTCGATGATCTGAGGGAGCAGCCGAACGTTAGTTGGAGACTGTGGGGAGAAGTACTGGGTAAGTAGTGTAGTTCAACGGTGTTTACATACTCGGCCTAATAGCTTGTCCGCTTCCTCAAAGTCTTTGAGAAGAATCGCAACCTGGCTTTCGTCGGCGGAGCGCTTCATGAAGCGGCCAATCTGCCTTTGCATCGACTGCATGGTGCCGCGTGGCCCCTCGGAGGAGCAAAGAGGGGATCGAATCGAGGGGATGAAGGGAAGGTTCACTAAACAGCCATGGGTGGGGGACCACAAGCATAAGAAGATTAAGGTCACTGTTGCTTTAATTGAAGCAGTGAATAAGAAAGGAGAAGAGAAAAAAAGAAAAGAAAAGAGAAAGAGACTAATAGGCCAGCTAGACAGAGAGGAACAGCACACAGAGAAAGAGAGAGGGAGGGAGGGAGAAAGAGAGAGATGACGCAGCCTTGGAAAGTGAGTGGTGGTGTTTATGTTTCAGCCTGGCTGGGCTGGCCATTGTCCATTTCGGGTGGCTTTGGCCCGCCGCTACGGCGTACACAGTAAAACAAATTCCTCCCCCTGTCTCGAACTTACTCTCCATCTTTAAAACACGAATCCTGAGCCAATTTACAAATATATACTGTTCATGACACTGATCGCTACTGATCGCTACTGATCGCCACTAATTATCCATACTCACCCTAAACAAATGCTTCTTATCTAAGGAGGAGTCGATAGTAACGTTAGTTAAGCCGCGCCAGATGATGGACACCAGTGGTAGCAAGTTTACATCCTGTCAGCATCCAAAGCCCTACATAACTATATGAAAGCCCCCACAGCCCCGCTGTCAGTCCCGTCCGCGCCAGCCTGGCGTCGTCGGCTCTCCAAGAACATCTCCACCATACGCTTGCTCGATATCGGCGAACACGAGTTCGGCGATGAACCATCCTGGCCCTTGATCTCGTACTCCTCAGCTTTCACATTTTCCTTGGTCAGTCGCTGATGGTCGCGATACCCCCGACCCGATCGACTATGCAGGGACCTGACGTCCCGCGACACAGTGGGGCCGCGGGCCGGATGTCTGCCGTACGTGGCACTTGCCATCTTCTGAGAGAAGCCACCAGCTTTGTCTCTTCGGGGAGTTGGCGATTCGGGCATGCGGAAGCGGTTTGCTGAGATGTAGCGCATCGGTGAAGAGGCGAAATCCCTTCGAGACTCGACTGGACTATGGAAGGGGTCATGGTGGAGTAAACTGTGGCTGGAGCATGGAGACGGTGGCCTAGCAGGCGGCGGCGGAACTACTGGCTCGTCTGCTTGCTCTTTCTGCATAGTCACGACTGTTCGGGCACTCGACGATCGACTGAAGGGCCGTGAGAAATTGCTGGTCGAAGAAATCTTGCGATTCGACCACATCTCGTCATCGATGAAAACACCGCCATCGAATTTCTCCACCAAGCCATAGGAACCCTGGCAGAAGTCATCCTCATCGCTGTAGATCTGCGCGTGCTCGCGATAATGAGATTGAAGGGGCTTGATGTTCTCAATCTTTGCGATCTCCGTGTGCATCCATTGCTTCCAATCCGTGCTGGGCCGAACGGGTGCTCGGTCTGCTTGAGTTTGCGAATGATGCTTTGGTGAGCTGTAAGTAGTTCGTTGAGTGTCGTAAATCGTAGCTGTTCCCGGCTCGTCTGGGATATCCTTTGCATCGAGTGATTTGCCGCCGGTGGATCGAGAATATACACTGGGGGAGTTGGATACGGCCGCTGGACTTTGCTGGTCGGGAGTTCCTGGGCGCCGGACGAGCCCTTCGATAAACTTGTTCATGCCAGGACCTGCAGTGCCCTTGTCACAAGAAATACCAGACATGCTCAATCGATTCCTGTCAGAGCAGGGGCTCTCTGGGAAGCAATATGCCAAGGGCTGCGAGAACCGCTGAGGCGTCACCGTACCGGCATTTGCAGTAATGAAGGATTGGGTAGACGGAATGGACTCGTCGCTGGGGATCTTACGGACTGTTTGCCCATGATGACGCACAGCTACTGAAGCAGCAGGTGTTGGAACGATATGATGCGCTTTGACATGACCAAGTGCAATGCTTGCGCTTGTCTCTGGTGCTCTGCCTTCACCGATTCTTCTCATCAGAGCGGAATACAATCGTTGGCTGTCAATCTGGCCGGTTGGTCTCAGAGGCCGAGCGGCGACTGGACTGTTCTCGTAGGAAGGAATTTCTGTGAGGGTTTGCTCCGAATGGGCTCTTTCTTCAATCACTGACAAGTGGCTTCGACCACCAAGGTTGCCCGTCACGATAGTGTTTGCAGTTGTTGAGTCTGCCCAGCTTGTCACGCGAGAGCGGCTAGTAGCCAAGCTTTCTGAGCTTTCCGTGACCCCAGCTGTTGGGTATTGTTGAGTGCGAGAGGTGGCTTCATGACGAGTCGTATTCGGGGTGTGTGGGCTATCGTTTGGTTTGTGACTATTCGTCTGTGTCTTGTGCTGAGAGGATGGAGATGCTCCTCGCCCTTCCATCCCACCCGCAGATGGCCTTGCAAGACCCAGCACTCTTTTAATCCCTTTCTTGATCGACGACGACAAAGATCTCACTTTTCCGTGATGGCCCGACGGGGAGCCAGTAGCACCCGCAGCCGATGTGTGTGAACGGAGCGTTTTTCTGAATGGCCTGTGCTCTCGTCGAGTCTTGGGGACAGACAGACACGGTTGTTCCGTTTGGGGAGAACTCTCGGCTGATTGCTGTTGAAACTGAATGAGAGCCAAGTCGATCGCGGTTTCATGACTCTGCACATGTCGTAACGGGCCAGCTGCCGACTTTTCCCCGCGGAGGAAAGACATTGAACGCCGCAGGTTGCGATAAGTGCGCGGGGATTGGTCGCTCCTAGCGATCGAAGCATCGTTTGCAGGGGAAGAGGCTCCGTGAGAGGTGCGAGAAGAACGCTGCCCCGTAGAGAACATGGACCGCGACTTGCGCAGACGCCTATAGGACGAAGCAGGAAAACAGCCATGGCTGTCGAGTCCTTGGAACTCATTTATGGACGGAAGAGCGGCGGACGCGTAGTCCTCGTCGTGTGTGCTGGAGTCGGTGGTGGTCAAGGGGCGAGAGGATCCTGCGGTGGATTGTGACCCCGTGTATCGATGTCTTCTCGACGGGACTGCCATATTCCCCGGGCCGCCGAGAGCGTCGTAGGAACACTTGGAGCGCAACATGGCGAGCGAGGCAGCAGTGGTGGCATGTTGCCTGGTCATCTCAGGATCGGGGGTGTCGCTGGCGACGGAGCTGTGATGGCTTCTGCGGACGGAGCGCGCAGACTTGGATCTTCGCAGACGGTCCATGTTGCCAGAGACTAAGCTGCAGAGTATTTATGTCGCGGACATATGATAGAAGTAGTAGCTAAGTGATATCTGCGATGGAAGAGCAACGCCCCGGGGGCAGCGACTGTATGGCGTGGGCGCCATTGTTGCGGAGGAAGGGACGTTTGGGTGATTGCCTTGAGTCGAGTTGAGTTGCTGTGCGGGCTGTGGCTTCCTTGGTTAACTTATGGTATAGTATAGAAATCGGCAGGAATCATATCTTCCCGCCAGACTGGCACTAACTACTAGGTAGTTTTAACAGAGTTGAGATAGCGATCAGGTCCTGCAATTGACCCAAGGACATAATCCAGTCTGTAACCCAGAGAGATAGAAGTACTTACTCTACATCATATCCCTCATGAGATACAGTTGTCAAGAAGATACATATTAGCCAGTTCAAATCTCTCATATCATATCTTTTTTGCCCGGATGTCTAGAACCAATCCCCTCCCCACCGCTCCTCGACCGGTCTGGACCCTCCCTTACCATACACAGTACACTACTAACCCTTCACCCTTTCAGTCCATACGCTCAGGTCATATTCCAGATCACCATCCTAATTTCCAGTCCTCCTATACTAATATATTATATCCTACATATATCCAGTAGCCCACATCCATGATGAAATACGACCGCGAATACCCAAATCAGCAGTTATAAGTCTACAGTTCCCCTAAACTGTAGAGATATACATAGTAGGTAGTATGTAAATGCACATCCGCATTAAGCAATACCTTCAGTCACCCATTACCCGAAATATATCCAACACAAAAACATCCCCTTGGTTCTAGATCCATCCATCCAGAGCCCCTCCATCCCGCACCCTGACTGCCGTGCAGTAGGCACAGTACAATACTGTTATGCCAACGCGAAGCAGATCATCCGCTGCCAACCTGGAGCACCAGCGGCAGCGATCACCGATACGAGCATTCATCCGTACCATCAGGCTGGAGAGTAGTAAAGTTCAAGTGGGGAGAAGGAGATCTGTGCATTTACCCGCCAGCCACACAGCCCCTACTTAGCGCCTACTGCAACATAATAGTTACAGTGAATTACGGTAGTCAGCTACGTACGAGGGCGTTGGTGGCGTTGGTGGCTGCGGCTGCTGGCACGGACGGCGTCGAGTGACGTGCTAGGCTGTGAAGTGCATGGTGCAGCGGTGAGGGGGTACTGTATTAACAAGTTATTTTATACCGAGCTCTGATGAGCCGAGGCTATTCTCCTACTGTACGTTACTGTAGTTAGCTGGGAGAGTGCACTTCGTACGAAGTACACCATCCTCCAGCGAAGAACCCCAAGAAGAAGTGTCCACTCTGCCCATCAACCAGACCAACGATGTCCCACTGCCAGACAAAACACCTCAAAGAAGAGTGAGATCATCACATCATCAAATCGAACCTCCAGCATGTACTGCACTGTACAGTATATAGCACAATCCGAAAGCGGGAGTAAGCGGAAACCAAGTGAGGGGAAGTCGGACGGCAGTAAGCACCCCGCGTAGATCAATGCAACGAGCAGAAATCTGTGTCTTTGACATTCCCTCAAGACTTGGCTGCAGCCTAGTTGTCCGGCAGTACGGCGTACACAGTACTAAAAGAAGGTCGAATCTTTGTCGTGGGCTGTGGTCAGAGGGTGCCAAGCCCATGCAGGGATTGAGTCGTCGTTATAAGTATACGAAGTATAAGTTATAGGGATACTTAGTAGTAAACAACATAACTAGGTATAACATGATATGCTAGGCTGACACGGACTTAGGCAGTACAATTCTATACTATTCCAAGCCACTGTAGAGTCGGTGAGGACGGTAGAACCATCAACTTCCGTCCGTGCTGACTCTGACTCTGACGCTGACTCTCTAACACGGGTGACCGGAAGGACAAGGCCAGGCAAGGTCAGCGAGGCGGACAGCCTGGGCCACTGCAAAAGTCATGGCAAGGCCAAAGACAAGCTGCAACGGTCGCGGGCAATGCCGAGGAAGGGGGGAGGGGGATGTGCGCAGTGGGCACACACGCATGAAGCAAATGACGCGGATGACGGATGGTGAAGACGCACGGATGGCATTCGGGGACTGCCAGTTGCACTGCACTCCACTGTAACCAACAACTCTGGAGTAATTCACTGACTACTTACTAAGTAGTTACTACGTGTACTGACTAACTAATGATGATCCATAACTAACGAATCCAAACCTACTCCGTAAAGCAGTCCTTCTGCAGGTTTCTGGCCGAGTGTCAGTCACATGGACCTTCGCAAGGTACAGTACCACCAAACCACCAGCCTCAGTGGTGAGACGCAAAGCGCATCCCGCATCGCATCACGGACTCCCAGACCAGAAAGAGATCAGCTGTTCAGAACAAGAAACAGGGTTCGAGGGCAGATCCCGAGACAGGCATCGGGGAGCCGGAGATCGAGAAGAAATTCCTTTTGGGTGTCACTGCACCTTCCCATACCTTACCGAGTTCCTCCGCCACTACTGCCTAGTAAGTAGTTATACATCTCCGGGCATTTCATAGGTTCTTTCGTAACAGGAACTCCGCGAGCTCTTGGTTCAAAGCGGCTACCTACTTCGAGCACAGAATTCATCATAAGATAATCAGAAGAAAGAGAAATAGGGTATATTCAGATGTGACAAACAAAAAAGAAAAAAAAAAAAGAAAAAGAAAAGACCTTCGATCGTACAGGTAGGCCGAATTGGGTATGAGTAAAATCGACCGACGCATATTACAACAAAGAAATAGCAGGGGCATGACAAAGAGTAAGATTACAAGCCGATGTCGAAAGGAAGTCGTGGGTTGACCACGCACAAAGGAATGAGTGTGTGAGAGAGAGAGAGAATAAAAAGAGGGATGTCAAGGATAGTAAGAAGAGAAAAAACCAAAAAAAAAAAAAAATTCCACCTGCACCCACTGCCCGCCCGCAGCAGAGATTCCCAGTTGCGTGCGCGCCGGTGATTTTCTTTCTTCGCACCATTCTGGGCATTGGCTCATTGACTGATAATCAGGCCGACCATAACTGTCGCCGCTGTGGTCCCCTTCCTGGATTGCTCGAACAGCCGTAGTAGAGCAACCCAGAAAAATCTCAGCAGACCCGATGCTGTAATCCAGGATGGCCTATGCGAAGCACAATCCCAAGAGTCATGTCGCATGCGTGTATGTTCGCATTATTCCCACAGCCGAGAATGGTTCGGAGATGGCGAAACGACGTTGGTGTAAGAAGGCGAGCGCAGAGTGAAGTGAAGAAACGTCCGGCCGCGAAATTTCTCGGTCGAACCGCGACAAAGCCGCCCTCGCAGGGGTATCAACCCGAAGAGCATCGATCACCAAACTCCCACAAATGCAGTCCCGTCCGAGCACATGATTAAGAAGGGAAAAAAAAGAGTCAAGGAAAAGTGGACGAGAAAAGAGCACAAGGGCCTCCGGAATCGGTCCCAGCCGGCAGGACCCCTGCCATTCTATCGATTGAGATCCCAGAGATTCATTGCGCCCGGCTCGTCATGCGGTAGCCGTCAGGTCGTTCATCATGCGCAGCGGTCGATAATCTCCTTGTATGGCGAATCATTCAGGATCTCGGACGGCAGGGCTCGACGGTAATCTCTGGGTTGAGCGAAGGGAGATGTCGACCGAGGGTGACGGAGCTTCAGTTGCTGTACATCTCGCGAGTCAGTATTCGGTAACAGTAGAAGGAAGTACTGGAAGTAAGCTTCGCGGGGCGGACATACCACACAGTCGGGGCATTTGCCGCCATTAATGTTCACACGGCCACGACAGCCACGAGGATAGTTGGCACAGGAGAACATTGTGGATAATCGAGTCGACTATTTAGTTGAATGAGAGGAAGAGTAGGATGTGGTGATGGTTGGAAGACGGTCACGACTGATGATTTGCAGGTTGGAGCTGAATGAATTCCCGTCAAGGGAGCTTTCTAGGGCTGGGGATTTGGTGACTTGAAGCGGAACCAAGCCAAGTTAAAAGGAAACCCCAGAAAAAAAAAATTCCAGAAGATCCGAAAAAGAAAGACAAAAAAAAATAGTCCAGAAAAGTAAGGGCAGTTATAGACAATAATAATCTTAGGGCCCAAAGGAAATTAGCTCCAATTCCCACGCCACGGGGCAATTACGTCAAGATCGCAAGGCCGTTGTCCTGCAGCGACACCCAGCAAGGGGGGGGGTGGTCGATTGGGAGTGGTTTTGGTGGAAAAGGAATCGCAGGCGCCGCGCCGGGGGTCCGTTGAGGTTCTAGCGCTGAGGTTGGGCTGCGCCACTAAAGTGGGTGGTGGTGGGATGGGGCGAAAGAGAGACAAAAAATGATAAAATAGGAATAAAAATGGACAAAAATAAATCGGGATGTCGGCGACCAGGTCAAATGCAACCGTAAAGGAATGAAGGAAGGGATGAAAGAAGGAGACCAAAATTGAACGATCAACGATCAATAATTATCACACCGTGAAGAAACTGAATCGAAGTGAGGAATCTCGTGCGAGAGACAAGAGAGAGAGAGAGAGAGAGAGAGAGAGAGAGAGAGGGACTAAAAGAAAAATCAAGGTATTTTATTGCAGCGATAGGGATCTCAATGATTTATATCCGTTGTGGATGGAGAAACGGGAGATCTAGTGTCAAGATGTGAAACGAGCCTGAGAAGTTTAGGACTTTAGGGAACTCAGGCGGGTTGTACGGAGTGCACAGTAGATACACACCAGTTTACATACACAGTCGTAGGCGAGAGTCCCGTCGGACGGTTAGTTAGGCATTAATGACAATCAAATCACCGCAATTGCAACTACAATATAAAGTATGCTTTGCGAATGGTCATCACAGTCCCAGCCAGGGAGATTAATTTTGGGTTCCATGCCTTCTAGTCTAACGGGCCACGGGACGGGGAGGGGGCTGTTGATGGAGCCCGGACTGTATAGAATATTTATTCTGATGCAGTCAGTCGTCGAATGAGAGCCTCCGGTGGCACGGTTGTACGAATCGACCTTTCAAACTTGACTGCTTGGTACCTGACTTGGTGCCAATGACAAGTGTGTGGCGAGGTGAGGGGAGCTACATGGGTACAACAGGCAAATCATCATTGATCCAGCTCAGTCGTAACAAGTACCTAACCCTTCGCTTGAGATCCTAAGCATCGTCGATGAGGTTCATTGGGCGGTAGACGGCAGCCGGAGTCTCAACAGTGGATTCCGTGTTTCTCGGTTGGAGGTTCGATAACGATCCAGAAGGGAAACCAAAGAGGAAGGGGACGGGAAGAGAGACCCAAGCAAGAGCAAAAATTCGATTGATTACTACCTACTGACTATGATCTGATACTTTTCCATAAGAGTTCTCAGACGTGCCTCACATTCTGCCCCATGTAACAGCTTTTAACTACTGTTGGAGGAAGAATGACTCGCAGACGAGTCTTTTGGCCCCTGACTGACTTCAACGGGTTGCCTTACCAGCTACTTAGTCGGGAAAGGGGAGAAAAAGAAGAAGAAGAAGAAGAAGAAGAAGAAGAAGAAGAAGAAGAAGAAGAGAGACATGATTGCAGGGCGGCGTGGACCCTACCCTGTTAGAACAAACAACAAATATTTTCGTTCTTTTTTGTCCCCTTCAACTTGACTTTCAACAGTCAACATGCAGATAACTTAGTTGTAGTTAGTGAAAACTGGCAGAGTAAGCGGACGACAGCGTCATTGGGTAAAAGGCCATCGACCAGCCGTCATGCATCGTCGTCAAGGAGTTTCGAATTGATGAGGGCTAATAGAGCCGTAGCTTCAGAGTCTGGATCTTGGGCCGAACCGTCGCACCAAAAGGTCGAAGTATCCACACTTTCTGGAACGTCGACTAAGCTTCCCTTCTCCTTTTTTTTTTTTTTTTTTTTCTTCTCTCTCTCTTCTCTTGCTTCAATCTCTTTGCTCTCTTTTTTTCCCCCACCTAATCCACCCCTCTCCCCCCATTTTTTTTTCTTTTTCTTCTTTTTTTTTTTGTTTCCCCCCTCTCTTGCTGTCCAACTTTTCCCTTTTCCCTTTTTTGTCTCTCCCATTTTTGCCCCCCTTGGGTCTAGTCCCCCTTGGCCCGGGGTTGCATGTCTGGTCCGCACCAAGTCGGCTGTCGGAAAACACGGGATATGCCACTCCATTGACAAAAAGGTGTGTCCTGTTTGTTGAAGATCCCTGCATGACATTAATGACGGGCTACTCTGATTGAGCGAGTCGGAGATAGCGGTAGATGGTCGGTTAGGTAGGTAGTTAAGAGATGACACCGGAGCTTTGTCGTTTTTCATGGTTGAGATTGATTGGATTGGAATCGGACAGTCACATCGGCAGTTCATCTTCCTCCTCCTCTTCTGTAGGGTGTATGTATGTCTTCCGGCCTGTCCGTTCAGCCAAGCCAAGCCAAGCCAAGATGATGCTGACTGCAGAAGATACCTTACCTATCTTTGACGGGTTAAACCATGGTATGGTCGTTCAGATTCGTTCAACCGTGAGTAACCGCGGTCTCAGTCGGCGACTCGGTGGTGAGGATTGGCAAAAAGTGGAAGTGGAACAGTCAGCGCCGCCCGCCGTCACTTCAAGCCCGTAATTCCGACCAGGAATTAATCCTGGTCAATCGGTAGAATTGACTGCATGACTGCATGAGACTAATACTTAAGGTCATCCAAGCCTCCAAGCCTCCCCCAAGCCTTGAAGGACAGTCTTCGACGAAAGAGGCTGCAGGGATTATATTGTGACTGTGATTGGCCTCTGCGAAGGTCCCGAGCCTCATTGTTGCTTCATCCCGAGGCACAAACTTACAGCAACTCAACATGGATAATGACACTCAATTCTACGAAGGTCGAACGAACATTCCGGTGAGAAGGTCCAGAACTTTCGATTTGCGGACCATATCAACGATGATTAAGTCACTTGACCCCCAAGCCCAACCAAATCATGTGCCACACAACATTTGACAGACAGACACCTCTTTCCCTACCGCGTACAGTAGTTGTTCCATGGGATCATCATCGATGGCGGGCCTTGCGCAGTGCTACAGTGCCTGAACGGTGATGGGCAGTCCATGCTTGGGCTGGATGTCACAATCACAGTCCCTCATTCCCGACCATCGTTCGTTCCAGAACGATCTCTTTATTTATTGGAGGCTTCCCGATCTGCACTTTTGACATACAACATCCACCCACCCATACACATCCTAAGTTACATACCTTGCCACATCATCCCGGCATTCCACATCCTCTCCTTTTTTTTTGTTGCTTGAGAACTAGTAGATGTAAATTTTCTCAAGCTCACCGCAATTCGGCAAGTCTTACCGTTCAGGCCCAGGGTCCGGGTTTAGCTACCGACCCTGTAAATTTCCAAGGTACGGACGGAGTCGAGGTACAGTAGCCAGCTTGCAGCTCAGCGAACCGGGGGCATATGCATTGGGTATGATGATGATTAGGTATTTTCCCGGTTAGTTCTTTCAATTCTCAAGCCAGCTCGTCACTTCCAACCGCCACCATGACGATCTCGTCAAAAAAGGGATCGCCGTCGTACGATGGCCCTCCATCAATTGAAGAAAAACTACTTAATTTTCCGTTAATCAATCAACCATTGATTAAAAATCAAATTATCAAATTATCAATCAACCACCAGCAAATCAACCTCCAAGCCCTGTCGCTGAAGCTGTTGGAAAATGGAATTGATCACGGCTAATTAATCCCGATTGCGCGTAGACCAGACTCATTAAAACTACCCGTTCAGGAAAATGCAGATAGGGTCAAATTTCGCTTCCCAACTTGGTTTCCTGTACTACTCCCGAAGTCCATTTGCTGGTAAGACTTTTGTTGTGTTGTGTTGTAGTATTGAGTCATCGTAAGCGACTGCCCACTGTCCCTGCTTCCTAGTAGAGTTACTGCGCTTTGCCTTGTCGGTGTCCACTGATGAAGGGAGGGCGGGGCCCTGGGATCCGATAGAGATCCTGTAGTTAGACCAGACCCTTTGCTATTGTCGGTGTCAAGTAACTAAGCAGTCCCTGGGTCTCTGGTTTGGTTTGTACCCTGTAAGCCTTCAAGGTAACTAACTACCTGACACTTACTTTGTTAACACTCAGTTAATCTTCTTCGGATGTGTATATATTATGTAATATGTACAATTAACTAAGTTACCTCACTACCTAGGTAACTAGTAGTTAGTAGGTGCAGTATGTACACTGCCCGCCTGCTTGGCCTGCTGCCTCTGTTCCGTACTGTATCTCTCCTCCAATAGATATTCCTGCATGCTATGCGTCCATTCACTACTTCGAATCTGCTACCTGTCTTACCCAGTAGGAAGGTCAACTCAAAAAGAAAGTCTGTAATAGGCTCGAGAATCACTTCTGATGTCTACAGTATGTGTCTGCAGTAGTCAGTCAAACTGAAAAAGAGAGAGCTTATCGAAATTGCAAGTGCTCCTCCTCCCACTGCCCCAACTACTCAGTTAAACCACAACTGCGCTCCACTCTCCACCGTCGAGGCTAAATCTCAGCCCGTCGCCGATTTCTCAAACCCCCCGGCCGAACTCGTTAGGTTTTAACTTATTTTTTTTTTTTTTTGTTTCTGTAACGGTTCCGCTCCGGGTCCGTGTCTCGCTTTTTGTTACTTCTTTTTTTTCCGTGTTGATGGTCATGTGATGGATGGGATGGTTGTACAGAGTCACAGAGTGTGCATCATGACTACTCCGTACCTTACGGTATTAAGTGATTTATCTTCCCGCTAAACAAGGTGAACCCAACGGAAGAATGAGGCCGTCTCAGCTCGGAATGACCGTGGATTTCCCAAATCTTACTCAGATCTTAGTCTAACTAACTGACTGACCGACGGATGGCTGGCTGCGCTGACCTCCTGGTTTGTTTGAGCCGCGATGCGACGATTGCCTGTCTGTGCTGTGCTGCTGCTGTGCTCTTCTGCGATGGGTGTGACGGTCCACCCGGTCTAGATCGATGGGGATTTTTTTTTTCTGTCTGTTCACCTGACCTGACTGACCACTCGCGGATACCTAGCCCTGCTGCATCGGGACTAGAAGCGCAATGGGCAGCTTCTAGAGCGAGGAGGTTGTGTGTGTGTGTGTGTGTGTGTGTGTGTGTGTGTGTGTGTGTGTGTGTGTGTGTGCATCGTGCATCGGATCTCCATGGATGATGTGCGCGCGACATCGGCGATCTTGTGCGGCCCACTCGACTCGACTCGACTCACTCGAGACTGAACTCGGTCGGTCGGGCAGAGAGCAGGATCTAACTAAATGTCTTGTCTCGTGTTGCGGGCAGAGAAATAACCAAACTAGCTGAGACTGACTTCCTACGGCCGAAAAATAGGTTGCCAATCTCGCCGGACACAGAGTCCATTGTTTGAGCGTGAAACTCGAACGAACGGTCGCGGGGGTGCTTTTTTTTTTCTTTTCGAGGAACAGCTCTGAACCTGAACGGTACACTACACGGATTCGCTCCCGTTCGTTTGTCTCGGCGGCTGGATCGAAGATCAGTCTTCCCCTGGGCCTCGACTTATCCCCCCTCCGCCCGATTGACATGGGGCAGGGCTCCGCGCAGGGAGAGCGGTGTTTCGAGTTGCAGTTTCTGAGTTTCTCTTCGAGACTAAGCCTGCGACGACGCTGACGCCTTAGTCAGGCGTTCACCAGGGAGCGAAGCACGAGCCAGGCACCGCAAAGCCCAACCACCGTGGCCAACAAGACCCCATTGCCCTCCCAGGTCAGCCCGAGATACGCGACGCAGCCCACCACCAGCTCCTTTCTCCGCGCCGCATCTCGTCTACGCGCCCATTCCGGGTCGATCGGGAACGGGGCCGCCGGCAGCTGGGCTTGGGCCAGCGCGTCCGTCTGTCGCATTGGCCGGGCCGGCACGGAGACCGTGAGCGCGACGGCACGATGGTCAGAGGTGGCGAACAGCGGCAGCGCATCGTACCTCAACGGCCGGACGGGCTGGTCGGGCTGGTCCAGGTATAGCACACGGTCACACCAGCTGGGCCATCGGGTCCCTGTCCACTGCCATTCCTGCGACAATCCCTCGTCGCCCGCCGCCGCCGTCGCCTTGCTCACGGCGTGACGGGCCGCCAGGCTGTACTTGTACGTCGGGGGAAATCTGATCGGCGCCTCTGACAGTCCGTGGAAGCACCGCGACTCGCCCATCTCCCGACTCAGCTGATCCTCCTGCAGCAGATGGGAGTAATGGCGGGGGTCCGACGTCTCTACATTGACCCGCGGGAATCTGCTCGCTCGATCACCCGGACGCGGCGGTCTGTCCGCCGTCCGGTAATTGAGGTCTCCAGCCAGAAAGAGGTAGCTTGTAGGGACGTAGACGCCCCGGCGATTTGTTTGTTGTTGTTGTTGTTGCCCGACCGGCGCAGCCGTTGTAGAGTCCCGTGAGAGCAGGGGTGCACTCTCCTCCAATCCACCCTCGTCTGCCTCTGTCCCGCCAGACCCTTCCCAGCCCACATCACCAGCATCGACAGGCCGACCGTCCTGACGCTCAAAGACCAGTCGCTCGACCAGACTGCGCCAGTCCGCGTTCCGGCGCTCCACCGCCCACTCCATCGGCGCGAGATGCGCCGCCACAAAGGTCAACTCTACGGGTTGTGGTGGTGGTGGTGCTTCCGTTCCTGTGTGGTTGTTCTCTGGTTGCCGGGATGAGGGCAGGTATCCCAGCCGCGCCCCCACGGCCCCCTTGTTCCCCATCTCCTGGAAGCCAAAGCCTATCCGCGCCGTCTCGAGCCCGGCGACCTGCTCTGCCACGTCCGACCGGGCAAACACCATCAACCCGGTCATCCCAGAGTTGTCCGTCACGATGTTGACGTAATGTACGTCATCCCAGCGCTGCGCGACCGCGCGATTCACGACTTGGCTCAGCGCGTCGAAGTACGGGGTCAGAAACGAGCCTCCAAGGAAGGCGTAGGCGATGGGCGCGAGTTCTTGGAGCGAGAGCACGATGAGGTCCGGGGGTGGGAAGGATGAGGTAGTGCTGGATTCGTCGGTGAGCGGGAGGGAGTCGAAGAAGTGATGGGCGAATCGGTCGACGTCGACTAGGTTGCGGGCGCAATTAAAGGTGAGGATGTAGAGATTGAGTGCGTCCATGGCGAATCAGGTACTGTGGGTATTTTCTGCGTATGTGTTGTAGTTTGGATGTTTGTATTGCAGGGCGAGCGTACTGTGTTGGACACAATGGAGGTGTTGACTGAGAGCTGCTGCTGCTGCTGCTGTTGCTATTGCTGTTGCTGCATGTGACGTTCGAGAGGGGGGGAGCTGGCCAGGGCGGCAGATGAGGTCATCGTTTCTTTCTGCCGCTTCAAGTTACTCTCAAGTACATCGCAACATCAACACAACACAACACATCACATCTTCACATCACATCACAACACTCCATCACCGTTCGAGATCTATCGCTCGTTGATTACGGACTGTCGAAGGCCGCTTCATTCCAGTCAACACATCGATCCTGTCTCTCATCCACAAAAGGCACTGCATTATTCCATTCTGGATCGAACGTTTGAAAGGCACGTAGATCGGCTATATTTATCCCCCCAGTCCCACAATTCGGCCAACGCAAGGAACCATGGAAATATGTGAACAAGGTACGTGGCAGTCTGCAGGAACTCGCTCTAGAACAATTCTAGACTCGCTCGACTCGATGGCGTACAGAATGTGCGCATTTGGAATGCGGGCGACCTTTAAATAGAACCCGCAAAGCTACAGTTTCCCCTTCAACGAATCATCCTCCAGCTCGACCAGGAGCATACCTTCTGCTACCTCGTCCTCCTCGTCTTCCATCTCATACACCCACTGCGCACGGCCTGCGCGGGGGCTCCGGATCTCCACCTCCATTTTCATCTGCTTGAGGAATGCCACTACCTGGTCTTTAGCGATGAGATCGCCTGTCGCGACTAGAATCTCGATCAGCTTGCCCGATAGCGGGAGGACAATTTGTCGAGGGTTGTGGATATCGCCGCGTCTCTGTGCGGATGAGACCACGGCGGACGCTGCGGTCGCGGTGGCTGCCAGCTGGAGCCGGTATGCGTGGGATGAGGTGGGCGTGGTGTACTCGACCTCGGCTGCTAGAGACGAGGGGAAGTTGTTCAAGAGTACGCGCGTCAGCCGGAGATGATGACGCAGGTCGCCCTTGGGTTGTTGCTGGGTAGATGGCAGTGGCTCGAGGACTACAGACCATGCGTCGCCGCCGCGAAGCAGCGGGTTCGATCCTGGGTTGCCAGCAAGCGACGATGTCTTGCTTCCCGACGGGGCTGCTACGCGATGGCTTTGGCCCGCATTGCCGCCGATATGGAGGACTTCCGGTAGGTGGGATTCCAGCCATTGGTTGTCAATTCTGCCGGACAGAAAGTCTGCGTGGCCGGCGATTCCTCGCAGCAGATCCAGGTTGGTGCGGATGCCGCCGATGTTTGTGTCTGCCAGCACTCGACGGGCTCTGAGCACGGTCGCCTCCCAGCTGGATGCCGTCACGATAATTTTCGCCAGTAGGTTGTCGAATTGAGTGCCGACTGTTGTAGGACTCGCGCCAGTTGGGTCAACGTGGGTATCGATTCGGACTCCGTTGCCTCCGGGACATCTGAACTCTGTCACTTTGCCCGTGCTGAGTGAGAAGTTGTGGTGCGGATCCTCGGCGCATAAACGTAGTTGCATCGCAAATAGACGGGGCTTCTCCAGTGATGCAGACACCTGACCGATCTGGGCAAGTGTATGCCCCTGCGCTAGTTGCAGTTGCGCTTGAACGAGGTCGATGCCGTGGATCGTCTCGGTAATGGTATGCTCAACCTGTAGACGAGGATTGATCTCGAGAAAGTAGAACCGACTTTGCTGCTCATCGACCAGAAACTCCACAGTGCCTAGGGATCGATAATGAATGGCTCGGGCCATGCGCAGTGCTGCATCCAGCACCTCCTGCACAAGCGCACGGTCATGAATCAAAGAAGGTGCCAGCTCGACTACTTTCTGGAATCGCCGCTGCACACTGCAGTCGCGCTCCCCGAGCTCACAGACGTCATGTCCGTCGCCTATAATCTGCACCTCGACATGACGGAAGCCGTCCACGGCGGCCTTCTCCACGAAGACTGTCCGCGAAGGCGACTCCGCCATCGCTGCTTGCACTGCGCGCTCCAGCTGGTTGTCCTCACGGACGAGACGTATCCCTCGCCCACCACCACCATCAACCGCTTTGATCATCACGGGGTAGTGCACCTCGTGTGCGAACCTTTGGATTGAGGCGATATCCGCCGTTGGATGCGGTGTGGCTGGCAAGACCGGCACGCCACACTCCACGGCAAGTTGCTTCGCTTGGAGCTTGTCGCCGGTTCGCGTCAACGTCTCCCACCCTGGACCGACAACCGTGATGCCGGCATCGTGCATACCGCGCGCAAATGCGGCGCTCTCGCTCAGGAACCCGTACCCTGGATGCACCGCTTCAATCCTGTGCTCTTTCGCGAGACGAATCAGTAGCGGAATGTCCAGGTATGCTGCGGATGATGCGAGCATTATCTCCTGATGGGGGTGGCCTAGATCACAATGAGACCGATCATTCTCTGTGTAGAGCGCGAGTACCTGAACTGGCGGTGACAGCTCGCGAGCTGCTTGGATTATGCGGACGGCTATCTCGCCTCTATTCTGTCAGTTGCCCGCGTAGAGGTTGATGAGAAAGGATTAATACCTATTTGCGACGAGCAGTCGTGTAAATGGGTGTGGTGGTGACATGGTTGATGGTTCGATTGGTGGTAGTAGGTTTGCTGCTGGTTGGTGGTTTATGTGGATGTGGAGGTTCATCCTCGGACCTCGGGGCTGACCTTGAAGAAGTTACCCCTCACGACTTACGGGCAACCCACCATTGCGACCACTGATATCACCACAATCGGAAAGGCAATTTCCTCAAGTTATTGATTCTTTGAAAATGCCCAGTGACAGCGATCATAGCAATGCGAAAGACTCCCCCAAATCCTCAGCGTCAGCGTCAAAACGTCTACGCCAGGTCGCATCCCACCTACCGGCTGACTACTCGGATGTTCTCGCCCAGATCGACACCCTGCGCAAAATCGCTGCCACGCCAGATGTCTCACGACGAGGCTACATTCGCCAGAAGCAGGCCGGCAAGTTATGGGTGCGCGAACGCCTGGATGCGTTACTCGATCCCGGCAGTTTCCGGGAGATCGGGTCACTGTCTGGCACCGTGACGTGGAAGCAGATCGATCCAATGCGCGAGGAGCCACAGTTGTTCGTTCCAAGTAACAACGTCCAAGGCATTGGAGCACTCCGTGGTCGTCGTGTGCTGCTCACGGCGGACGACTTTACTCTCCGCAGCGGGCATGCGGACGGTGCATCGCACGAGAAGACGATCTACGTCGAGAAGCTAGCACTTGCCCTGAAGCTGCCGATAGTGAAGCTGGTCGATGGTAGCTCCGGGGGAGGCAGTGTCACGCTCATCCGGTCGGCAGGATACAGTTACTTGCCGTATGTGTCCACGTATAAGTATGTGGTGGAGCAGCTGAACCAGGGGATTCCGAATCTGGGGGCAGTTGTTGGTCCAGCTGTGAGTCACCCCTCTGAACGAGCACGAGAGCAAAGTCGAAGCTGATCATTGGTAGATTGGCCTCGGGGCTGCACGGGTCGTGTCTTGCCATTTCTCCGTCATGGCCGCAGACGTCGGCTCACTGTTCAACGCAGGCCCGGAGGTGGTCAAAGGCGCCACCTTCGAGGAAGGACTGGACTTCCAGACGCTCGGCGGGCCCATGGTGCACTGCACCAACGGAACGATTGATAATGTCGCCGCCAGCGAATCCGAGTGCTACGAGCAGCTACGCACGGTTCTGGGGTTCTTACCCAACTCCGGCCGTGAGGCGCCACCGGTCATCAAATCCGAGGACCCAGAGGACCGCGCAGACGAGGCCCTGCGCCGGATCATCCCCCGTCGACAGACACGCATGTATAATCCCTGGACAATAATCAACGCGGTAGTCGACCGCGACTCCTGGTTCGAGATCGGGGCGCTTTGGGGCCGCACGGCGATCGGGGGACTGGCGCGGTTGGGCGGACGTCCTGTGGGGGTGATCGCGCTCAATTGCGAGGTCAACGGGGGCGCGTTGGATGCTGCGGGGAGTCAGAAGCTGACGCGCTTGTTGAAGCTGTGTGATGTGATGAACCTGCCGGTCCTGCAGTTCATCGATGTTCGTGAGTTCTCCTTTATGCTAGTGCTTCCAAATCGAATCGAACCACTTGTCTTGTACATGCATGTACTGACCTCGCCCCTGGACAGCCGGCTACGCCATCGGCACCACCGCCGAACGCACCGCCACGATGCGCTGGGGCGTAGAGCTAGGCAAGACCTATTTCACCACCACCACCCCCTTGTTCAACGTCATCGTCCGCCGCGCCTACGGAGTTGCCGGCGGTCTGATGCTTGGAGCGCGCGATCCCGTCATGCAGGTCGCCTGGCCCTCCGGACAATGGGGGTCGCTTCCGCTGGAGGGGGGGATCGAGGTGGCGCATCGTCAGGAACTGCGCGAGGCAGAGCAGCGGGGTCAGAAGGCGGCGCTCTACAAGGAGCTGGAGGAGGAGTATCGGCGACTGATGAATCCGGTGCGCACAGCTAATGCGTTCGGCGTGGAGGAGATTATCGATCCTAAGAATACGCGTCGCGTGTGCTGTGCGTGGGCGCGGCATGTGTATGAGGTTCTGATGCAGGAGCGGTTGGCGGATAGGGCGATGGGGAAGATTAGACCTGTTTTTGCTTGAGGCGGCGGTGGATTGGGTAGCTGCTGCTGTGGAGTGAATGACGTATTCTGGTGCTTCTAATCGGCATACCCTGTGAACAGTGCTACAAGAGGCTATTCATGCGGCTTACGTCTTGTCGTTCCTGGTGATAACTAAGTGGGCAGAAAAACTTCACGATTGATCTAGTTCAATAGTAGTCATCCAATAGCTCTGAAGCATAGCACAGAGTACTTGCATTGCATCTGTGGGGTCCATACTCTCGTGATTAAGCTTGAGCTCACTGCTTACCGAGTCGGCATTGAGATCGACCCCGAGGGCGAGGTGCGTTGAAGTGCTTTCTGGCTGCTGTAGACTGGAGGATTTGTGATGTTATCTGGATAGGTATATTAAAGTGTATGAGTAGGGGCAGGCTAGTTGTCTGTAACAAATATTATCAGATAATGGACACCTCCAATCAACGGCAGACTTATACTTATGTGCTTAAGCACTTAAGAAACGACAACACACCACCAAGTCAAAAAAAGCCTCACCCCTCTTTTCACAACGACCTCCTCCCAATCCACCACCCCTCAACCTTCCCTCCCAAACCCCCTCCAAAGTCTCCAAACCAGCCGTATATTCCGAACCTGCCGCGTCCAGCCGCCGCCGAATCGTGTCTATCTGCCCTACCCGTGGTAGCATCTGCCTCATTCTGTTGGTAGATGCAAGCACTGTTCGCATGCGATCAACATGATGTGGTCGCGCTTGTTTCAAGCCCAAATTTCAGGGCTAGTTAGGGCTTGACGTCTGAATGGTGGTCACAGACAGAAGTTCATAAAGTCGCTAGACGGTGCATGCAACCGCTTGGGCTGCTTCAGACACAGCGAGCCCTAACTTAGTCACGGTCACTCCAGCTGCCAGACTCTAGCCTTGTGAAACGAGCGAGGCCAGTATACAATCTCCTTTTCGACCCCACCCTGTTCGACACGCAAGACCATCTTCCCAGACAGCGAGGTGGAACAGTGACTCGCGCGCGACATGGAGAGGAGTCCAAGTCCGTCCTCCAGACCAGCACGCGCAGCTCTCGAACCAGACAAGACACCACCCTGGAAATCACCCTGCGATTCACACTCGCTAAATCAAACCCAAACTCCAGCATCTCCTGCTCAGTCGAACGCAAAACCCAGTCCCCTGCATCACCATAGTCCCACTCAAATTCAGCACCTCGCCCCAATCGAAGCATATCATCCAGCTCATTCGCAACATCCTCCCCCAAATACGGCCGCAGATAATCTAGCCAAGCTCTCGTATCGATCTTCTCCTCCCCCGCCGCCAACGTCTCCCAATATCCACCACACTCGCATCCAACGGACTCTGCACCCCCAACCCCAACCGCCCGGTCACCTTCCGCAGCCGACTATCCTTCCACATAAGATACGCGCAGCCCCGCATGTAGGGAATCAACTCCGCATACCAATCGTCATAGAACTCCTTCTGCGAGTCCAACGCATTCAACGCAATCCAGGGACTCGTCCCATACGCACTCAGAGGAAGAGAGGCCGGTGGGCGGAGATCTCCGGGGTTTTAAGTGAGGGTGAGTTGGGGGGAGGAGTTCATTGTGGTTGTGGATGGTGGTGAAGTAGGAGGATTATGATTGAGTCTGAGTAGGGGAAGATACAGTATGCTGTCTCAAGATCCCTGTTAACTTAGCTGTTTAGTGAGATAAGCGCTGTACAAGATGCAACTACGCCCACCATAAGTGTTCATGCGATAACAATTGGCCGACCTGCCACTGCAGCAGCTAATGAGAATAGACTACAACATAGATCAACGCAGTGCAGAGCACTTAGCTCATGCGAATATGGTTGTTGATGGTAGAATGTCCGGATGAGAGGTGTATGGCCATATAACTAACAGCAGGCTATTTCTTAGCGCTGATGTCACATGTTCGACCTTACCCTTCGTGTCCCAGCCTTGAATCTCGTTTCTTTTCGGTGCTTAGTGAAGATTCTGTCAAGTTTGTATTGTAATAGATCTTTTTTCCATCCACAGACCTGTTCATATTCTAGCCTTTAGACAGTCACAAGCCCTATTCCCCAGGCTCAACCCACCCCATCCAATCCTTCTGCGAACACACGTCACAGAATCCATAACCTCCCACCCAAAACCCGAACCCTTAAAAGGGCCACCCAGCCTCCGACCTTTCCCCCTTAACAACCACCTCCCTCATCTGAATCGTCACCGAAATCAACCTGGCCCACTCCGCCCCAGGATTCCCACTTATGCATCGTCCCCTCGGCATAACCGTAAGGGGTTTGCGCATAGTACGGATTATGCTTGAGAATGATGTGTTGGGGCGGTATGTAGCTAGGGGTTTGGAAAATTGTGTAGTAGTCAGGTAGCTTTCGTGACTCATTGAATATTGATGAAATATAAGAACCATCCATTGTTCACATTCACTTTAAACCAATCGACCTGTGCACCCCCGGACGCGCGAGTGTACGCTGCATCCACGCAGACTTGGTTCCGCCTAGGACAGTAACCGTGGTGTCACCCTGCAGGAGGGATTCGTTGGGGATGCAAGCCGGTGCACGTGTAAAATTGGTGCTCTGAAGGAGTCCTGCTTCGACAATTTGGGCAGAATGGGCTGCGAGGTGTAAGCCCGTGGCGATGATCAATTTGGCGGTGCGGATGAACCTGAATGTACCTTCGCCTGCAGCAGTGTATTCCAGAGTCCAGTGCTTGTCGGATTCATACGAAGCCTCATTCACGGTGCTTTTTAGGCGCACCTTCTCACCAACCCCAAAAGTGTCTGCGTATGCCTGAAGATAGTCGTGGACCGCAGGCCCCGACATTTGCTGACCGGCTGCGACATCAAAACGATCTGCGGTCATGGGAAAGTCGCTGAACTGGTAGCTCTCGACGACATTATTCGTTCTCAAATCGGCATAGAGCCGCTTCTGACCCCATACTCCACCGATGGAGGTCGCTGAGTCCAGAATGACGAGGTTGGTCGAGGGATCAATCTCCACGGCCGTGTTTGCGGCAGCGAGACCAAACCAGCCTACATTGTTGCTGAGCAAGGAGCTAAACATGAGCCATGTTCAGGGAGCTGACCTGACCTACCGGCTCCATTTATAACGAGGTCAACATTCTCCGTCTCCATCCTTGTCGAGCTTGGTATGATAGTGGAAGGCGGCGGTGCCACTTGGAAACAGGAATGAAGAGCGAAAGGAGGATTTAAAGCAATCAACAACCTCGGTCTTATCATTCTGTCCCCGACGTGCCCATGGGCCCTTTTTGGAGTTTCTCGAAATCCAGGAACCAGGTTACATACGCGTGCATGGGTGGCAGATGAGCTGTCCGGCTGGTGAACCCCTGAAACATGTCTTGGTCTGCAGGATCTGCTACTGATTCTGTGAGAGTTTAATGCATGCATAGAAACAGAAATCTTTCGCAGGAATATCTTGCTACACCGTACACCATGTGATTTGGCTGACGTGATGTATGACCTGAGGTTAGAAGAGGAATGACGAAAGTCTTATATCAGCCATTCAATCATTCAGCGGATTAACACTTTAGAAACCAAGTTATGTATCATGATGCGAATATCATTAAGTAAGATTGTCCATGGTTCTGATATCGTGCATACCCAACTGAGTCGTGTCGAGGGAGTAATATTGTACCCAGATCCAGTTGAAACATCATTGATATCTCATTCCTGCACTAAGGACGCACACTGTATCCCGAGGATTGACCCAGCGTGCTATTTCAGTACACACAGTACCTAACCATCCCTCTAGCAGATTAACCGGCAGCCTTCGCCCGCACCGCAACCTTAACATGAAAGTCCAACGGCTTCACAAACCACTTATTATCAGTATCCCACGTACGCTTCTCCAGCCGAAACTCGAAATCCCGAATCATCTGAGGAATCAGCTTCGACATCTCCAGGATGGAGATGTGCTTGCCGAGGCACGTGCGTGAGCCCAAGCCGAACTATTCGTGTTAGTCGGGTTGACTCTCTTGAAATATAGAATGGTTTTCTTCCGGGGCGGAGAATGAAGATTCTACAAAAAGAAAAGGGGAGACTGCTTACAGGCATATACATCTCATTCATCATCTGCAACCGCGTCGGATCGTCTTTCTCCGCCTCAATCCACCTCTCCGGTCGGAAGCTCTTCGCATCAGGGAACACTCCCTCATCGTAATGTGCGACCCAGGTGTTGACGCCCACGACGGACCCCTCGGGGAAGAATCGCCCGCTAATCTCGGCCCCCCCGGCGGGCACCTCACGCCACAAGGGCAGCCCTGTGGCGCTGTGCATCCGCAGCGCTTCCTTCATCACCGCCTGGAGGTACGGCATCGCCTGGCTCTCTTTGAAGGTCACGCGCGCGCTGCAGCGGCCCTGCGCGGTAAATTCATCGACCTCCTGGCGCAGACGGGCCAGCATGGCCGGGTTGCGGAGAAGATGGTACAGGATCGCGGAGAGACTGATGGCGGTCGTGTCGGAGCCGGCAATGATGTTCGAATTGCCCATCATGAAGAGATGGTAGTCTGTCACTTTCTCCGGGTCTTTGTCGCGCGCGATGGCCATTTTTTCGAGGAAGTCTTGTCTTTGTGGGGTTGGGTCTTGTTGTTGTTGCGGCTGCTGGGAGGGTTGGGTTTTACGTTGCTCATTTAGCTGGTGGATCTTCTCGGCGACGAAGCGCATGATGAATGATCGTCCCGCTGGGCCGGTGGAGGTGAATCGGCTGAGGGGCTCGTAGACGCGCGGGTGCCATTCGGGGTAGATGCCAACTAGGGTGCTGTAGGCCATGACCTTCTGGAGGGCGGCGATGGCACCTTCGATGTCTTCGCCTTTGTCTAGGAAACCTGCACATTCCCGTGTGTGTTAGCCATGATGCAGTGAGGTACTTGATGGTCTGGTGGACTGCTCAGCTGACCGAAGCGCTGGCCGAACGTGATGTCCCCAATCACGTCAAAGGCGTAGCATTGAAGCCAGTAGTGAAGGTCAAAAGTCTGTCCGCTCTGCGCGAATTCTGTGAGCCGTTCGCAGACGATCTCGGCGCATTGGTCGGCGAACTCCTCGTAGTGGAGGAGGGAGCTCATCGAGTAAAGGCTGGAGAATCGCTTGCGGGTTTCGGCTAAGAGATGAGGAGTCAACGGGAAGTCAGGTGGTTGTCAGAACAGGTGCAGTACGTACAATGTCTCTTGATGTTGCGATCAGTGAACAGGGTCCATCGGTCAGGCGATGGGTGCTTCCAGCCCTCGTACCAGGAGGACTTGGGGAACCGGCTGCCCGTGCCGTAGACGGTCTTCACGGCGGTCCGTTCGCTGATGCTGTAGTGCCCCGGGGCGATCCGGACGACGGGGCCATAGCGAGCATGAAGATCGAGATTGTCGGTTTCAAAGTGGCCCTTCCAGACTCGACTGAAGTACCAAAGTCTAGTGAAACGGGCGAGGAAGGGGCCTGGGATGGAGGTCAAGGAGGGGCTCTGCCATGTTGTATAGAAGAGATGAATGATGCATTTGGAGAGGTATGATAGAATGGGAAGAGACAGGAGCAATAGAAGATGCATTCTGTGGATCAAATGGAATAGACCCTGAACTGAAGAGTGTTGGTCTCTCTGGAGGGAGGTCGACCAGAAATCGCAGTCAATCTTATTATAGTCAGTGGAGTGGAGCCGGCACAGCAGCTAGTATGGGCCAACGACTAGTGTTGACACCGCTGATGCAGCCAACGATTAGTGGCTGGCGCATCTCAATCTCAACAGCGCATTGACTGGGAAAGATTGGCAGTGAGTTGTCTGTGGTTTCTGTTCAGGTGGTGAGATGGATGGATGAAAAAAAGAGCGAGACACTGGCAGACCCCGCATTGTCGGTGCGAGTGCGGGGAAAGACGGATTGTTCCCAGCTTATGCCACAGCCGGCCGCACAGCCTCGACTTATGCTTATGCTTGCTTCCGATCGTCGGCTCCACTCGTCCTGCAAGTGGCTTACTCGGATACCTTCATGCACTGGCTTTATGCTTGACTAGTTGGGTAGCATCATGCTTTAATAGATAGAATTCAAATCTCAAGACTCCATACCCCAAATTTTGGGCTTATACATACATCGGTGACGTCATTAGAAAGTGTCGCAGAAAATCCGTAGCAAAGAGCAAAACACGCCAAGAAACAAGAAAAGAGAGGAGTCGTCGCAGTGCTTGGTTTACCCATCAACCCGTTTTACGAGACATTCTTTTCGATGGAGTCCCACAAGAGACTGCAGAGTACGATGTAGTACTCAAGACCGACGATCACCCCAGAGGCCCACAATGCCCATCGCCAAAGCCAGTCCGGAGAAAACCGCCCGCACCTGCTGCAGTCGACGTTCCGTGTCCATTTCAGTCTGCACAGTCTCGCCGTTCTCCTCCGCCTCCACTACCACCAGATCTTCCTCCTTCTTCTGCTGCTTGGGAGCGGCCTGGGTCCAGAGCCCGGTATCGTGCAGGACACCCGCAAACCACGCCTTCACGCCCGCCTGGCGATGGAACCAAAAGTCCACGCCGTACGTGCCAACGGTCGATGCGACGCACATCCAGATCAGGTAGGGGTGTTTGCGGTGGCGCGGGGAGATGCTGTAGGCGAACAGGAGGCAACTATTCGCGATACTGGTGAGCCGGATGCCGTGCTTGCGATTCAGACGTTTGATTTCGCTCAGCGTTCGGGAGGCGGTCGCGGAGGTGGGGAGTTGGCTCAGCGCTGGGATGGCGATGGTCGAGGCCGAGTACGAAACGCCCTGTGCCGGTCGCATTGTCAGTTTGGCCATACCAGAAGAAATGGGGTTATGATAGCGGATGTATGAACAGAGGCAGGGGAAGATATCGAGTGATGCAAAAGTATGATAGAAGGATGTTGATTGAAGTGGCTTTACACATACCGTGAGCAGGCCCAGGGAGACAGTTCCGACGAACTTGGAGACGGTGATGGGGCAGGCCATATCGATTGCAGATCGCTGTCAATCGTACAGACAAGAAAAGATGATGTGGAAGAAACAGTAGTAGCGAGTTCGAGTCCGTTCGGCTAATTTTGGGTCCGATGGGACAATGCAGGCAGTCTGCAGTGATTTGGATGAATGGATAGAAAAAACAATTACGGGAAAGCCGGCGATGAGCGAGTGACGTTGCGGGTCTGCCAGCGGTCTTGGCGGCCTGAGGCTTGTGCCGCCATTATTAATGCCAGAAGGCGGCTCTTTCATTGGACCTCATCCAACAGAGCTGCTGTCAGTGTATTCCATAGGTACCTTATAAATGAAGGTCCTACATTTCTCGCTAGGCATCCATGTATGGAAGGATTTGGACGAATTCATGTGGCCGTATGCCCATGGTTTCAAGTGGATGTGTTTGAAGTACTGTGTATTTTTCCGCAATGGTGGCTACAGCACCGTCCAGTACAAACATCAAATGTGCCAAGAAGCCGTTCTTTTTAGCTACTACAGCTCCTACAGCAAGCCCACAGGAAATATTTGGCATAGAGAAGATATATCCAGCCAATGAGACCATGAATTTAGGCTATATGCCCCTACTTGAGCTGCGTGTGTCGTGGAATCTTGATTTATCAGCAATCTTGCCCGTGTTCCACTCTCGAACTATAAAAGACCCAGTATAAGTACCGGATTCTTAACCATTGAGTCCCACTTCAAGTCTATACAAGACGTGTGTTCACCAGTCTCTCCTCGGTTTTGAGTTGACCAGCCTCGTCATGTCTCTCCCTCAGAGTTACCAAGCGTATCGCCGCACCGAGGGCACCGCGCCTCTGACCATTGAGCAGGTCACAGAAAAGCTCCCACCCGTCAAGTCGCATGATGTTTTGGTTCGCATCCATGCAGTCTCACTAAATTACCGCGATATTGCCATGTTGGACGACACCTATCCGCAGCCGTGTCTTCCCCGCGGAATCCCTGCTTCGGACTGCGCTGCTGAGGTTGTCTTCGTTGGATCCGAAGTCAGCGGTTTTAAGCCAGGTGACCGTGTGACAGCCATTTGGGATTTGACCAACTTGGCCGGCACAGAGGAGCAATCTCCAGAGGCTCTCGGTGGAGATGTGGACGGTGTGCTGCGGCAGTATGCAGTATTCAACGAGCAAGTGCTTGTGCACTTGCCCGACCACTTGTCCTGGGAAGAGGTATACCTTCGTCGGATGTGAACGAAAATTGGACGAGCTCTAATGCGACCATAGGCCTCTTGCATTACTTGCGCCGGAACCACTGCTTGGAATGCCCTCGAATTCCCTAGGAAGAGTGGCACCGCTCTCCTTCAAGGTGAACTCCCCTACACAAGTAGAGAACCAGTGTGAACACAGACTGGAGGCTGAACAATCTGTCCAGGTACCGGTGGTGTGAGCATGTTCGCACTTCTGCTCTGCATTGCCGCAGATGTGCAGTCCATCATCACCTCCTCTTCAGACGAGAAACTCGACCAGGCCCGATCATTAGGGCCCCACGTCAGGACCATTAATTACCGAAAAGTTGCCAATTGGGAAGAAGAAGTAGTCCGTCTCACCAACGGCCGCGGTGCCGATGTCGCTATCGAGAATGTGGGCCCTGCTACTGTCAAGCAGAGTCTGGCCTCCCTTGCTCAACGCGGTACTTTGTCTTTGGTGGGATTTCTTGGTGGTCTTGACGCTGAGAAATTCCCTGATCTTTATTTCCCCGTCCTTGTCAAGCGTGTGACTATGAGGTTTGTTCCCCTCTCTCAGTGCCTAATGACGGTCGCTAACGCTTCGACACATATCAGGGGTATCGTCGTGGGTTCGAAGATCGACCAGCAGGCTCTGTGCGACTTTCTGGCGGAGAAGAAGGTTTCCTTGAAGCCTCTGATTGACGCCGTCTTTCCTTTTGAGAAGTCGAAAGAGGCTTTCGCTCGTCTCAAATCAGGTAAACACCAAGGAAAGATTGTCATCACCTTGTAAGATGAAATAGTCACGAAGAATCTTTGGGAATGTCGTGTAATCGTGTTTGATAGAAAATCGGGCATGTACCTAAAGAAGGGTGGACGACTGAAAGGATGACAGAAGACGGTGGATGATGAAATGGGCAGTCGCTCACCTCTGCCGGTGAACTTCAGCTCGTTCCAATGTTCGTAGGTAGTACTCTCATCCTCATCTAATATCTACCATTAGATATTCTCCTATTCCTTATCAGCATACCTTAATCTTCCTCTGTTCAATGCCTGCTGCCATGGACTGGTCGGAAATCATCTGAGGCGACAGATACTGAGAGTTCAAAGTGACATGTTGTTCCACATCTACTCGCTGACGTAGTCGCTTGGTGCTCTGGTCTGCGTTGGTCATCAAGACCTTGAATCGTGCTCGGAGTGTGTCGTCCTGCACAACAGCATGCAAGAACTCGAGCACAACCGCCAACTCATGAAAGCTCCCATGAAGATCGTTATCAAAGCAAGACACTGCATCAATAACACGGTAGACTGTCATCTCCGATGAAAACTGGCGGACCAGTTTGTGCAGCAACCAGCAAAGCTTATACAAGTCGTGCTTCTCCAGCTGCTTCAAAGTGCTTCTCGAATTGATGAAATCAATGTTTAGGAGTTCTCGCCGATTTAAGACCATCGAGAGCTGACAAACAAGGGATCTAACCAGTCCGTTCAAACCAATTCAGTGATCCTTTGGTGAAGAGGTGCAATGCAACCCACAGAAAAAACGTATCACCACATCCTCCGGTCGGGTTTCAGCCATGCTCATCACAAACGATGCGAAGGAGACGGAGATGGGAGAGACATTGTGAAGGGCAAACAATCGGAGGTTAGCATTAACGAGGAGCAGATCGGAAGGTTCCTGATTCATCCATTCCCGAAAACGAACATTGTTCAAGGCAGACTGCGCCTGGCTCTGCGCCCGTGCGTCGAGCATCATTCCAAGAACAATATCCAAATCATCATTGGGCTGCACAAACGCCGCGCAGGAGTCGGTTGGTTGGCTTTCATTCAATGGCGATTGAACTAGGATCTCCAACAGCCGGGCGACAGAGACTACTGGTGGCGAGCTTCGTCCACCCCCTACGAGGAGAGCCTTCAGCTTCGGCAACATTTAGACGATGTTGGAGCTGCAGGTTCAGACTCTTCTCTTCTATACACCAATCTCAGCTTCTGAACCAGGTCAAATACACGGAGCTCACTTACTTCTCCAACTCTCGAGCAATAATTGCAACATTTGGTTCCTAGCATCCTTACTGTCATCCATCATCTGTGGTTGTTTTCTGATGAAATGAGTCAACCTCTCCTCCTCCCTTCGAATCATCTGCATTATCTCCAGCTGTCGTTTCGCTCCGTCTGCAATTCCATTCTTGACTTCTTGCACATTCATTGAAATGTTCTGCAAAATACCATTTGTGTTCTGAGTGTTTTGGTGAACTTTGGTGAGGCTTCCAGGTATCTCATCTATCCCACTCTTGACTACCTGCACATTTGTATCAATCTGGCGAATGTTGATATTCGTTCGTTTCTGACTCTAGCGCATAAAATGCACCTCTTGATGAGTATTCTTAGAAAGACGCTCGATCGCTTCTATATGCGTGTCCCTACATTTCCGGACAGCAAGTTCGAGCATGTGTTTACTGTCATTCTGCAGTGCTGTCTCTGGAAACCCATGCTGGCTTTTGATATATGAGTTTGATGTTATTCAAAACCCTTTCTTTTCCTTCGCGGGTGCTTCACGGTTCAAGGACGGACTGACTGACAGAGAATTAAGGAGAATTTCTGTCGCCGGACGATCCTCAGATGATGGCTGGAGACTGCTTTGTATCAACATATACATACCGCAGTACCTGGTGGACTAGACCCAAGACAGACTAGCGTTATGGGGCAGCGGGAAAGCCGAGGTTCCCGAATTTGAGGCACCGCGGCTTACAAAGAGGTAGTTGTTAACTAACTTGACTGACTAGTTAACTTAGTTATTGCCCACCCGCTTACTGTGTGGAGAAGAAACACCATCCCTCCCTCCTACAACTCTCCACATAGTACTCAGTATCTTTGTTTCCATCATGCCTTTAGCCAAAGAAGAGTATCTTAGCGACTCCTGGAAAGATGGCCTCTTTGGTAAGTCCTGAGATCTCCAGCCTCAGTCCACTAGTCCTACTAACTATGCGGGCTGACTGTGACTGACCCTTGGTAGCAAATAAGGTCGTCTTCTGTACGGGAGGCGCGGGCACAATTTGCAGTGCACAAGTCCGTGCCCTGGTACATCTAGGTGCCAATGCCTGTATTATTGGCAGGAATGTCGAGAAGACCGAGAACATGGCCAAGGACATTGCCACCGCCCGTCCTGGGGCCAAGGTTATCGGCATCGGCGCCGTGGATGTCCGAAAGGTGGAAAGCCTCCAGGACGCCGTTGCGCGCTGCGTCAAGGAGCTGGGGGGTATTGACTATGTCATGTAAGACCTTCTGTGTTTACGTGGTGTTGTGCTCTGCTAACTGACCGCAATCAAGTGCTGGCGCAGCCGGTAATTTCCTGGCGTCGATCAACCAGCTGTCGGCAAATGCTTTCAAGTCGGTTATTGATATCGATGTCCTGGGTTCTTACAATACCTTGAAAGCGACCCTGCCATATCTGGTAGAGTCGGCGAAAAAGCACAGCATCGATCCAAATACTCGTAAGTCTCGAGCTTCGCTTACATTGCAGCCAACATGTGCTGATTATGATCCCTAGTCAAGCCATCCCCGCTGGGTACGGGAGGCCGGATCATCTTCATCAGCGCCACCATTCACTATCGCACTATGCCATTCCAGACGCATGTTTCAGTGGCCAAGGCGGGGGTGGACGCACTGTCGCACAGCGTGGCTATCGAGTTTGGGCCCCTGGGGGTGACGTCTAACATCATTGCACCGGGCCCCATCGGCGGGACAGAGGTATGTTATTACTTCGTTCCCTTGACGTGCGTGACTGTTAGTCGCTAATTTCCTGCATTTAGGGCATGGATCGTCTATTGCCGACCGATAACAAGGAGGTCTATACCAAGTCACAGCCTCTGGGCCGCATGGGCTCAGTACGCGACATCGCCGATGCCACCGTGTATCTGTTCGCTGATACAGGCAGCTACGTTACCGGCCAGACTCTTGTCGGTAAGTCAATTTTTCGTCCAAAAATTCTGCTGGGAGAAGAAACTAATGCTGGGGCTTAGTTGATGGAGCATCGTGGCGCATGACGGCCGGGGGCGCTGCACAGGGCACCCTTCAATATCCCGATTTTCTGCTCTCGGGCGATGCTGTTCCCAACGTCAAGGGGCAGAAGACCTCGAAGCTCTGATGGGGGTAGTTGGGCCTCTTAAATAGTACATAGGAAATTCCACTGTTCCTTCTTTCGCTTCAGAGTCCAGTGGACTATTGGACTGGATCCCTGCGGAAGTTGAACGACTTTCTCTTTTCACTTTACCCAGTAGGTCTAACTTCGCGCCACTTTTTACTCACTGACCGGCCCGTACCAATACCTGTTGAGAGATGTATCAGTCTTCAACCTTCAAGCTGGAGCGGCGGGAGGCATTTTGCGGGATTTCGCCGGGGAAGATTTCGTCCCACTCACCTGGGTGGAGTCCACGATTAGTGCTAGTACTGGCTGTTGCCAGTAACAATGCCTGCCGTACTCCGTACCGTTCCCGAAGCCCTAGCCAGATTCTGTACGGAGATTATGGTCAAGAATGACTTTTTTGTTTTCTCTTGGCTTCAACCTCCCGGTCTGCGACGGTTTTTATTCTCTCTTTCCTTGGCAATTGGTCTTTTTGGTGAACTCCTTTATCTATCAGCCGAGAAGAAATTGGGAATACTGAGATGGGTGGGGAAATTGTAGTATTGAAACTATACTAGTATACTATTTAGCGATACTATATCTACGGAGTAGCAGTTGTCCTTCCGCTTTTAGTATCGATCAGCCCTAAATCCCTGCTCCTTGTCGCAGTCATAAAGCCAAAATCTGACATGGTACTACTCCTTACTATTTGTTGGCCAGAAGGTACAGTATATATTCGTGGTTAGCTCAGCTTGGGCTCTTCTGAACCATCCCGGGTCTAAGTATCATACCCCTGCAGCGGGAAAGGAATATTTAGACGTCGAGCTGGAGCGGAACCCGCAGGTGCGCGCGGAGATCGAGGCGATCATCACCATCAAGCGGGCGGCTGAGGGTGATGAGGTCGGAGACACGATCGTTTATTTGCTGAGTCTGTCGGCTAGCTATATCAATGCCACCAGTTTGCTATTGGATGCGGCGGTGACGGCTACCTGGTGGTTCCTTTGAGGGTGACGATGTCAAGTTTGACACGAGCTGGAGAGTTGCAGGGACTTCCATGTGTAGGGTGATTAGAATGAATTGGGATGACCTGTTGTAAAGTTCAAGTGGTTCTTCCTTGTAGAGAGTAGGCGCAGCAACATCCATTACGGCGAATAGTTATGGCGTCCAGGCACAGCATCACCACTTATTAGCCCATTAGCAGTGTTCCAAGGGACGTAAGACCACGCTCATAGCAATGATGATCATCATGCTCGATATCAGCTCTTCTTGAAGCCGTTCATATAAGAAAAGACAAAGCTTAGGGCACGTCCCGCATCCGCTGACTGGGGCAGTGAATCAATGCGTGTTGATCGTATTCGTATATACTCGTGGTTGCCTGGCGAGAAAAATGAAATACGCGCTCGGGGCGGACTTAGTTACTTCTTCGGGGATCAAATTGAGGTCGGATCTATTTCGAGCATTTCCGAGTCACGTGTAGATGCTGACTGAAGAGGATGCGTCAGCTATGCTGAATAAGGACTAGTGTCCAACACCCAATGCGTCATCAGACCCACTGCCGCGCTTTTCTCAACCAACCAGAATTGCTCGTGGTGATCCAAGCCCGGCCCCAGGCATCAACATCCCCTCTCTCAGGCTCTCAGGCTTCCCAATGGCTCCTGAAGGCGCCCACGCCACAGCCATCCACCACCCATTGATCTGCCACTCATTCATTCATCTACTAGTCGCCCGTCGCCGACGTACGTACGACAATTGTAATTTTCTCCCTCGCCATCCCACCTTCCGACTCATCTCGTTCCATCTCTTCTTTGTTTTCTGCTCCTCTCTAACTACTACTCTGTCTACGACTCGACAACTGACTTCAACTCGTCTCTGCATCGCCATCCGCTCCTTTCATTTCATCTGCATGCTTTAAAACCCCCCCACCCCCATTCTATATCTACTATTATGCAGCTTCGCTCGTGCTTAGTAGGGGGCACTCTGGCTCTGGGTGCCAGAGCCTTGCTGGTGATCCCCGAGGTTGAGGGCGAGTCCCTCGCCCCCGAAGCCGATTTCCCTCCCTTCCACCCTCTAGAGGCCTATGCTCCTCAGCAGTCGCAAGTTGAACTTGCCTGCACCGAATGTCCTTTCCGTGAAGTCAGTGAGGATGGGAAAGTCAGCTGGACTGATGGCCACAAGACCTCTCTCGTGAGTAACACCATTATGTGCGCGTTCTGCTAGCATGCGCTAACGGTTACGTCTCCTTCATAGACGCTGGACTTCACCATCGAGGACGGCTTCCTCCTGGCCAACGGTCGCCAGATCTTCCCCCCTCCTCCTCCGACCCTGATTACCGCCGTTCAACGCAGACTCTCCGATGGAGTAGAGTCCGAGCCTATCGCCGTCGGATATGCTGTGGAGGAGATGCCTATTCCGACCTCCCCGGAGGACCCGATGGACCTCGTCGAAGTTCGATTCACTGTCCTCGACCTTGACAGCCACCCTGTTCCCCTCGACACTGTAGCGGTCACCCTTATCCACGATTCCAATACTGGAGAACTGTTCATGGCGAAGACCGAGATCGAAGAAACCACCCCTGATCGCGGCTCCTGGGCCCAGTGCCGTGGCAAGCCCAAGTGCCTCCGCAAGCTTCTCTTTGACCGTATGCGCTCCTTGTTCGCCGCCGCCAAGGCCCGTATGCTCGACTTCACCCCGGGGCCCAAGGGTCACCACTGTGGCCAGGCTCATGGCTCTGACCACGATCACCCTCCCCACCATCACCACCATCACGGTGAGCACGACCACGGCAAGCCCGATCCTGAGGGTTTCCCTGGAGGATTCCTTCCCTACCCGGAGATGGATGGCAAGGGTCACCACGACTTCAAGGGCCACATGGGCAAGTTCGATGGTCCCCATGGACCTCACAGACACCATCACCACCACGACCGCTTGGCCCACACCCTGCACCGTGTTGTCCGCTTCATTGTCGTCCCTGCTATCCTCGGTGTCTTGGCCGGTCTGGCTGCTAGCGCCCTTGGTATGTTGGTCGGTCAAATTGTCGTCTTCATGTGGCAGCGTTACCGCCGGTCCACTCCCAGGGAGTCCGTTGAGCAGGGCACTGTTTTCGAAAAGCAGGGCCTCATGACTGAGGCTTCTGAAGAGCTTCCTCCCGCTTACAGTGACGAGGAAAGTGTGCTGGACGATGCTTCCGGCAAGCACTGATTGCTAGACTTGATAAGTCTCGGAGAGCCACCTTCATTGGTAGGAACGATCGAAATCTCGTATCCCCCGAATGGCCACGATGTGATGCTGGATAGGGGCTCCGGCAGGTTCTAGCGAATTGATTGGTCTCGACTCGTCATTGACTGTTGTTCACCGATTGTGATTGTGACAGATATAACTCCATTCGTTCAAAATCTCCCTGTTTTTCCCTTCAGTTCTGTATCTTTTCTCTTAGCCATGATCTTGTGTCCTATTTCACAGCAGTCTGTTGGAAGTGAGATTGGACTCGGACATCAGCCCTTGGTGTAGCAACCGTTATTCTTCTATTTCAATCAGTGTCCTTGTGTAGCCAACCAGGAATAGTATCTCTGAAGCACGGCTATAGGCCAGCTTTGTGCCAACGATAAATCGTAACCCCACTGCATCAGTCAGGAAGTATTTTTGCAGTTGTCTCACTTGCTGCTGGGAAATTCGTCACGTGACATCGACTGCGGCTGCCAGGAACGATCGCCGCCGACTTTCCCCTCCTCTTCCTCTCCCTCCCTCCCTCTCCTCCAAACAGCCTCACACCCCGAGTCCTTCTGTCGTTCGCAGTAGGTTCTCCAGCTCTGATGATGCTGCGCTAACTTTGGAACATGATCTATCTTCTCTAAATGATTACTCTCTACCTTTCCTTGCATTTCTCTGGCTCCATTCTGCTCGCCGTCTGAGCTCCAGCAGCTCCCGCACCCGCCCGGACGTCAGCCAGCCTTATACTCCGGACTCCGTCGCAATCGGAGACGTCTCCTTTCCTTCTTCCGATCCACTACCACTGTAGGGCCTTGTCTTGCTCTCCACTGACGGCATGATGCAGTGGACGTCATTCGTTCAGAAAGCCCAGTCTTTCATCGACCCAGCCAATTTCACCCTACCAACACTCACTTCCTCCGATCGCAACCCTTCCAAGGCCTCCTTGTTTCGCCAGCAATTCCGTCTACCAGATTCTCAGAATCCGCTACAAGAGATCACGGCCGAACTCATTCTTCCCTTACCGCATGGCGCCCCTTCCGGAGATGGCCCTCGGAATGTCGACCACGCCGGTAACCGATACGCCGGGCGCCTCCACCTCAGTGAGCGGTTTCTCTGCTTCTCCACACAACCGACGAGCTTTGCCCCCTCCGCTAGTCTCGCTGCCTCGACACACTGGGCCGGTCAAACTAATGGCACTGGCCCGTCTGGCAATGGGTTCACGATCCCGCTGTGCTGTATCCGGCGCGTGGAACGGCTGAACAGTCTCAGCCATATCTTTTCCCTAGCCCTGACGACATGGAACGGCGCACTAGGCAAGCAGCAGCCACCAGGCTTCATTCCGCAGAAATTTACCGTCCAGCTGGCTGGAAGCAGGCAGGCCTGCGAACGCTTCTGCGACGGGTTGAAGAAGGGACTGCGCGAGGGCATGAAGGAAATCGAGAATTTGCGCATCGTCGTTAATGACTGCTACTCGGAATACCTGCTCTCCGGCGCCAAAAGCAAGGGTCAGGACAGCGAGGCTCCGGACGCACGGCAGCCGCCCGACGCCGGGCTTGGGATGATCTTTCGCTATCCGGGAGATGCTCGCAAACTCCGCGATCGCAGTAAGATGCGGTTGTGGGGGGAATACTTTCGAGGTATGAATTTTTCCGTATGCCAGCTGTCGGGATGTGTATTGAGTATAACTCGGTGACTCTGTAGAAAATGGTCGCAACGCGACACTCATTCGTCAACCTACATTCCATAAGTTGATCCGCGTTGGTCTGCCTAACCGCCTCCGCGGAGAGGTTTGGGAGGTCACTTCGGGGTCGTTATACCTTCGGTTAAGGTCGCCAAAATTGTACACGGATACGTTGTCCAAGTTCTCGGGGCAAGAGTCTCTGGCGATCGACGAGATCGAGAAAGACTTGAACCGCAGTCTGCCTGAGTATGCCGGCTTTCAGAGCGAAGAAGGCATCGGACGTCTTCGTCGAGTGCTCACGGCATACAGCTGGATTAATGCCGAAATTGGTTACTGCCAGGCGATGAATATCGTGGTTGCAGCTCTTCTCATGTTCGTTACCCTGCCATCCCATTGTCTCTTGTGACGTTAGGCTGACTATCTCAGTTACATGTCCGAGGCACAGGCTTTCTTCCTGCTCTCTGTCTTATGCGATCGGCTGTTGCCAGGTTACTATTCGACTACCATGTACGGTACCTTGCTCGACCAGAAGGTATTCGAGTCACTCGTGGAGAAGACTATGCCTGTGCTATGGGAGCACCTGACCAAGTCCGACGTACAACTCTCCGTGGTTTCTCTTCCTTGGTTTCTGTCGCTCTACATCAACTCGATGCCGCTAGTCTTCGCTTTCCGCGTCTTGGATGTCTTCTTTCTGGAAGGACCAAAGGTTCTGTTTCAGGTCGGGCTGGCTATCCTTCGAATCAACGGCGAGGAACTTTTGGATATCCAGGATGATGGTTCTTTTATCTCGGTTCTCAAGTCGTACTTCTCGCGCCTGGATGAATCGGCTCATCCGAGATCAGAGAACCCGAAACTCCGCGCTATTACCCGGTTCCAGGAATTGATGGTGGTTGCCTTCAAGGAGTTCTCCCAGATCACGCATCAGACGATTATCGAACAACGAGAAAAGCACAAAGACGCCGTGCTGGAGAATATTGAAAGCTTCGCCAAACGCACTTCCATCCGAAACTTAGGCCCCGATAGCAAGAAGCTCAGCATGGACGACCTTGGCGCCATTTACGACCGCTACTACGAAGTCCTATATGACAGCCAGCAAAGGCAAAAGTTGCTAGAGGAGGAGAGAAGACGCCAGGAAAAGAAGAGGGTTGAAAGAACATCCATTCTCGGGCCTCCCGTTGATCGTGAGGTTGGCCGTGTCGGTCTGGGTCCCAGCCCGACCCATATGGACTATGATGCTTTCCGGGAATTCCTGGCTGTCACCGCAAAGTGGGCTGTTTCGGACTCCCCGCGCAAATCTTCCAGTAGCGAGCAAGGCTCCAACAGCTTCCGGGGATGGGGCAAGGCAGCGTCCTGGAATACCAAGAATCAACCAACCGATCACGAGTTCATGCAACGACTTTACCGGAAATGGGCGACTGATCCAGAGGAAGGCATTAGTTTGCAGAATGTCGTTAACGGCCTTGCTCGATTAAAGGGTCCGCGTGACATCATGAACAACATTCAGTACTTCTTTGATCTGTATGATGATGAAGGTAATGGGACTGTTGATCGTGAGGGTATCCTTCGCATGTCCGAGGCCCTGTTGTTTCTCTCCAGGCGAGGCTTTGAAGGCACCATTACCCCTACTCAATCCGTTGACGACCTTCGCGCGAACGACCGCGCTGGTAGCGAAGATAAGTTGAGTACGGATGAGCGATTCTTGGGCAGTGTCAGCTCCTTCATCCGACGTTGTTTCGAGTACGCCGATCCCAGCAAGCCAGGGGCCCAGGCTGCAAAAGCACAAGAGGACGCCGACGAGGCGGCGGATAAACTGGGATCTTTCAGTATCGGTGATGACGAAGAGGAGGATCTGCTTGATCTGGACAGTGATACCAAGTCAGACCATACGGCCGTCACGGAGAAGCCCACCCAACCTGTGCCAGACGAGAGACGCGAGTCCGAACACAATCGATCCGTTTCCGAGAGTGCCAACCCGGCCCTGGACCCTAACAATCCTCTGCACATCACTCTTCCTACGTTCCGCATGGTCATTCTCGCCGATGAGCTACTGGAACAATTCTTCGACTCTTACTTCCCGCAGTCATTCCACCTCTCAGATCATGGCTCGTATGCCGCGACCGCCTCCTCCCTCTCGTCCAACCTCACGACTTTCTCCAACATCAATGCTCCCAAGCCCCAGACTAGCGCCATGTTCGCGCCTTCGGTTGGAGGCGCGTCGGGTGGTATTGTACCTCCCGGACGAGGTCTTCGCGGTGTGTTGGACAATATCGTTTCTGATGGAATCCGCATGGCCGCCGAAGTCAAGAAGCGCATGGACGAAGCGCAGCGCGAACTCGAACGCAACGCTCTTGGTCGTAATGAGGAGGAGGACGAGGAAGACGAAGAGGAATACGATAGTCGCGCAGGCACCACTTCCGCTCCTAGCATTGTTGGCGGCATTTCCAGCTGGGGAGCTGGCGCGTATGGCGCTGATCCCGACCGCCGTAGTGTCCGAGAAGCCGATCGTGATCTTCTCGAGGGCGCCGAAGTCGTCAGCATGCGCGGCAAAGACGACGCGTCACTTCTTGATGATAAGGACGGCCACCACGACAATTCTCAGACTGCTTCAGCAGCAGCAGCAGCACCCGTACCTGACAATGTGGTCAGCAAAGTTGAGTTTGAGTCCTAAGATCTGGGTCCGTCCTCACCGAGTCAAACTCTTTTTGGCAGTCATTCCATTCCTGCTCTCTTACCCTCTCCCTTCCCACCTATCTACCCTCCTTATTCGACTCCATCTCCTATCGTCTATACGGCGCTCCGCCCACTTCCACATATGAAACTTTAAAGACATCTAAACATAAGAAAGAACCTTCCTGCAGACTACCCACAGTGATCGATCATCCCCGGGGGAATTTATTACTTTGCGTGTTTCCTTTGGCTGTCGCTTAGATACCTTGCTTGTGTTGTATGTTTCAATGCATGTCGCTGGGACGATCATTAAGTCTATGTTTATGTATGTACCCGTGATCTGTACGACCGTATATATGTATGCATGTATGCTTTGTGGATCCGCTTTTCGAGACCAGATCGTAGGTGTGGTTCTAAGGGTAATAGTATATTTGCATCTTTGGGGGAAGTACGGAGTACTAGTAGATAGGGAGTGAGATTTCAATCTCCCTTGCTTCTATGCTTCAGTTTTCGCTGTGTGGTGCTAAATGTGGCTGATCTCGTCTGGTATTCTATATCTGCACAATAACCCCACTACTACTTGGAAGATATTCGTGCTGCCAGTCGATACACCGTCTGCGAGACGAAAGCTCTAGATCAAGAAAAGAGCAAGAGAGAGTAGCTTACACCTATAGTACCCAGTGACCGTATTATTAAACAAATCCATGACCAAGAAACGGCGGGCAAGACATCCACGCTGCCTAAGACGAAGATTAGGGTTAATAGGATTCATATTAGGTTAAATGTGGGAACTTGAATGTGGGCGCAGCACCCCGGAGCAGCAAACCACACACCCCAATCACACAGATTCAAACCTTGATGCGGAAAAGAAAAAAACATACTCATACTTAAGCCAAGTCGTGGCTACAGGTCGCGTGACCCCTCCCCGCTACATGTAATTAGAAAGAGACTGACTGTCTGCAGATGCGTGTTAGTTACTCCCGTCGATCGACACCCTACCGCAGGCATGACAGCATTCTCTAGCGTGCAGAACAGAAATACGGAGTAAGGCTATCATGATCAAGGCAGCTCGGAACATAAGCAGAAAAGGCTCTTCTACTTTTCCCCCTTGTATAGTTAAATAGATATGATCGCACAGTTGTGACCGAAGAATGAAGGAGATTATTTAGAGTTGTCAGTGGAGTAGTGAAGGCTAAGTTACCTTCTTCAATCACTAGCTAGTTAACTTACATTGATTAACTAAGTTACCTGAGGTTGATTAACTAAGTTCCGTGTTGCGTTGCTAGTTAGTGCAATCTAGAAGTCTGCTTGATCTACTTCCGTAGGCAGCAATCAATCCAGTTGGGTTTTATGCTGCGTTTGCCGGCTTTACCAAGTAAGTCGTCTATTTTTGGCGGTAGGTCAGGGATGATCGCTATTTTGCTCGTGCGACCCAAAGGGTTCAACCGGCGGGTTTCCGCGGGGAGAGAGGTTCAACTCGGGGCCGGCGGGGTTCAATTTCGATTGTGAAAACAGCCGAACCGGGCTTTGCTGTTATGACATGTCCTGATACCATGAGGTTACAATCACCTAGTTACGCTATCTTGCGGTCGCAATCATGCAATTGCTCAGAAAAGTCCCCGCTAGATGAGACAGTGTGTGGAAATCTCTCAACTATGGGAAGACCCGAGGGCACCTTGATATAACACCGACTGAATCACAATGCAATATGTATCTCCAGTATCTATGTATGTACACATCTCCAAGCTCGATCGAAGGCTATGTGGTTCGCCGTGCATTGGACCATCAGATATTGATGAGCCGGATCAAAAATCCAATAGCTTCGATATCCAACCGGGCAGATGAAAATAATTAAAAGGCAAGATGTAGAAGAAAAGTCTGGGGTATAAGGTCAGAAATAGGTGCAGTTCAAATGAAGACAAAAGAAGGGGAAAAAAATTCTATGTAGAAGGTAGATTTTGCGTGCGATGGCCCATGTCGAGCAATGACATCGGCAGGAAAATGCACATGAGCCTATCACCCCAAGACCGAGGTCAAACCCGATATGCCGCTCTGCAGAGAACAGCTGCCGATGGTGTGACTAGGAGGCGGAACCGGTCGCGTAGGAGATGGTTAGATCGCGAGTCGACTGGACGCGAAGTCCACACCTATCAATCCTTTTGTCCCTCGTTTTCGATCAACTCCAGAATGAGTTGGCTGCGCTCGAATTCCGGATGCTGCATGCAGATCTTGACCGTACGGCCACTGCTTGCGAGCGAACTACCATTCGACAGTCCACTGGACAAGTTCACAGATGCGCCTGAGTTCGTAGGAATGCTGTTGGCGCCGGACCCGGGCATGCTGCTACCATCGTCCAGACAGACAACACCATGGCCCGGAATGACTTGGCGGAGACGGCCATTCATGGCGTTTCGCACTTCGACAAAATCATCATTGAAGAGGATAAGGAACCGGCCGTACAGACACGCGGAATGAGCATGGCCCACAAACTCCATAACCACACTGCGGGATACGTCGCCGTGCTTGTTGACATATACGGCACACTCCGTGTACACTACCAAAAACTCACTATCACTGAGTCGAAACATACCCAGCGGGCGTAGAGTGCCAATACGGTGGGCAATGCTGGTTAATTGGGCTTGCGCTTCCGGAGGAGCCTCAGAGCGGAAATCAGGCACGGACCACGTATACTTCTTGTCAATCGTGAGAATCTCGATACCCCGCTGAGTTGAAATGGCCAGCGAGGAATGGAACAAGTTGATGCCGTAGCACTCCGAGGGAATGTAGAACTCATCGTACTCGCGGAAGAACTCGGTCTGCGAGCGTCGCGAGAATAGACGAGTCCGACTGCTTGATGACTTTTGCACCACCGGTTCAAGAATCTAGAACGAGCGTAAGCACTTAAATGAAGCAAACTGAGATGAGAAAGACCAACCTTGAATGTGGACGAGAGCCCATCTCGCTTCTTATACATAATCAAAGTGCGATCCTTCATGTGGCCGGCGGCAAAGAAGCCCACTTCGCGGCTACCCGACAGCTTCTGCGGCGCGCGACGAGCCGAGTCGGTCGTGGTCTGCGTGGTAACGCCGCCTGGAGGGCACACGACATCTAAGTGGTAAGCTATCAGAGATTTGTCGGCAATCAGCACAAAGACGTTGAATTCTTCGAAGACGGCGATCTGTGTGACCCGGATAATGGGAATAGCCTAGAGCGGAACAATTAGCTTCCATCTGGTCAATGAAGCATGTGCAGCTCAGCGACATACCCTAACCCAACCCCGAGGGTCATTATATTCAGAGATATAGACTCCGTAGTCGGTGCCAATGGCACACATCATCCGACCAGGGGGTTGCTGAAAAACGGTAGCGCAGTGCACCGTAGTCCTGCAGACCGGTGCTGGGCGTGGGGAGCCCGCGTACCGCTCTTCCACATCCCTAATGGCTCTATCAAGGGGCGTCGCATCGATGATCACGCTTGTTGGAGGCAATGCAGCCTCGGACGTAGCAAAAGCAGTGTCGGCAAGCACACGGAGTCTGAAAGGCTCGGCGTTCTGCGCAAACAACGCTGCGGCATGTTTCGTCTTTGCCACGGTAATTCTGTCGCACCATTCTTGTCTGCTCTGGGAAGAGAAGGCGTAGAGGGTGTACGTTCCATTCTTTCCCAAATGCTTGATTTTGAACGGATAAAGAATCTTGTCATCCTTGGAGCTTTCCAGCACAGTTGCAGGCACCATGGTCTTGCTCGAGCCCGAGTTTCCAGAACTGGCCGAGTTACCACTGGCAGTGTGAGCCAACGTATTGCCGCCTACCCCGCGGCCGACGGCCTGCGGCTGGGTCATGGTTGCCACACCACGAACGGCGGATTTCACCACGGGGTCGTCGTTGGTACTCTCCAAGACCAAAAGGTCCATAGGAATGGGCAACTTCGAAACGTCATATCCCTCATACTTGATCGTCCGGGACGGGTCTCGTGTCGTAAATGTCTTAGCTAACACCAGGTAATGGTCAAAGAGAATGGCATGGGTGTCCACTAGGAAACGCGTTCTGGTGCCTGGTCGCTGCAGATCCCCTCTGAAAATGATTTGACGGCCCAGATGCTCTAGGTTCAGCTCCACTTCTTTCTTCATTTCCGGACGGAGCTGGAGCTTGGAGCTGAGCTCGATCAGCTCCACCTTCTTGGTCATTTCTCCCACCTTGGCATCGCATTCCAATGCGACCTGCTTGATCTCATCAATAGCCTGGGCAAGGTTGGTTTTCTCTTCCGAGTCTTTGACCATGTTCTTGTACACGGTGACCAGAAGGAGAGTGTAGCGCTGGATGCGGGTGATCGGAGCCTTGAGATAGGTGTCCCAGCTCAGGCGATTCGACAATTTATGGTCGCGCGCTTGGTCGAGGAATTGGCGAAATGGTACATTCACCTCTGCTTCTTTGCGGACGAGGTAATTCGCATGTGGGAAGGTGGCCGCATAGTCAATATAGACAGCCCGGGCCTTTCGGATCCATTCGCGGAAAATATCGCTGAAACCAGCAATGAACGGCCCTTGTTCTTTCTGGCGATATTTGAGTTGCGCCAGTAGATAGTCCTCGTTGACCTTCTTCACCGGATCCACTTTGCCAAAGACATCAGTCAAGAACTTATTCAGGCGCTTGGGCTTGATGACCGGCGGCTGCATTTGGGTCAATTGATCACGGTAGAGCTCACGCAAGACATCGAGCTGAGCGATAAAGGAATCCTCGGTGGTGACAATCTCATGCAGGTTGTTTTGGCGGTCAATCTCCTTCTTCGGATATGTCTCCCAGACCTCCTTGGGAACTTTGTAGAAAGTGACCCAGTCTTCGGCTTTTGTCTCCGCCTTCATCATCTGCGCTTTCAGATTCACCTTCTTCAGCGTCCGCATACAGTGATGAGAGTAGCAACGGCCGAACACCTCCGTTTCCTGTTCGTGCAACCGAGACGAATAACACCCAGTGCCGGTGATCTGGAACAGGACTCCGGAGATTGTGCCTGAACTGAACTTGACCCACTCCTCCTCCTTCACCAGAACTTCTTCGGCGAGCATGTTCCTGACCACGCGAGCAGCCAAGGTTTCGGCATCCGCCATATTCATGGTCGGGACTTTGTGGGTGAACAAGGCAACAATGGCATCGACAATGGCCTGCTCCTTCAGATCGGTCTCGTCCTCACTAAGGTCCCGAATCCAGGTCAGGACGGAGCTCAGAGCCCAAGGCTCCGAACAGCGGCGGAACTGCTCTGATGAGAGCTTGGCGGGGTTAAACTTCTTGCGGCGGCCAGCCGGGATGGCAGGCAGATCGAGCGCCATCGCTGCGGCGGCAGCATCGGGCGAATCGTCAAACTGGAGCGCGCCATATTGCTGCTGACGGAGCAACTCCTGCTGCTGCTGCTGCTTGTACTTCGCCCGATCTGCATCTGTTTTCGATCTGATAGGGGGGTCAGTACGAGGTCCACTTGGATGGCTCGAGAGAGATGTCGACCGTGGCACTTGAGCAGAAGAATGGGACACGGTCGGGTTGTAGGAATCAGGAGCAACAGGAAAATAAGAGGGGCTATACTGTGTAGCATCCCGCACATCCGCTTGGTCCTGGTGACGATAGGTTCCTGCCGGCATCAAGTGAGACCTGAGGGTAGGGTTGCTGGCTGGTTCGACCGGAGCCGGAGGAAGGGGCCGCATCCCGGGATGAAAGAAAAGGTCCCCTGGTTCATCCCCCTGCCTTGAGCTATCACTTTCCGATCGCTGGAGGCCCTGGTGATCGCCCAGCGGGCCGTGGGTCTCATCTCCATAATCGAAGCTCATCCGACGCTCGTACGCTCCCGGCTCCGATAATCCTCCTGTGCCACCCGCATCCACTCGAGCATAATCCGGCATCTGTGGATAAGGGTATCCGGCCGAATCGGCCGTGGGCGGAGAGTCGTATTCGTCCGAGTACTCGTCCCGGTCACCTGCCGACAGGTGGGAGCCCCGTAACGAGCCCGACGTGGCTGGCAGTCGATCATCACCATAGCCATCGGTGGCATAGCCATTCTCGTCGTATCCTCCCACCCCGCCATAGCTGCCGCCCCCGTATGAGAACTGATCGTCTTGAAGCCAGTCAGTGGGAGGCGATGTTGTCTGGGTATCCGATCGCGCGCCGTAAGCACTGATGATGGATGCATTGGTTTCTCGCCGCGCACGTTCCTCTAACCGCTCTGCTTGAACGCGGTCCTCCTCTTCAGCCATTTGCAACATGGCCAGGCCTGCCGCTGCCTCCGCGTCGCTGTCGTCACTATAAGCGTCATAGTTGACATACTGGCCCGTTCCAGTGGCAATGCTCCCGTTAGTGTGAGTGTGTCTCTCGTCGGGGGAGAGCTGATGAGACGAATCTTCGGGGTCGAGAAACTGGTCAGTTTCCGCATCCACCGGCGGGCCCGGCAGAGGGCGGGCTTGCGGGTGTCGAGTCAAGGTATCTGTGCGCCGGGGGGACACTGGGGACTGGACTTGGTGCACGGGTGGAGTGGGCAAGGATCTCCCGCTGCCAGCAAGTGTTAGGCTTGCGCGCTTTCCATAAACGTCTTCGCCTATTGACGAATGCGCCGGGGGCACTGGAGGTTGGTCGTCCAGAGCAGGGAGTAGAACGGCATCGGATCGACGGGGCGATTGGGGAATGTAGTTCGACATCTGAGCGCTTGTCATGTACGGAGGGGAAGCAGGAGGATTAGAATCAGCGGGACCAAACGTTGCCGGAGACGCTACAGTGTAGGGCGACGGTTGCGCGAAGCCATACTGTGCGGCCGGACACACCCCTCCGTACTGCGCAGCAGGACGGCTTCCGTAAGGGTGGTCGGGACCGCGGGGAGGGGGCGGCGGTGGGGGAAGTTGTGGATGAGGCGGCCCACATGTCAGGGGCGAAGAAGGAGCTTGGTCATATGTCAAGGAAGGTTGTCGTTGAATGGCCGCTGAGTTGAGACTGGCTGTCTGGTAGGCAGCGGGATTATATGGCTGATGTCCTGATGCGATTGGGTTGCTCTGCGGAGAGCCCGGACCGGCGTATGCGATTGGGCTGAATCCGACTTGCTGCTGAGAAGGAGTGGGTGGCAGGGCATACTGTTGAGGGTTATACGCGAGCTGGGTGGGAGAGGCAGCGGCGGAGACGGATGAGGTATATTGGTATTGGTAGCTGGACTGCGAGGAGGCGCGCGTGCGAGACATTTGAGGGGAGGAAGGAGTGGGCAGATGCGCGTATCGAGGGTCTGCAAGGTCATCGCGGTCTTGATCCCCATAGCGAGCGTTCACTTCGGTCGCTCTTGCATTCTGTGGCTGAGCCATTCCCAAAAGCCCTGCATCGTCCCCCACGTTGTAGCTAGGCATGCGTCGAAGTTGTGGGCTGGTGGGCTGGTTGGGATACAGGTCATATCGGGTGGGCTGCGCTGAGGCCGGAGGAGAATTCGTTGATTGGCCATAGATCGGGTAGCCATTCTTGTAGTGCGCCATGATGGTTTGAAGCGAGCGACGAAGATGCTATACTCGGTTGCCAGAGCTGAATTCCCGCACACGACCGGAGGACCGGAAAGGAGGAAGCTCGCAGAGGATCGGCGCTGAGAGAAATCCCACGTTCGTGGCTGTCCAAGTGGGGAGAGTAGGGAACGAGGACCAACCGTGGGGCCACTCAGGGGGGAAGACGATCCCCGGAATCACGACAGCAGAGGGATGAATGCAAGAAAGGACAACTCAAGGGACCGGAAGGGAGGCGCGACGGCCAGCTGGAGATTTGTTGGGGGGAAGATAGACGTCGAGCCTCATCCGGAGGTGAGCCGACAACCACAATAATCATCCACAACAACAGGTTCAACCACCACCTCTCCACATACCCTGAACAGGCAGGCGATCGAGATCCACGGGGAAGCGATCGTTGAAGGAAAAGAACTGTGATTGGAGAGGGGAAATGAAAGGAGTTGATAAGGCAGATGTAGGTTGAGATAGAGGGAAGGGTGGGCGGGGAGGAGGAGGAAGAGGAAGGATGACAAGCAATCAGTTAGCAGTAGCCACAGTAGAGAAAAAAGGGTAATGGAAAGCGATGCAGTGGCAGCCACGGGGGGGAGACTGAGAGAGACAGAGAGAGAGAGAGAGGGAGAGAGAGAGAGAGAGAACAGTCTTGGCAGCGGATAACTGGGAAAGGAGTTCGTTATGCAGAATGGAAAGGGAAGGCGGTCAGCAGAAGGGGGTATATCATTTCTGCCTGCAGAAAGAAGTTGTGTTTGCTACTAACTTCTAGTCAACAATCAACTACTACATCAAACTTGAATCCTCCAAGTATATCATCAATAATTAAACACTAAACTCGAGTCGATTACCCGCAAAATCTCTCGCAAAGAATCGACGAGGATATTCTTCTCCCGTTGGTCCCGAGCACATTCCCAATCGATCTACATCCATCGGGGCCGCAGGACCTCCGCTCTCGTGATGCGCCAGGATGCGTCTCTGCAGCCTCTGCAGCTCCTCCAGCGAGGAGACTCGCAGACAGGCATGTCTTTGAGAGTCAAGCTCGGCGTTGGGTCCTAGATTCACGTGGATCTGCTGGCTTCCGTCGGGAGTGAGATTAAACCTTGGCCGGTCAGTTCCTGGTCGCGTTGCACTCAGTTGTAGGGAGGTCTAGTCGCACCAGAGGATGGTCCCCTTTTGAAGCTCTGGGACGGGAGCTGACACCAGCCCGAGAGTGTCGCTGTAGAACTCGGTGGCTTGATCAAGGGTGCCGTTGGGCACGAGGATATTGACGTGATGAATGCCGGAAATCATGTTTGGGGAGAGGTGGTGTTGCAGTGGTGGTCGTAGTACTGGGAGGACCAAGCAACAAGCCTTTATGTGAAGAAAGGGTCCAAGGGTCTCGAGAGGGCGAGGTCATTCCAAACCCCACAAGTTGGCTTAATATCCTGGGGACAACACGAGAAGAGACTAAAGTGGTAGCATTTCCCGCTATCTGTACGAGAATCTCGGAATCTGGTTTCCTGGAACGCTTTCCCCGCGGGGGAAAAACATACTGATCGACTCACCAGTCACCACCACCCAGTGAAAAGCTTCATTGATGAGGCATTCAGGTTCTCTAGGTTTTTTTTTTCGACTCCTTTTTGAATATAATATACCAGCATGAGCACGCTCTGGTCAGGTTGTCTGTAAGATGACACTGCAGTGCACCAATGGGTTTATTTCAAGGCTTCACTCCTGAATATATCTCGAAACTTGTACTGGTCAATGTGAACGCGTATGCATTGAAGAGGCAAGGCGAGGCGAGGCGAGGGACGGTAGAACTTTTCCAGCTTTCTTCTATCAGCATGATTCGATTCAAGGAATATATCTGCTTGAATCATCATCTTCATTCAAAAAGCTGGAGACTCAACTCCCTCTGTCTACCAAAGCAAGGTCCGGCCCACGGAAATATTCCGCCCACCGAAGCGGATCATCTCCGACTACACTTTCTCTTTCCCCCTCTTCTCGTTATATTCACCTCCTCTCTGGACCAACTTTCTCCTTATCTTCTTCGCAGTCTCTGTTCCGAATCATACGATATCGAGCACACATCATTGTGACTGGGGGATTGGGTATGAGCCTTGGGCAACTGTCCCAAGTGCTTGCCCACGTGCTGCCGACGTGGGCTGGCTGCGCACTATGCGCTTTCTCGGTGCCTTCTTTCATTGCCTCAACGGGTGGGTTCTCGCGCATTGACTGTCCTGAAATGTCTCTATCTGCCTATCTCTTGAGAAGGGCTTTACTGACTAGTCATGGCTGGCCCCAGAGTCCCCAGGTCCCAACCTGATGCCGAACACCCAATGATGAGTTTCCCGCCGGGGTCCACTCGCAGCCGTAGTCCCTTATGCCCGCGGAATTAACGCCTGTTGCCCCTCGACCACAATGACTTGATCCATGCAGCGATGGCGGAATCCAACCTGATCATCGTCAATAAACCTCATTGCTGCTCTGTCTCGTCCCGCTGCTGAGCTCCGTCTGCTTTAGCAAAAGCTGACACCGTCTGATTACCAGTTTGGTGGATCTCCACTCTCGGAATACTCGAAAGATAAAATGTGATATGGATCTCGAGATAATGGCTCCGTTTCCGACCCACATCAACCGGCATCGGCTCTCGGGAGGAAATTCTGTGCTGTGGAAAGAAACGAAAAACACGGTCACCTCGCTAGAACCGAGCTCACTTAAAAGATTGATCGGCCCCCATCGGGCCACGGTGCCTGACTCAGTTTTCTCGAAACCCGTCTTCGATTATCCGCCATAGGGAAGCTCTCCAGGCGCAGAGTTTGAGCTGTAAAGATGAGCCAATTCCCCGCCGAGAAGTACGCAGTCGAGGCCGAGGATGCTTCCTCGATCTCGGACCAATTCGCCGGGACTCCTTGGCGCGAGTCCCGGACGGAGTACCCAGACCCCCATGATACCATTGAGCTGGAACGAATCAACACTTATCGCCTGCAACAGCAACTTACGGTCGGATCTAATCGCAGCCGAACCCCGCGTGAGCAATGGCTCCCGATGGGGGCCGGGAAGCCCTATCCGCCCGCCCTTCCGGACTCGGAGGCTTATGTGGTGGAGTTTGACGGAGCGGATGATCCTATGCATCCCCAGAATTGGCCTCTCAAGCGGAGGTACAGAAACTGATGGTGGTGTCTGTGATCCGAATGCTAATGCTTTGCTAGAATCATGATAGGTTCTTTGTTGACCTTCTGTGCCCTGGTCACTGCATTCGTCAGTGCCGTCTTCGCTACGGCAGCTTCAAAGGCCGAGAAGGCCTTTGGCTTCGGTTCTGAAGTCGCCGCTTTGGGCACGACGCTCTACGTACTTGGGTTCTCTGCTGGCCCCACCGTCTGGGCTCCCAGCTCCGAGTTGCTCGGTCGACGATGGCCATTGATGATCGGAATGTTTGGATTCGACGTCTTTACCATCGCGTGTGCGACCTCCAAGGATACGCAGACCGTCATGCTGACTCGCTTTTTCTCTGGTTTCTTCGCCGCGAGTGTCATCGCTCTGGTGCCAGCCAGTCTCTCTGATCTGTTCAACAATCAGCAACGAGGAATCGCGATCGCCATGTATACGGTGTCTGTCTTCATGGGACCATTCACAGCACCTTTCATCGGTGGCTTCATCGCCGAGAGTTATCTCGGTTGGCGTTGGACTCTCTATTTGCCTGCCATTGTCGGGTTCTTCAGTCTGGTATTGATGATTGTTTTCTGTGAAGAGACATATGCCCCTATTATTCTGGTACAGAAGGCAGCTATTCTCCGACGCCAGACCCGGAACTGGGGCATTCACGCACGCCAGGCTGAATTGGAAGTTGATTTCAAGGAGCTGGTGACGAAGAACCTGGCCCGTCCGTTCCTGATTCTCTTTACCGAACCGATTGCTTTCTTGCTCACGCTGTATATGTCATTCATCTATGGATTAGCGTATGCTTTGCTGGAGGCATATCCGATTGTATTTTCCGGCACTTATGGTATGACCGGCGGGGTTGCCGGATTACCATTTATCGGGTTGATCATCGGAGAAATATCCGGCACCGCTTTTGTCCTATCCATGCAAGGCTCATATACACGGAAGTTGAAGGCCAACAACAATGTTCCGATCCCCGAGTGGCGGCTACTGCCATGTATTGTGGGTGGCGTGGCCTTTGCCGTGGGCTTATTCTGGTGAGAATCATGGTCCGATCCGATATCGCTCGCGTTCTGACATGTTCTGCAGGTTCGGCTGGACGGGTTGGAATAATTCGATTCATTGGATGGCGCCCACGGCTGCCGGTGTGATGGTGGGTTTCGGAATCACCTCGATCTTCATGCAGGGATTCAATTACTTGCTGGACTCGTATTTGCAATTGTGAGCATATCTAATCGGCGCCCATTCCCTCGGATGATATAACTAATCCCATACAGTGCTGCGTCGGCTTTTGCAGCCAACACCATGATGCGGTCTATGGTCGGGGCAGTCTTCCCCCTCTTCACCGAGCAGATGTTTCATAACCTGGGCATCCAGTGGGCTGGTACCTTGCTTGGATGCATTGCTGTGGTAATGATTCCAATTCCCGTACTCTTCTACGTGTACGGACCACGACTGCGCAAGAAGAGCAAGCTGGCACCGCTCGTAGTGCCGGCGGAACAGCTGAAAGAGGCATAAAGGGGTAGGGTGAGGTGCACCCACAGATAACATAGACTAATAGACTTTTTCGTGCGATCCCGGGCAGCCACAGCTCGGGGGATCACTAGCGAACCATACCCATGATGCTCACGAACGGAACGTGCGTTACGTTAAGAGAATGATAGACTCACCGTCCATCAACTGATGATGTGCGATATCGTGACTTAAGCCATAAATTTTCGCATGAGTTTACTATGATTTTCCTGTCAGAGATGGGACGTCTACTCAAGACTCCTGGAGCCATCATATTGCGACCCACGCACCGAGAAGATAGGTCTGCAGCCTCTCTCTCATCCTAGTCCAAGCTCGATATACATAACATATATTGCGTGTATCGTGTTCCGGATATAATCGGTCCTTTACTTTCCACTCGACGGAATTTATCAACTCCGTGTCCTCCACAAAATCTCCATTCCTTTTCCCATCCCGCACAGCAATTCCAGCTCAGAGCAGATAACACGGCTTTTCTAGGAGCAACGGGGCTCTCTATTGGCGGATTTGAATTGCGCACATTCCAGAAACTCCACATTGCTGGGTTAAGCTTACGGCCGGAATATCACCGAGTTTGGTTCAGGGCAGTCTGCATTTGTGATAACCCCAAGGACAATACTCCCTTAATTTAGTCCAAGTATGTTAGTCGTCGAAAATCCGATAGTCGGCAAATCGTCAGTCAATCTTAAGACTATGCCCCCGAACTCTCGAGGACCTACTGCATTCAGAGGTGGTCGCCTGCCTTCAATAAACAATTACTACATGAGAAGCATGTTACACAGCATGGCTACACAGCCATACAACGACGAGAGAGTGACCGTAGGGTTTACTTATATGGGTGCAGCGCCCGTCGACGGTCCTCCAGCCACCGCATAAACTTGTCTCGTTGGTTGCATCGGTCAATACTTGGCGCTTCTCTTGCGAACGTTGTATGCCACCTGTTGCTCACCGCTGTGGTTGTTACTGTATCCCAGCTAAATCCAGTCCAATCGATGGCCATCTATAAGTGACCATCATCGAATTCATGGAGGTCTGAGATTCTGACAGACCAATGGTCTCGTCAACTAAGACCTCACTTAGCCAACAGACGCTTCCTGGCGTGTGCAACTGCCCAGGAACATCCAATCCCGTGATCCAAGCTTGGTACCTACTGCACAAGGCAGAGATGCATGTTTGTGCGTGCTCTTACTAAGACACCAATGCCATGTGAGTACCAAGTTGCTGGGATTGAGCCGGGTTCAACTCCTGGTGCAGATCGGGGGCTTGACCCGCCAATCATAACCAGTTTATTGAGAAGAAAGTACCAAGGGTCAGCATTTCTCGCACAAAGAAAGGTACATTTGTCGTGGTAGGACTTTGGCCCCTGCGTTCCAGGAACATTCCAGGAGGAGGGTGGAAGCGGAGCCGAGATCAGATCCGCTGAGACGCTACGGGATCAACCTTGACCCCTGACTGAATTGGGTCTTGGTTCTCAGGGATAGGGACGATTGCATAAAGAGGTATTACTGTGGTTTTATGATGTTCAGTATCGCCAGATCATGCGTCAACTTGCCTGTCGATGGATGCAAGCAACTCCATCCGATAATTCCCGTCACCGTGTCTGTCTGGCTATCGTAGCTACCACACTGGCATACCTTGGATTGAGCACTCATCGCGAGGGGCAACACAAGCAAACGGCCAGATCAATTAGTTCCATACCAAGCTCATCCCTCTCGGGAAGTCCACGATCTCTATCTAGGGCCGTGCCCAGCATTCCTGGAATCGAGGCGGCTGGGAACCGCAGACGGCGTCTGGAGGACTATCCCTCTGGTCCACAGCGCCATATATTTCGCTGTTCCTTAGAGTTGGATTGACTTCGAGCTCATGACGAAGCTTGCCGACCAACCCCGATGTTCCAGCGGGCTACACACCACGACCTCACCAACCCTCGCCTACCACTTTATCGAACATGAGCTCTCTCCGGGCTCTTTTGCCGGTGATCGGCTCCTTTACCGCGTTTCTACTGGGTATTCTGTGTCTGTTCGCGGGTAGTCAACGCCAGTTCCTACCGCAGGGCAACCTTCTCACAGTAAGTCACGGAGACAAGTCTGCACACTGCAATCACTGATCCAAACACACACAGCTCTACACCAACGGTACCGGCGGCGCTGGAGCTCCCGACTTCTTCGCCATCTACCCGATGTCCTACTGCGTCGGGTACCAGGAAACCTGCGTCATCGACGAGAAGACCAACAGCACCACCATCCAGGACCGCATCACCGAGTGCTCGGACCGCAGCGTCCTGTTCGAGTTCAACCCCGGCGACGCGATCCAGAAAGCGCTGGACAACCCGGCCAGCGGGCTCGAGCCCGGCAGTTGGCCCTCGTGCATCACCAACGACTTCCACGCCCTGCAGCCCACCAACACCAGCATGGTGCTGTTCCTGATTTTCGGGACGGTGGCCGCGATGATCGCCATCGCCCTTCGCATCTGGACGATCGCGTCCGCCCGCGCGACCCGGTCGAATTGCTCCTCGTCGCCGCCGCCGCCGCGGTATCCCGGCACGGGCACGGAGTTGGATACCCCGCCGGGTCCGGTGGAGTTTTATGCTTTCTTGGTAGGTGGCCCCATTCAGGTTCTAGGGTCGGGGTGTCTAATCGTGTACAGATCAGTGTCTTCAGCTTCGGCATCGCGGCGACGATCGCCAGCGTCGTCGCCAAGGAGTTTGTCGATCTGATCCGTGCCTCGGGCGAAGAGAAGGGGATTTCCGCCACCGGCGGGAATACCTTCCAGGGGATGATCTGGTCGGCGGTGGTGTTGCAGTTCCTGGGCACGTTGCATGATTACATTGCGATCGTGACGTATCGGCGGGCGCAGCAGGAGGACTATGCGACGCCGGCCTCGCCGCAGGAGTGCTCGGAGCAGAAACGGTTGGTGGACGAGGAGGATGATTGTTAATATAGGTTCTGGTTGCATTTTGGGCGTATGTGGGGTATGGTGTACTAGATCGATTTGTTTTGGATAGTGATGGTCTGTCTCAGTAATGAGTAATTGTCTTATTGTGGTTTGCTGGAATGCAGTTTATCGTTCCTCGTAACTACTGGTAACTACGTACTAGTAGTCTCTACTTCTCGTGAGAGGGATCCTTGATCCACAGGTACAGTACAATGACTGAATAATTCCCAGATACAACCCAACCCAACCCCCGGCCATCCACCAGCTCACGCAAACACCTCCCCACTGAGAATCTCCTCCCTCTTCCCCAGATAAAACAAGGGAATCTGCTCCCTGGGCGCGGCAACCGTCACGACCTCCCCACCCGCGTACGTCTCATTCGACCACCAATTCGTCCACCGTCCCTTCTCCCCCGTGGCGGGGAGATACACCTCCCACTGCGAGACATTCGGCTTGGTGACGGGACTCACCAGCAGCCTCGGCCCGAACATATACTGCTGCGTGGTGAAATTCGCATTCCCGCCGACCCAGGCGGTCACATTTCCGTCCGAATGCTCGAAATCCATATACAGCGGCCGCATAATGCTCCTCCCCTCGCGGCTGAACCGCTCAAACACCTGCGTCAGATACTGCGCCAGCTGGTAGCGGAGGTGGATGTACCCCACCAGCACGCGCGTGTTCTCCGCGCCGTAGGACCACGGCTCGTTCGCGCAGGTGTAGGCCTCTTGGACGTTGCACGCACGATTCCCATGCGTCCGCATGAACGGGAGGAAGGTCGCCCACGCGAACCACCGCACATACAGCTCGCGGAATTCGTCGGTGTCGATGTTGCCGCTCCACCAGACCGTCGGGTCCGCTTGGAACCCCCCCGCGTCGACGGTTCACCAGCCCCACCCGGTGGCGGCGGCGGAGAGGCCGGAGGCGATCTGGGCGGCGAGCGTCTCCCAGACGGAGGTGGTGTCGCCGGACCAGATGATGCTGCACCAGCGCTGCGAGCCAATGTAGCCGCTGCGGCTGAGCGAGATGTGCGGGCATGCGGAGCCCGGGGCGGTGGCGGAGGCGTTGCGGAATCCCTCGTCGATGGCCTGTTGGTGGGCCCACGGGTAGAGTTTGCCGACGCTGCGTTGGGTGCCGGCGGCGTAGAGCACGTCGGGGAGCGCGTAGGGGATGGATTGGATGTACGTGCTTTGTCCGTTGTTCTCGTAGGCCTCGCCGAGGGCGCCGCCGTCGGCTTGGTCGATCCAGAAGTTCTGGATGCCTTGGGTGTAGTAGTTGCGGTGGAGGGCCGCCCAGAGGAACTCCCGGGCCCGGGGGTTGGTGGCGTCGTAGTTGCGGATGTAGCTCCCGTTCCAGCTGTCGGTGGTGCCGGGGCCGGAGCGCGTCGCGGAGAGGAGGCCCTGGCCTTGCAGGGCGGCGTAGTTGAGGGAGTTGTCGGCGACGCTGGGCCATAGGGAGGCCATCATCTGGGCGCCGGTGGTGTTGCGCACCACGGTGGCCATGTGGCTGACGTTCGGCCACAGGCGCGGGTCCAGCGCCCAGTCGCCTTGGTGCGCCCAGGATTGGTAATCGATGACAATGAGGGAGACCGGGATGTTGCGCGCGGCGAAGTTGTGCGCGAGCAGCTCCACTTCGCTTTGGTTCTCGTAGCGCAGCTTGGACTGGATGTAGCCCAGGCTGAAGGCAGGCGGGGTGGGGGCCCTGCCAGTGAGGGCGGAGAGGCGGCGCTGGAGGGTGTCGTATTTCGAGGAGGAGTTGTCGGCGGTGGTGACGATCACGTAGTCGACGAGGGTGGTGGATTCGGCGACGAACCGCGTCCGCAGCGTCCCCAGCTCCATCCGGCCTTCAGCGGGCGTGTTCCACACGAAGGCGTAGCCCTTGTTGCTGACGAAGATGGGGGTCGGGATGTAGGTGTTGAAGTTGACCAGGTCGATCACGGAGCCTTTCTTGTTGATGCGGTGGTCCTGCTGCGTGCCGGTGCCGTAGAACTGCTCGTCGGCGGTCGAGCTGAAGCTGAATTCGGCGCGGAATTCCGCCCCGGGGCCGGGCCAGGTGTAGGTGCGTGGGTTCAGCGACTTGAGCGGGGCGTATTCGTTGGTGAGCAGGGTTTCGCTGCCGTCGGCGTTGACGCGCGAGAACGAGAGCCGGTAGCCCCCTGCGTTGCCGCCCCAGCCCGTCGTGCGGAGGATGAGATCCCCGTTGCGGAGCGTCTGGGGGGTCTCGCCGGTGGAGGTCAAGTCGTAGCTCATGCCATGGGCGGTGCCGTTCTCAAATCCCTCCAGGGGAGGATCGTAGAGGAAGCTGATCTCTTGGCCGGTGGGCGGGCGGAACGGCCAGGCGCGCACGCGGAAGCCATCGTAGCCGTAGGGCTGGATGAGGAGGGTCTCGAAGCCATGTTGCAGACGCAGGCCAGTCGTGTTGGGGTGGAAGTAGTCGGCCAGGCAGTAGCCCGCCAGAAGGAGGGTTAGGAGGAAGTACATGCTGCAGATGTACTCCTTGTGTGCCTGGGAGTGGTAGTGGCACATAATCCCTGGTCAAGCAGTATTTAAGCTGTACAAGTGATTTAGCCGATTCAATTAGCCTAAACCCTGGCGTGAGGGCATCGTACGACCACAAATTTGGCCAGGATATGCAAGCACCACCAGGCACCGAAGCTAGCGTGGGGGGAAGTGTCGATCAGCGTCGATCAAGGCAGGAACGAAAGTGGTTGACTGCAGTGTGATGAAGCTGGAGAAGTGTTGTAAACTTGAGGAACTTGAAGTAGGGCTTACCCATCAGGTGATTGCATCCCAAAGCATTGCTTGCGCATTGAACCAGCTTGTGAGAAAAACCATGGTGTTGCAGGAGATATCGTGACAGTCTTCCGTACTTCGGATTCTGCAAGTCACTCCGTCGGGACTTGACTCTTTATTCTTCTCGGTGGGCCTATCGGAATAGTTTGTCCTTATGCAGTCTGACGTGATCGTGCAGCTTGTCGCCGATGCTTCCGCCCGAACAGGTTTTCTTGGCTGCCGTGGCGGCTGAACAGGCTATGGTGAGATTTCGAAATTCCTTGGGTAAGTATCAATGCCTCTTTCGGCATCTTTAACAACATGCTACTATAGACGCTAGGACTTTTGCTGTTTTCCAGGAGTTGACTTTAAAGATCCTCACGGTTGCCAACATAAGCAAGTTCCATTCCGGATACTCGCAGAAACTAGGTTGTTGGCAGTCAGAGCACCCTAGTATTGCTGCTTCAAAGTCCAGATTACTAGCTGTTATCGCTGCTGTTGTCTTGGTGTCATGAAACATACTGACATCAGGGGGGTCCTCTCGTGGATCCGAATCATCGTCTTTATTGCTGCCTGTCATAGGCTCGGGCTCCACAACGCGGAGAATGCCATCCCAATCAGTATCGTTGGGGAGAGGGGGATCTGGGAAGTCCAGCCGTGTAGTAAGAAAACTGAAGGACATTCCGCAACCCTGGTAAGAGGTGCCAGAGACCTGCGAACTAGACCTGTGACCAGTGCTGAAAGAAGCTTCGTGGAGTTGGCCTTGGGGTCTATGTCTCTGTTATATCTGAAGGACACCCTCCCCAGGTCTATGTAGTGTTGCAGTCTCACGTGTGCCTCGAGGAAGGTGTTGGCTGCAGCAGTATCGTCTTTTGGGTTCGCCATTCTGTAGGGTCACCCATAGCTGTTCTCTTGACCTTATAAAAGCATGCAGTAGTGTGATGATAGAGAATAACATACTCTCCATTCAATCTGATCTTGCGCCTGTCAATACCAATATGCTGGGGAGGAAACCACCACATCCATGGCGCAAAGATAAAGTCCAGTGACTTGGCGATATACTCAGGATCTGGCACAGAGGTTGCCCCCGCCCGCTTGCAGGCGTCGATCAGGGACAATATGACATCTTGTGAATGAGGCACGCGATGCTTGATTGATGGAGGCGAACGATGGCGGGGAGACGAGCAGAAGCGGGTCATATGACCTTGACATCTCTCGCCATCCAGCTATAGACACACGCCTTCTGAAGCCACAAGACTAGACTCGATCGATACGAATAAAAGGTGAATACAGTAGACGCTTCTATTGAGTGCATCCGATGCATCGAACCCATAGGAAATCCTACTCAAAGGTGGGCACTCTCTCCAGCTCCTCCAGCAACCACTTCAACCCCTTCATCCCCCTCTCCGCATGCTCTCTCGGCACCTTCTCGTCTGTCTCACTCAACGACCGATTAAAAACCTCCAGCGAGACCGGCCCTTGATACCCCGTCTGTAGCACCGCCTTGGCCACCAGCTCCACCGGCAAATACGCCCCCCGCTCCCTCTCCCCCGGAAACAAGCGATACCCTCTCGACCAGGGCAACAACCGTGGCGTAGTATCCCCATTCACATCCCCATTCCAAGAATCCACCACGTCTCTCCCCACTCTCTCCGCATCGGCGACCTGAAAGAAGAAGATCTTCTCCGCGGGGACACACTCCACCAACTCCCGCATCGACTCCCCCAGCCTCCGTCTCGCCACCCTCACATCGCGATGCACCCTCCCCTCCCCCTCCTCCACCGCGTACGGATCCGCCCACTCCACCGCCAGCACATTGAACGCATCCACCACCAATCCCACGTTCTCGCGGTCTGCCGCCCGCACCGCCTCCCACGAGCTCTTCCACGTATTCCGCCGCGCCCAACTCAACCCCTCGTACCCGATCTTGATGATCGGCCCGCCATCCGCCGCAGAGAATGTGCGCGCCATATCGCCCAATTCCGCCAAATCCCGTGCCACGACCTCCAAGTCGGCGGTCACCCCCTCATCCCTCCGGATGTTCGCGCACATGAAGACAAGATCCGTCCCGAAGGCCCGCATGAAGGGGAACCGCGCGGCCACGGAATCCAGCGCGGCGCGGCGTTCGTCCGGGTCGAGGAGCCCCTCGATTTGGCGGCAGGGTTGCGTGCATGCTATCGTGAGATTCAGGGAGGTGGCGAGAGCGCCGAGTTGGCGTGCGATGCGGAGGGTTTCGGGCGTAGCGGTCCAGGGGGTGGGGGGGACGGGGAGGGGGGGGGAGTGGTGGGTGTGTAGGTAGGTCGCCCAGCAGTCGTCGAAGAGGTCGATGTGCGTGTAGCCAGCGGCGGCGGCGGCCTGCAGCCGGGTCTCGAGGGGGTGGTGGGCTGCAGTGCCGAGGGAGAGGGTGGCGATGCCGAGGGGGTTACTGGGAGGCATCTTGTGTGGTGATGTGGTGGTGGTGGTGTTGTGGAATGGAGGTTGGTAGAGAAAGGTGTTTTTATAGAAGTAAGACCGGGAGAATGGTTTGCCGGGGTATCAGGCGGGAGAATGAATGGGTTCAGGCTCGAGCTTTTGTGTTAGTCGGAGCAGGTGGTGTTCTGTAGTGCGATGAAGTTGAAGCTGCACTGAAGCTGACGCGTGAGTGAGTGGTTGTGACGTACGGGGGGAGTTGTGGCCAATCAGGTAAAGTGGATTGTGGTGGTCTCCACAGCCGGCCATTTGTTTTGACGCCGGTCCGGTGACTTCTTGCTGACTTTTATTGTCTGCTCGTCTTGTTCATGCAAGTCCAATGCACACCGTAAGCTTAATGTTTGATGAGAGAGCAGCAATCGGATGACGAGTGATCTCAACTAATTCCACCAGACCTATACAGATTCGGCCGGAGGTGACCTCACTCATGCGCATTGTGAGAGACATGCGTCAAAATGGTAAGATGGACATCAACATTAACGCACCAATAAAAGCTACGAAAGAAGATCCTGGTGTCTGTTGCCTAATCTTGTAGGAGGACAGATCACATATGCATGTCTTTTAGCATGTTCCCTCTCCAATCACTCCGCACTGTGTACACTTCTGCTTATATATACTTCAGGACCTACGCATAAGATGTATCCCTCTGATCAAACTACCCAGTTTCCATCTTTCCTTCTCCCACCGTGCCTCCTCTTTCACTTTCTTTTTTTCTTCTTCTTCTTCATCATCTTCTTCTTCTTCTTCCCTTCCCCCCGTTCTCCCTCCCTATGCATCTACTAGGATGCCAAACCCACAACCGGAGAAACCGAACAGCCCCACTGCGTATCCGTAGCCATTACTCGAAAAGGATTAGTGCAGCTCCCACTCATCTCGCATGCGTATCCTTTGCCTGTTGCGGGTTTCTAGGGATGAAGTTGCAATCTCTTCTTTACAATACAGGCGTAATATCCCTGAATCGCAATCCGTTACCCACCGCCGCCACCCGCGACCTGCCCAACAGCCCGTTAATCTCACTGGGGTGCACCACGATCAAAATGCACAGCGTCAGAAACATGGGCACCGCGTCGAACACATAGATGAAAGCCTCGTGCGTGATCACGTATCCCTGCTGGCCTTGGACATACTCGATGAACCGCACCATGGACCGGATCAGGATCAAAATACTCATCGCGTAGAGCGAGAAAAAGTGTTTCCGCCAGGGGATCGAGGGCGACTCCGACCGCACCGTGGGATGGCGGTAGATGCGGCGTTGGAAGATGACGGCCACAGTAATAAAAAAGCAGAAGAAGAGGATCTGGATGACCAGACCGCCGAGAATGACATTCTCGCCGGTGTGATCAGTCGCGGAGCCGGATTGGACCATCAGGCCGGCGCCTGCGGGCTGTTAGAATGGCTTGCCGGTGACGATGATGGCGAGGGGTCTGACCGGAGGCTTGCATCAGGAAGGAGAGGAGATCGCCCACGACGAAGATCTTGGTCAGGAACTTCACACGGATGATCGAGTGAGGCTCGCCGCGCACGAGGAGGATGATGCGACCCAGGACCATGTAGATGGTGGCTGCGAACAGAGCCGGGGCGATCAGGAGAAGTGTGCTTTGGATGATGTAGGGTCCCAGAGTCCAGTCGGGAGATTGATGGGCGGACAGGGCACGGCCACAGTATCCGACCACTTCGACTATAGCAGGAGAAAGAGTATCAGTAACCCCTTATCCACTCAAGGGTTCGTCCTGAAGCTGCCACTTACAAAGGGATCCGATCAACGCGGCAATGGTCAGCCAGGCCCGCGTGCGAAGGAGCTGGTAGATAAAGATCAGGGTGGCGATCAGGAAGAGCAAGATCATGATGACCGCCCCTGCAGTGGAGGGATAGTAGGCGTATGCCGTCCAGCCTGCCATGGTGTTGGTTGGGAAGCGTGACTTGAGATGCAGTTTACGCCGGACATGGCGAGCGAGTTGCAGACCTTTTGTACTGCTGGCCCGGAGAAGAGGTGCTGTAGTTTCAGCTGCTGATCGATCATCGCCCGTATTTCGTACTTTCAACTTCGTTGAGCCTAGTGGTTTTGAGGCTGGAACATTGACAGGCCGCAGTTGTCAGTGGATTGGTGCAGGTCATTTCTAGTTGGAGGAAGTGTCTCCAGACAGACTTTTGCCCCACAGTCATTGGTTTTGCAACAAACCGTTGAGCCTATTATAGCTGGATAACAGGATGAATAGTCATCTAACTCCAGGAATGATATTGGTTGTGATTGAAGCCGATACAAATAGGAATCAAGACGAAGAGTAGTTATAGATGATTAGCATCAGTGTGATTTATTCAGGTTGTTCAGAATACACCTGACTATGCATCCTATATGCGATAGTGACTGCTGCCAAGTTCCACGCAACCTGACGGCCCAGGGTCGGCAATCTGTTTGAATTTCATCACAAAACCTGTTACATGAGTTCCCACAAACTTCGAGACGAATAGAACAGACACATTAAGTTGTTGACAGAATGCGCTCAGAGACACCTTCGAAACAGTCAGCAACCAGAATCAACCACGAGACGCTTACGCCGACGCTTACTCGCACTCTTTTTCACAACAGGAAACTTTTTCTTTTCTCTAACATTGGAAACATCCTCAGTCGATGATTCCGCCTTTTTTCTCTTACCCAACACACTCTGTCCCTTATCAGGATTGTTCACAGGCCACACATGCTTCTCCATATAGTTCAGCCGCTCAAAAGCCGCCAGAGCGACAGCAGCAGCTACGTTTCTCACGCGCTCAATCTCCGCCCACCGCGCCGCGGTGTCATGCCCAAAGAGAATATTCAATTGTGCGAGCACCGTCACGTCGTTCCAAGCCCGTTGCCCAATGAGCGCATCACTAATTGGGCTAGTTCCTCGAATGAATTCCCATCCGGGCCAAGAGGGCACTTTTCTGCGCGGTTCGATCGCCCCCCAAGGCCCTCGCTTGGAGGTATAGTGGCTTTCATGGATTCTTCGGAGTTTGTCCATCGACAGCCCGTTTTCGAGCACAGGACTGCCGTCACCATTGGTGAGTATTTGGAGCAGCGTTGGCATGAGCACAACCCGGTCTGCACAACCTTGATGGGCTCTCGCAACAGTAGGTCTCATAAATCGGACCCCACCAAACCGAGGGAGTGGCTCGCACTGAATCCAGAGTCCTTCCACACGGTAAGAAGACTGGTGGAAACGTTCCATCTCGAGTCTGTGGCCAGGCAAGTTGGGCAATGGTGCGCCATGAACATGTTCGTGGAACGCCTTGTACGCGTGCGCAAATCGTTCGATGGTGGTGCGTCCGCCAGCGTTATGAAGTATGAGATCACATCCGTGAGAGCTTTCTTCTTGCAGGGCTGTGGCAGCCATCAGGGAGTTGTCATATCCGCTCGTCTGGTGGAGGTTCATGGACGTGACCCAATCACTGTCTGCAGGGGCCTGGCTCTGCTTGCGCGTATCGATCCCGGGTTGTGGATACAGCGCCAGCTTAATCGGATGGTTGGGCCTCAGTAGCACGTTCAAAAGATAGAACAGGAGGTCTTGTCCGAGGGTCTGTTGCAGAATGCCAAATTGGTGGCCCCAATTGATCATGTATGTGGGCGGGCGTTGCCTTGCCACCACCTCGGACTCCCAGAGACCCCAGAAGTTCAAGGTTTCGTGCGCCCAACACAGATTGAAGACTTCCGGGATATCAATAAAGCCGTGGTTCTCTAGCAACTTACGCCAATTGGTAGGTAATCCGCATGTGCTTTCGATCTCCTCGATGATCTTGTCCCAGGGTACTCGGCTTTCCATAAACATGATGCTTGGCGTGCAGAAGTCGGTCCCATTGACAAGGGTCCGGGGGACAAGGGCGGCGAGCTCGCCAGTGCGACTTATGCCTCTATGCCATAAGGGGTTATTCTTTGAGAACGGTGCTAGTTTGGTCAGAACAGAAAGATACTGTTGATCCTTGATCTTGACGCCGGTAAAACCGAGCGCCGATGCCCATATCTTCGCATGTCTCGTGCAAATCGAATGTTTTCTCGCCGCGTCGACGAAGATACTGGCATGGATGTGTAAAAGCTCCCGGGCTTCGTTAAAACATCTGGGAAATTCTAGCAGGGTGTCTATCTGGTGGACCACATATCTCGGCAGGACTTGCATACAATCACAGCGCTGGGGCTTACTTGAGGGACGTGTCTCCGTAGACTGGATTGCGGTAGTGGAAGAAGAGGATAGAGAGTCGTCTTCAACTTGGATGATGATGCTGCGATTCACATGAGGCTCGATGGCTGCAGATTGTTGGTCTTGTTTTTCGGGGGAGATGTCTTGAGCGACACGAGGGGGTGCCACAACCGATGCTGCCCTCCCCATTTTGTACGCGACGTCTAATGCAATGCTCAGGGTTAGCCTATCATGCCCAATACGAGGTCTCATTAAGCTCACGGAATGACGGTTCAAGCTACTTAGCTGTTTGCGGTTGTGAGGGCAGGGAATTGATGTTTGTAATTGAGCTGAGGAAGGTAGAAAGGTGTGTTGAGATGACAACACCGGCCGGCCGGTCACCAGAGCTACCCTTAATCCCCCCACCCACTGCCTAACACAACTTGTGTCTCATGTCATTTTTGGCTCTTCTCTCCGATAACATGCATGATATACTGCATTGCTCATTTGATCGGTTGTTGTGGGGAGAGATAATGAGGGATGAGGGAGTTCATGAAAGATCACTGTCAGGCCGAGACAGATTACTATATGAAGTACCTCCCTTATGATATCTTAATATGATAGTGACTCACTGAGTCTCATGCAAGATGTGTGGCGAACACAGCTTGAGAAACAGGAATACACCGTGTATCTTCCGTCAACTCAGCCTTCACCCTCTCTCGCATCCACCCACTTTCCATATGTTCAGTTCTGATCAACAAATCTCGTACAACCGATACCTCTCTTCTCTTCCTCCTCCTCACTTGAATCTTCATCTCCGCCGCTCACTCCTACCGGTCACCGTCTCCCATGACAGCAGACCTAGTCGAGTCAAGACGATAGCTCAAGGGACCAATGTGAGTGTTAATCACTTGCCATTTTACCATCATGATTCTTCTGTTGCCGCTGGAGTCATAAGCTCCATTGTCCCTACAGTATCCAGAATACTGACATTTTCATCCTTCCAGTTTCCTGCTACCATCCCGACCGAATACACTCCCTCCAGACTTCGAAGCTTGCAAAACGACTGCGGAATATCAATCTCGATGGGCCGATTTGAGGAAAGCATGTCGTTGGGCTGAAACACGCAAAAGCCTTACACAGGTGATCCCAAGAAATCGATCTGGGACTTAGGATAGCTTGAAACCAAATCTCTCAATGGTTCTTGATAGCATTTGGACTTTCTTTTGCGTAGGTCCTTCATACAAGTCCGGCTACTCCGATACAAGTCCGATACACTTCTGCGTTCTCCGGCCAAGTCCGGATCATCACGGAACACTTTTGCTCTCTTGGTGGAATCTCCTGATATCTGTGATTATCACTTCCTAGCTTGTATTCTTCATTGTCTCACTTCATCTATCAAAAGTATTGTTGAGCTTGGGCAGTGAGTTCGTAGTGGTATACCTTGTTCGCATGGTTATGTCACGTGATTTGCATAGTTACGGCCGGCCTTTTGCCGCAATCCGCTTCTCTTCTTCCCACCACCACATTCTTCCTCACCAGCGACCCAAATATTGCGGAGTTGTTCATCATGTCCACGCTGGGTCGTCGGCGGAATCGCTCACTGGCCTCGTGTGAGCCATGTCGCAAAAGCAAGATTCGCTGTGATCACGGCAAACCCACCTGTGCCTCGTGTCATCGTCGTGGTCTCCGGGCCCAATGCTGGTATCACCCTGCCCCTCTGACCAAGAATCGGACTTCGCAGAGGCATTCCTTGACAACGCCACCGATTTCAGTCCGAGCCACTCGGTCTGCTGTACCGTCTTACCTTCCAGTAGAGAGTCCCTTGGCCGAGACGCCCAAGTTCCACTCTTGGCCGTTCATGCCTGCCCATCCCAGCGACTCGTCATCGCTTGTCCATCCATCAGGTCGTTACATTTACAATCTCAAGGCCCACAATGAACACTTGGCTGCCATACAAAGTATTGTCTCTCAGCTGAAACTGTTTCCTCTGATTGAAAAACACTTGCACGAATATTACTCATTCAGCCTCGCCGCGCTTGTCCCTAGACCGCTGCTCTTGCAGCTCATCACCTCAGTTCGTGCCGGTCTCGTGGCCTCGGGCTGTGCTCAGGATGGCTTGGCTGATGAGCTTGATCTTTGTAATGCTTCACAACTCGCCGAAGACATTCTACGCGCGTCGGCAACAGAAGTGGTCATCACCCGCGACCTGGATCCGCCAGCGTTCTGTGTCTTGTTCTGCGGGCCCAATTTACGCATAGAAACTCTTGGCCTACTCTATACGATGGCAGCGCGCGCGTCTCTATGTGCTGTAAGTCACGGAAACGATGAAGGTGACGATGCATTTGTTCGCGATATGGGCTGGTATGGTAATTTGAGCCTGCGACTGGCTCGTGAGCTTGCACCTCAAACAACCGATCTGATAATATGGCTTGCGCACGAAAATCTACAACTTACCACAATCTTTGAAGGAGATGCGAGTAAGTCGCTTTCTCACCAAGCTATCATTCCCATTCTGACAGTATGGTAGGTTTAGGCGTGTGGCGGCGTCTGAGTGACCTCGCGACAGATGTTCTGGCCTTGGGCTTGAATCGAGAAGCTACGCACTCTGCCACGCCGATATTCCTGGCGGAGTGCCGCCGAAGGACCTTTGCCAAGGTTTATTACCTTGACAAGTTGTTTGCATCGGTATTCAATCGGCCGCCTCGTTTGACTGCTCGACATGTAGACTGCAATGCCCCCTTAGATCTCTCTGACGAGGAACTTTTCGCCTCGTCCGATGAATTGGAAAAAGCCAAGCGTAGGCTTACGCAAGATGGCTGGAACACGGATGGGAAACACAGCATTGCAACTTGGGCTCGAATACGCTTAATCCTAGCGGAGTTTCGGGAAGAGACCGTGGAATATCAGCTTCGAGCAGCACGGGCTGATGATGCCGTGAAGCTAAGGTAATCCATGGATTGACTTTGAATCTACAAATCACTAAAAGATATTCGCAGAGAGTTGTCACATCGTTGTACACAAGCATGGAATTCTTTACCTTCTCACCTTCAATACGGGCAGGGCTGCTTGGCACCGAACCTCTCTCCAGAGCTCTGCCACATGCATGCAAAGATCTACTTATCATATCTACACATTCACTTCCAGATTTTCCGCTTGCTTGGGAATGTAGAGGGAGATGTGATTCCCCAGCCGGATTTACTGGAAGTGTCAGCCAACATGCTCGACACCATAATTCAGATGACCAACTGCCGTGGGAGAGCCTCTTTCTCGCCGCGCGACCTACCGGGAATTGTATGTACCTCTTCTTCATCGCGTTGCACGCACTATCAACACAGACCTACTTATTGATCGGCATCAGGTTCTTTCCTATGGGTTGCCATGCGCTGCCATTCTCTCGACCGCTCTGGAAGACGCCATACAAGATGCATCGAAAAGGACCCAGCTACCTCCCGGCATTAAAACCTCCCACCTCATTCGAAAGCTGTCCGTCCTACTATCCCAACTCGAGGTCGTATCCAACCCTAGCGAAACGAACCATATATTCTGCCTGAATGCATCCAAGGCCATTTCTCGCAAGCTTGATCGCATCTTAGACGGTTTTACGGCGGCGGATGTTACCAAGGGCTCTGTCCCCAGTACCCCAGTGGACTCATCACCTGGTCCTCCAGTTATCAACGACACAACGTTGACGGAAGTGGGTGATTCCTTTACCACTGGTTTTGTGGATTTTGACACCTTTAACCTGTCGGATTGGACGATCAATTTTGATATCGGTATTAGTGATGAGTTGAAGATCTTTTGATACCTCGTCACGAGAAGCGACAAAAAAATGTCATCTCGGCGAGGTAAAACGCGGGTTTGGACGAATGTGTCTGCAATAGTCTTCCCCAACCTGAGAGATGACTTTATCTGTGATCATTCAATCAGATGATCCCGCTTGACCTTCAGAACCTCTGCAAAAAGACTCACCAGAGCTTCGAAGCACGATCACACATCTGGCAGTGGATGATGGGACCTGTTGTTGCAAATCCCTACGCATGACTTCACTCCTGCAATGAGAATATGCCAGTCCATTTGGAGATTAGAGTGATGACAGATGAATTCCTGGAGTGTTTTGAACTTCCCTACATGCTTTGCAGGGAACCCCTCATTCTACTCTTCTCTCTAGCGAGCTTCTCAGCAGAACACGAAGTTGTACTAACTATTCAACTTCCACTCGACGAATTGTTGCTTTGTGAGCAAATGTTCCTCAGGTTACTCATCTGGCGGCCAGCCGATTAACGTACATCGTCTCTGCGATACATTGATCTTCTGACTCCGGAGATCTAGACGCTGGTGAGTCATCTGAGAAAGTCTATGAGGCCGATCGACGGTCCGCTACTGCTACCCGCTGTTATCGACATGAGTACGCTAGCCACTAAAACACCAGAAACCACGCTGTACGTCAGTGTTTCCACTGGTGATTGTTATAAATAGCAATACATAACAGCAATAGCACCAAACTTGGCATCTCTGTGCCAAGTGCCCAGTCGTAACCGCAAGCGGCAATATCCCGACGGGGCCTGTCGATCGAACACCCAAGTTTCTCCGCCTTGTCGCAGACAAGACCATCTTATCCCCCATACCGTTCCACCAGCGCATCATACTCACTTTTCGTCACCCTCACCACATTCCCATGCTTCAATCCCGTCGGAAACCCCGTGCGATTGGAAGCCACCCGCTCAGCCGCGGTTAAATCCGTGCTCTCAAACGGCACATACTCCACATGATTATCCAACAGCAGGTGGTATTTACCGGCTGTCTGGATATCCAGGAAGGCGGCGGGACCTTCATAGACGACCCCATCCTGAATATACCCTGGCGCGCAGATCTACTTCTTAAAGAGTCCTTCTATAGTGGTTTTCTAGTAGATATAGAGAATATTCTTATTCTTAAGGAAATATATATAGTAGTCTAGTTGATCATCTATAGGCAAGAACTTCTAGTAGCAAAGATCACGAAGTCAGTAGTGATTATATAGCAGATGTACTCGAGAGTGGGAGTACCTTTGTAGTTGGGAGTATTAATAGTGTATAGATATAAGAATTAGAAGAGATAGCATTGGCTTTCAGTGGTGTTCCAGACTACAGAGAGGATCCAGGTTATTCCTGCAGTTGCGTCTTCGATACTATATTCTGGATTAGTTAGGGGTGTGAGGAGGGAAAAGGGGTTCGTTCATATATATGACCAGGATGGGCTCGGACCAGTCGACCAGGTTTTCAAAATTCCAGATTATTAGGTCTTGACTGCCTCGACGGGTTGCTTCGTCCCAGAAGAATCCGTCGGCGTTGATGTTGAGGTCTGTGCATGGGTATGTGTTAGTGATGTATCTTTGTTGGTGAACCACAATCCCACCGGGTCCAGATATACCAGTACCGAGGAGGAAGTACTCGGAATTCTCCGCATTAGTCGTGAGAAACACGTCTCGCACCGCTCTGCTACCGACGGTGGACTCCAGCACGGATTACCGCCATTGAGCGCCTTCAACGTAGAGAGGTACCAGAACACCTGCGGGTCTGCATCAGCGAAGGTCGAAAGCAGGTACCCGACGTATGTTTCGTCTTGACGGGGGAAAATGGCGCCTGCTGCTAGAGCCGCAAGGGCTGTCGTGGAGATGAGGGAAGGGAGGTGCATTGGTGAGGCAAGTAGTCACTAGTTGCTGTTAGTCCGCAGGATGGGAAGGGAGCTGCGCCCTTCTTATACATTGGGGATACGCTAGTATCTCCTACAACCTTGCAGTTGCTCTAAGAGATCATCCCGGCGGAGAGACAGCGGGTGCATGACATGACATTGTGTGTGTCTGCAGAGGATCCTCTGAAGGAAATCTCCACCGGAGCCCGGGCTTGGCGTCCCCGGAGATGACTATGTTCAATATTCACTCCTATCTTTCTCCATCACGAAAAGGTCTGTTGTACCGTATGCCGAAAGACCGAAAATTGCATGCTTTAGCTAACTGGAAGATAGATTTGTGGAAGGAAATCCCGAGCTACTGCGGATCACCGCGTACCTGGTTCACATCTCAGGAGAGCTGCATCTGTCCATATAGTCAACTATACTAGTCGAGTCTATCTACTAGTTGTATATCTTGGCTTCCAGCCCGGGAAGAATCTTCAAATCCCCCTCACCATACGAGAACTTGCCATCCTGCGAGACGGTGACATCCCGATTGCGTCTCTGCTGCTGCGTTTGTCGCACCTTGACCCACTGCTCGGTCGTCAGATGCTGCCCCAACTCGGTGAAGACATTCTGCGTGAGCCCGAGCCGGTTCAGCAGCGGACTGTTCGTGATGGGGTCGAGCACAACATGGTTGTTGGGTCTGTACGTACAAAGCCTGCACATTAGCATACTGTACACCATCCCCCCACGGTATTGAGATACGGAAGGGAAGGGGAAAAGAATCCACTCGCACCGAGCAAAATACAAAACTCCCAAGCGGTCGACATGCGCCTGATCCGGCGGGGGCGCGTGAACCCGGTGGATGCTCGACTTGATTAACCCGCCCGTGAGCGCCGTCAACGCATCGCACGTGTTGATCGTGATGGTCCCATCCTGGGGACGCACCCACTTCCACTCCCCCGCGGAGTTGAGGATCTGCAGCGCTGCCACGGGCTGACGGAAGAGCAGAGTGACGGTGCCGAGGTCGGTGTGACCCGGGGTGTAGATGCTGGCCACCTTATGGTTTTCCTCCGGGCTGCGCGCGGCGTAATGCATGTAGCGCAGGTGGTCCTCGCCCGGGAGGTCGTAGTCGTGGTCGCGGACGAGCTGGTCTTCGTCGGGGAGCTCGAGGAGAAGGGCGAAGAGGCGGAGGAGTTTGACGACGACTTCACGGTGGCATTTCTGATGACGGCAGAGGATTTGTTATTAGGATTAGTAGTTCTCATGTGTGACGCAGGAAAAGAGGTTGTTGTTTACCCGGCTGAATGCTTCGATCTCCTCGATGTGGTCTTCGAGGACGGGGGGCTGTTTGCGGATGTGGTGTCCGTCGAATTTGGGGATGTTGTATACTTGGATATTGTCCTTGATGCCATTCCCCAGACTATGGGGGTGGTCAACAGGGAGACTCATCGCTCTGTTTGACAATTACTACTAGGTACTTGACTTACACCCGATGACCAGCAGGTCGGTAACCGTTGTACTGGCCGTTCTCGAGGTCGGCACTGTTGTGGTACTTGAGTTTCTCTGCCAGTGGCAGTGCGTAGAATTCGCGACCCAGGGCGAATTGGCGATCGATTTCGTCCTGGCTGATGTTGAAGTTCTTCACGTAAAAGAATCCTTGGAGGGGCGGTTAGGGTTAGAGGGAGGTGAATTGGGGGTTCTTGTACTCACCCACGTGTCGCACTGCATGGTCCAATTGCTTCACCAGCTCTGCCTTGCCTCCCGGCTGGTCATATTGACTCAGATCAAGGGTCACCAGCTCAGCCCAGGGGACTTGTGCAGTCAGTATTTGCGGCGCAGAGGAAATCGGGTCGGGGAATGGTGTATAGTACATACGATTTTCTTTTGTGACGGGGACATGGTCGTATCTGTCAATCAATCTGGCTGGCATGTTGGAAGTTGAAATCCAATCGAGCAATTGCGCTATGGTGAGTGAGAATCTTGCCGTTTGACACACCTGGGCAAGGCAGACATGATATAAGATGCAGCAGTGAATCACAAATTGGGGTCTCGTCACGAAGCATCCAGACAACCCCGCACGATGCATGGATTGCAAAGCCGCTCTGCAAAGCACGCCATCGTTATCGAGGACTTCTCGACTGGATTTCAGCCACTCAAACCGTCAATGCCTGATTCATGTCGAAGATAACAACTGATGGAGTTGATGCTTGCCCAGGGTTGAGGCACGCCATCCCGCACTCGTATGTTGCAGTCCTTGCCTTGCCTAACCCCCCTCAATCCATGGCGAAGATATGTGGAGTTATGGCAAATATCTCAACAATAACTAATGCATCGTCTCACTTGCCTCATCGGTACTTGTTCTAACAGCCATATAAAGTCGCAGGATGACTGGGCCGATATGTTGCTGTCGCAGTCCGACGACGGAAAGATCCTCCTGGTGGACGCAGGCGAGGACTCGTCACGATGTCAATGTCCGATAAGAGCACACGTGTGGCCTTTGGTCCTTGGGGGCTTGTCAAGGAGGTCTTCAACTGGTATCCCTCGAATTACCCGGCACATGAGCGGAGGTGAGTCGGGCCATTCGACACGTGTCCATTGGCAGAGGTCTGATGGCGCAGGATGCTCTTCAAGCTGGATCTGTCCATCTTGGTGTTTGCCTGTCTCTGCTGTATGTGATTCAATGCCACCCTTCTCAAAGAACGGTCACTAACCACGCACAGTCTTCGTCAAGTATCTCGGTCAGTGGGTCGTGCTGTCAGACACTCCGGCCGCTAATCCGCCCAGATCAAACCAACATCAGCAATGCCTATGTCAGTGGCCTGAAGGAAGACTTTCAACTTTATGGGAACCAACTCAACTACTGTAACACCTGTTATATCACGGCATATGTCGTGTTCCAGGTCCCGGGGTTGTTGTTGATGTCTCGTCCCAAACTGTGAGCCACATCCATCCCTTCCGGGGGCTTCATCTCATTGACCGGCGCAGAGCTCGATGGCTGCTTCCATCTCTCGAGATTCTCTGGGGAGTGTGTACATTTGCACAGAGTCGCGTCACCAATATCCAGCAGCTGTATGCGCTTCGCTTCCTGGTCGGCATGTTCGAGGCTCCCGTATTTGCTGGGACGCATTTCATCCTTGGTACGCAGCAGGCGACTTCTACCCTCACTCGTGCTAGGCTGATTATGTGCGAGGATCCTGGTACTCCGGCCCGGAGCTATTCAAACGAGCAGGGACCTGGTTCATCTGCAACGCTCTGGGGACGATGGTCAGCGGCTATCTGCAAGCAGCGGCCTACACGAATCTGTCCGGGGTGGGTGGAATGGCCGGATGGCGATGGCTGTTCATCATCGACGGGATCTTCACCATCCCCGTCGCCGTGCTCGGCTTCTTCATCTTTCCCGGCGTTCCGGATTCTCCACGGACCTGGATCTTGACCGAGGATGATATCAATCTCGCAAAGGACCGCGCGCGTCGAGCGAACATCCGCCGGCCGGAGAAGATGAGCGTCGACGTGTTCAAGCGCAGCCTCCGGCGCTGGCATATCTGGGTGTTCATTTTCATCTACGCGTTGAGTGCTCCCTGCGTGTGTCGGTGAGCTCAGTGCTGACTCGCCTGCAGATGCATGATCATCTCCTCCTATCCCGTCTCGTATATGAATCTCTGGCTGCAGGCGGAGGGCTACTCGGTGGCGCAGGTGAACAAGCTCCCGACGGTGATCTCTGCAATCAATATCGTCGCCTCCTGGCTGGGAACGACCCTGGCTGCGATCTATCCCGCCTGGGCGCTATACACCTTTTCTTCCGCGTGCTGTCTGTTCTCCACCTTGTGCATGATCATCTGGGATATCCCCCGCGCGCTGAAGTGAGTGTCCTATCGTCTTGTTACCCCACTGCATCATTAACCACCTCTAGATTCGTCGCATGGTACCTCTTCGGCACATCCGGCTGTCTCAGCCCCATCCTCTATTCGACAGTCAACACCATCGTGAAAGACGACTCGGAAGAGCGCGCCCTCATCATGGTACGCCCCTTCTTCTCCCCACTGGGTCTTTCTTTTCTGCTTTCCCAGCTAATTCCACGTGCAGGGCTCGATGATGACCTTCGGCTACTCGTTCCAGATCTGGGTCCCACTGCTTCTATTCCCCACCGCAGGCGCGGATGGCGCACCGCGCTGGCGCAAAGGGTGGCCCGCCTCGTTTGCGTTTTTCTTCCTGCTGTGGGCTGGTTTCATCGCAGCACTGCTCATACATCGATGGTAGGGACTACGCATTGTGGATGTTTGATCTGTACTGACGTGATGACAGGGAGCAAAAGCGTACGCCGGGGTACGCTGGGTCGGAGGGTAGTTCGACGGAAGATGGTGCGGCAATTGTGGTGGAGGTGGATTCGGCGCGGAAGAATGGAAGTTGACTTGAATTCTGGAATGCATCCGGTTCATACTGTAACCCGCAGTATGCGCAATGGGAGTTTGCCTCAACATGTGGTTTTACTGGTGGCTCAAAGGCTTTGTCAAATGAGATAGTGAAGTTCGAAGCCGAAGCCGAAACAAGCTGGCATTGACATTATTCCCCTTCGGCAATCCTGACTTGATGTACGGTACGGTAGGTAATTGTAGAGACACGTCGCTAGGCCAATAGGTACTTGGTCATAATCACCAAGCAGATTCTCATTCACTGCATTAGCATTTCACTCCCATAAAAGGCATCATATTTCGACACAAGGAAGCGACCCGATGATTCGACTCTATTCAAACTTGTTCAACTCCACCCCAAGCCGCTGTAGAAGTAGTTGTTCGGTCGATGAGGCATATGGCTGGGTGTGTGTATGGCTGACTCAAGCCTGACATCTCGATGTGGCCACTTTCAGTCCGGCGCGGCCCGTATGTCCGCATTTTAGGGCTGGCGTCTCGGCTGCCTACGGTGGACGACTCGTATTCGGCCGCGGGTGCTGAGTCTCGCCAGATAATCTGCCTTTGGTAAGGATGGAGCGATAGTAGTCGGTGTGAGGGTGTGACCTTAATTTATAGTTATCCCGAAAGGATTGGAGGGCGGGGGGGCAACCTGATTAATTATAAGTCGGGGACTGGGTCTGGCTGGTCTTTTAGGGCTAAGTGAATGGGAGGCAGCACTCAGTAGCAGCAGTCGCAATTGGACCCGGGCTGCGGACTGGCCACTTGCCAGCCAGCCCATCACGGTGTCGATTTTGGCGTTCAAGGGTGAGTTGTGGGCTACAAGCGGCGCAGAGTCCCTGTTCCTGTTCCTGTTCCCGTTCCCGGTGTATCATGATGCTAACCATGTCGCATCCGACAGCGGCCTTTGGCTCCTCCTCTCCTTTTATATAGTACAATTCTATTAAACCCCTGGTCGATGAGAGCGGGTGTAGTCTCGCGTTCGGGAAGATGGCGCTCAACTCGGGGGGGGGTGTTGTCTGCTTCGTGCCGTTTTACCGGGGATAATGAGAGGAGGAATAGGATGGATGGAGGGGTTTTGTTTGAGAGATTTTGGAAAACTCATAGGAAAAAAACAAAAAGATGGAGCTGCGGGGAATCGAACCCCGGACCTCTCCCATGCTAAGGGAATATTATACCACTAAACCACAGCCCCCAACTGATGAATTCCAAGCCGCATTTCTGGCACCATGTCCTAAGTGCAAAGAAGCACAGAACAAGCGTAGGTGACCCTCTCATCCACTTTCTGATACATCCATAAACAATATTCAACCTTCGGAGATAATCATATGCCCTCAAATTACACTAAATTAGATGTAGACCCATTTATCAACAATGGTAAATCTGCATCTTATGCAGTATAGCTCTTCCCTGCCTCATTCCTCAGCATTCCCAAACTTATATTCATTGATAGTCTGGAACTATCTTCGTTGCCCTGCATGCGGCTGGCTCTGGAAGTACTGGGGTTTACAAGTTCTTGGGCTTCGGGGAAGTATCTTCATAGCTAGCCGCAATAGGCGGGCCCACTAGAACTTGAATTGAATCATTGAAATGACTTGATTACTATTGTTTGTTGGTACTCACTGATCGTTGGCTGCACCCGAATCACCCCCGAATCAAGGCGAGAAGGTCAGAAATATCCTCCAGCTGCTCCAACGAGAGCACCAGCTCCTCCAGACGCTGCATGCGATGCGAATCTCCGCGGGTCTGCACCAGCTTCTGCCACTTTGCCTGGATCTCCTCGTCCGTGATGGGAGGGTCGAACCCCCGGGGCATCGCCACCGTCTGCTCGACGCGCTCCCCGTCGGCGAACTCGACAGCGACGCGGGCGCCACAGAGATGATCGGGCCGATCAAACTCCTCGCTATGCACACACTCGGTCTTGCGGATCAGCTCCCACACCAGATCATCATCCAAGGCCGCCGCCTCGAACTGCTCCAACAGCACCTGCCCATACACCAATTGCGCCGCCCCGATATACGCCGCATTCATCTGCCCCCCGGTCGCCGTGAGCGGCCGCACAGTCGGCGCCCACCCGTCGTGCGCGAAGACCGGCTCGGACAGCGCGACGCAAATCCTTCGCACCTGGCCGAGCCTCTCGCGCGCAAACCGCGCCGGATACGCCCGCTGCAACTGCTCAATCGCCTCCACCTGCCCATGACACCCTCCGACACACGCATGCAGCTTGACGCGAATGTGCATCGTCTCCCACACCTGACTCAGCCCCGCCGTCACCCGATCGAGCTGGTACGCCGGCTGCCGGCCATTCCCCTGGCTGAACATCGCCAGGAACCCCCCATACGGCCGTTCGAACACCTTGGTGATCCCCAGGTACCCGTTCCGCGCCAACAGCGCCCCGAACAGCCCATTCCGCGCCGCGAACGCGTGCTGCACCCGCTTGATCATTCCCTCGTACTGCGCCGCCATCAGCCCCCCGGCCTGCGTGCACGCGATGCCGATGGCGGACTCGGTGGCTTCGCAGCTGAGGCCCAGGAGTTTCGCGGCGGCCGCCGCCGCGGCTGGACAGCCGAAGATCGGGCCGGAGTGCCACCCCCGCGAGAGGAGGTCGGCCCCGTACATGGCGGCTCCGGCCCGGGGCCCGGTTTCGAAGCCGACGATGGCGGCGATGAGGAAGTCTCGGCCGGAAATGCGGGGGCGGTGGGGTGGTGGTGGTTGCGGGCTGTCCGGGGGTGGTTGCCTCTGGCTGTCCTGGGAGTGTACTTCGGCGGCGGCGAAGAGGGCGGGGAGGATGACGCTCGCGGAGTGGAGCGGGGCGGCGCTGTGGTAGTCGTCTAGTTCGACGGCTTGGATGTAGGCCCCGTTGAGGATGGCTGCGGCGAGGGGGCCGTATTGCTGGGGTGGTGTTAGGAAGGTGTTGATGACTGTGGGGGTGGGCGCGAGGGGGCAACCTTGGAGGAATCCAGGACACTGCAGTAGCCGGCTGGCTCGTAACTGTCAATTGCATCGAGGCATTTCTCCGACCACGGCACGTGGGCCCCGACGAGACCACAGGCCAGACCGTCGAGGATGAGATGTTTGGCTCGTTGGAGGACATGGGGGGGGATGTCGGTGGCTTGTAAGGAGGTGACCCAGTCGCAGAGGGTTGCGGTGACGGGTTCCTCTTCGATGGGCTCGCTGGCTGGCATTGTTGGAATCAAGGCTTGTCAGGTGAAGTGTACTTAGTAGATCTGGAGAATAATAGTAAGTATAGATGCTTGAGGATGAGGATGTGTGGTGTTTAATAGTGGAGGGTGATGCCCGGTCCCGGCGTCGACCTCCGCACGGTGCCTGTAACGGCCCGGGACCGCACAGGACCGGTCAATCATGCCATCAGAGGTCCATGAGAAGCGCACATCATATCCGACGGGTTGATGCAGTCTCAGTGCGATGACAGCATTTGCTCCATGTCGAAAGAGCAGTCATACAAATCAGTGCGGGCCGACTCGCAGCCCTCGATTGCACCACGACGCGGGTTCGCACCGATGATGCGAGGCCGACCATGTAGACAAGTGCGGATTGATAGCAATCCTCTCTTTGGCGAATCGCTTGAGTCTTGACTATCTGCTGCATGACAAAAAGGCCGTCTCTGCAAGAGACATTGCCAGGTTTATACAGCATCGGCATCCGACATGCTCGAGGTACAGTAGCACACGTGACACAGTATTAGTTGTAGCCCCCCAAACGAAAAAACAAGGGATGGAGAACACGATTTTGGTAGTCGACTCGGTGAACGGATCAGATAAGCATCGGTCATACAGGATTGTCTGAAAGCGAGAACGCGAGATCTTCGACAGCCAGATGAGTCTAAACCCCTCCGAAAAGTGCACCTTCAGAGATCCCATCGCATCCGGCCTCGACTTGGCTGGAGAGCTGGATAGGAATTCTCACATGAGATGAGAGTCTCCCCTCAATGCGACGACCCCTGCCGTCTCTGTCAACGACCGCCCTGCATATCATCCTCCGGCCAGCACGGATCCAAGCGGACTGCCACGAGGGAACCCACCGGTAGCCACTGGGAGAATGAAATGCAATGCAGTCTAGCGGAGTGGGCCGCACCCCCGAAAAGGGCTGCCCCACTGGGGGTTATCTGATGATTCTAGCCTCAGTTGGGCACTGGTTAAGCTCTGGCCACGAGAAAATTTTTCCACTGCAAGACCCTGTCCACTGACCAGTGTTTAAATGGTGCTAGTACTGTATACTAATTTAGTATTTACCTACCTGGAGGTAAATCTGAAGTCAGCGGTGAGAACTGGCTGGATGAACCCTTCACTTAGACAGGTCCTCACGCCAGTCTGCTGCCCCAACATTCCCACTGAACACGAGAATCTCACTTTCACTCGGATGAATCATCAGGACTGGACTCGAGTGGAGCCCTGAACACCGTCCTATGGTAGAGGTAGAATCAGCCGACCTGATGCTTGGAATTACCTAACTGACCAACACCCAGTCAGTGGCAGTCACAGATGACTTGGATGAGAATGTGATCAAATGCTGCGCGCGATGAATATCCTCCAACTGGAGCCGTGAATGCCATGCACTCAGCACATTGCACACACTGCACACTGCACTGCACAGCAGGGGGCTGATCAGTGGCGCGGTGAGTCGCCGATCAGCGGCATTTGCAGGAAGGGGGGGGCCATCCCTGGCCAGGGTCTTTGCACCCATTCGCCCACTTTTGTCAGGTGGAGCAGTCCGAGGGGTCGGCGATGTCCGTAGTTCAGTTCACCCACACTCATTTGACTCGGGCTCTACTCCGTAAGGAAAATTTCTGCATTATTGGCTGGAGGTGGGCGGAAGCCGGATGGCGTTGATTGGGTGGAGGCTTATCAGATCCAGCTTCCCGATTATCTGATGCGCTTATTGCTGCCAGGGCTTATGCCCACGCACTTTTATCGCTGCAAATTGGGGGTGAGACTACCGTTGTACTCCGTAGTTATCTCGATATCTCCTATTGCCACGCCCTTTTTTTCGCACCGTGTTGGGGGTCCAGGAATGCAACGAGGCCATTGTTTGCGCTAAGCCGGTGAAAAGCACCGCTAAGAAAGTCAATATGTGCTCATTCTAGTATTTATACTCAACCTGACCCCTCCATTTCCTTCCTTCTCCTCCTCCTCCTCCTTCTTCTCTTCCTCCCTTACCCTCTCCTTCAATCTTCGCTGCCACCACCATCCCATCTCACCGTGGGGATTCTGTCAAGATGGGTATCGTCACCGACCGCCTCCGGGGTCGAAAGACCAACCACACCGTCGAGGATCTGGGTCCGGTGGAGGAGCATGTCTCGCAGGAGACTCCCTCGGAGGAACTGACACGGGCGGAGAAGGAGGTGCAGGAACACCCCGAGGAAGTGACGCGCGATGCCCCCATCGGAGTGAAAAAGGCCGAAGCCGCCGCGTTGGTGTGGACCAAAAAGGCGATCATCATCACCTACGGCTGGTGAGTAGTTCACGCATCATTCCGGGGTATGGTCTGGCTAATATCCCCCATCCAGGATCTGGGTGTGTTATTTCATGTTGGCTCTGCATGAGTACATCGGCAGCAACGTGCTCTACTACGCCTACTCCAACTTCCAGAGCGCCTCCCAGGTCACCACCGCCTACATCCTGGCCACCATCATCGGGGGGGTGTTGAAGTTGCCCATCGGCAAAGTGCTGGGCCTCTGGGGTCGGGCGGAAGGGCTGATGGTCTTCCTGGCGGTTTATCTCCTGGGCATGATTCTGCTGGCCGCCTGCACGGGGCCCAACAGTTTTGCCGCTGGTTATGTGTTCTATTGGATTGGCTACGACGCCATCTACCTGATCCTCGAGATCTACATCGCCGACACTTCGGGGCTGCGCAACCGGGCCTTCGCCTTCGCCTTCTCGACCACCCCCTTCATCTGCTGCGCCTTTACCGGCTCGTTGGCCGCCAACTCCTTCGTCAAGACCTCGGGCTGGCGCTGGGCCTACGGGGCCTTTGCCATTATCCAGCCCGTCGTCTTTGCCCCCTTGATCTATATCTTCAAGCACTACGAGCGCAAGGCCTACCAGCAGGGGCTGCTGACCCGCCAGCCCAGCGGTCGCACTATCTGGCAGTCGATCGTGCATTACCTCCATGAATTCGACGGTATAGTAGCCTCTCTTCCCTCCAAACCTCTCTCTTTTCGAGTCCAAGTCTGACCCCGACGAAATTCAAATAGTCATCGGCGCCCTCATCCTGATGGCCGCATTCGTCCTCTTCCTCCTCCCCTTCAGCCTGGCCAGCTACGGCCGCACGCAATACCACACCGCCACCTTCATCGCGCAGATCGTGGTCGGAGTGAGTCTCTTCTTCGTCTTCGCCGCCTGGGAGAAATGGGGGGCGCGCGTGCACTTCATCCCCTACGAGCACCTGCGCGACCGCACCGTGCTGGGCGCCTGCCTCCTGGCCGCGATCCTCTACTTCAGTTTCTACTGCTGGGACAGCTACTTCTACTACTTCGTGATGGTTGTCTACGACCTCTCCATCAAGGAGACCGGCTACATGACCAGCATCTACACGGTGGGCTCGTGCCTCTGGTCCCCCGTGTTCGGGCTGTGGGTGCGCACCACCAAGGAGTTCAAGTACTCGTGTCTCTGCTTTGCCGTGCCGCTGATGGTGCTGGGCTCCGGCCTCATGATCCATTTCCGCGGCCAGGAGGCGGATATCGGCTACGTGATCATGTGTCAGATCTTCATTGCCTTCGCCGGCGGCATGCTGGTCATCGGCGAGCAGATGGCCGTCATGTGTGCCTCCGCCCGGGAGAATCTGCCCATCATGTTGAGTATCCTGAGTTTGTTTACCAGTATCGGGGGCGCGATCGGCGCCGCCGTGTCCGCCGCCATCTATAGTAATGTCTTTCCCGAGGGGTTGCGCCAGGCCCTCCCGCCAAGCGAGAAGGCCCAGTGGGAGACCCTGGTCGCCGGGGGGTATCTGGCGCAGATGAAGTATGCCCCCGGCACCGAGGTGCGTGAGGCGGTGAACTCGGCCTGGGGCCACATGCAGAAGTATGAGGCGATCGCCGCGACGGCCATCTTGGTCCTGGCTTTCCCTTGTGTCGCGGTCTGGAGGCACTACAATGTGGACAAGAAGCAGAATAAGGGTACTATGCTGTGAAGGGGGTGGGTGAAGGTGGTGGTTATGATAATGCTTTTTTTCTTATTTAATACCCTGGTTGCGGGAGCTCGTTTTAATAAAAGTGCTTTGTGTCGGTCGCAGGACTCTTGATGGTTAGGTTGTCTATTTCGTAATATGAGTGTACATCAATGTAGTAATTGTATGGTTAGACTACATTCCAGCCGGATGCCATGGCAACCCCTGTGTCGGGTGTATATCAGACTGCTAGAGGGTTGGATGCTCTCTTCCTCTGGCTGAGGCCTTGGGAAAAGCTGATGCCGCGCTGGACTATGCGTGGATAGTCGTATGGGATCTTCGAATGTCACGGGAGAAGATATCATGAATCCGGCGGGGGGATTGGCGTGAACTGGATGATCAAGCGGTGTTTTGGCCCGTCGCAAGCGCCTCCTTTAGATGCAAGCCGGAAATCGGTTGTCCTGTGGTGATGGATGACAACAAGCTTCATCCATACCCCTGCATCTATCGCGACGAGCCAATGGTATTGTAGGCAACACCCCCACCTCAAGCCCACCCAAAACCTACACCGTCCCGACAAAGCAGTCTCGCAGAATTAGAAATCCAATTCACTTCCATATTTCTCTCATCGTAGTTCATCAACTTCTCCTTGGCCAGCATCGCCGCCAGATGGGTTCCTGCATCAAACAGCTCTTCGCGCTCTGGCATCGCGAACCGAAGCTCCGTCAACGACAGAACGCAGGGCCGACTCGGAGAATCAACTTCCGTCGTGGAGCACACTCTGTACAAGGCTAGCGCGAAGCGCTTGACTTCCTCAATGGCCAGCCAGACATAGACGTCTGGAACGGTCACCTGGGAGAACTGGGTGCGAATGGCCGGGTAGAAGAACATGTCCTGATGACGACAGGTTTGTACGAGACTCTGCAGAAGGCTGGCTTGAAGTGGAGGGAGTGTACGGGTCAATAGCAGGTGGGCGGGGTGCGAGTTCGCGGTAAGCAGCGCGAAGATGACGTTCAACAGAATCCCTTGGTAGGTGGCCATGGGCCACGGGTGGTGCTGATTGGAGGGATCTGGACTTTCCCAGTTGTCCTAGCTGTGGGTTAATAAAACAGCTTTACAACGCAAAACCGGGGACAAACCCGCTGTTGATAGATAGACAAGCTCAGCTTCTCATGAAGCTCCATCGCAGCCTGTTGCAGCTTGATGTCCCCGGTGACCCACAGGCCGACCATCGTGACGGAGTGGTGCAGGAAGTCAGGATGCTGGACCAACTCCAAGGTAGGGCGGTGCACGAATGGCCAGCTAGGGTGAAACTTTTCGAAGTACGCATCGATATAGGGGCGAATTTTGAAGGGACCGGCTGTTATAGGCGGATCTCGTGGCGCAAAATTACCACAGGAGTCTGGAGGCGCAAGAATCACTTTCTCGTCTCGCGTCTTCGAGCTTTGCAGGGAGCATGCAAGCCCCCGTTGCTGACACGGTGCGCATGGAGCTTGCCCGTCGCATCGAGTCCTGCGTGATCGGCAGTAGTGGCAGGCTTCGCGTGTTCTCGAAGAATCTAACTTCTTGTCGCAGTGATTGCGGCGGATGTGGTGGCGAAGGGTGTCGCTGAAAGCATCTGAGTACGGTTTATTCTCCGCGAGAGATGGGATGCTTACTTCCGGGTGAAACTCTTGTCACAGTACGGACACGCTGCAGCAGATTTTGCAACGTGACTAGCAAGGTGTCGATTGAGATGTTCCCTACGCCGATAGCTTCGGCCACAGCCCACATGTGGACAACAGAATGAGGTCGAATCCATGCTTCAGAGGCGGATACAAGTGATGGATGTCCGGCAATTGTCAGAGAGACGAAGAGAAATGGGATGCCGATGGGATGCCGACCGGACCGGGGTCGGCCTTGGCCCAAAACAGCATAGCGTGTGTTGCAGCCCTGATGTGCCACATCCAGCATAATTACAAGAATTGATTCCAGTTCAGTTCAATCCCATGTAATACTTCCCTGTCTAGAATGTGCACCACGTGGAGAAATCGTTCCCTTCGCTTAGCTGCATGCCCTTCGCTGATTCGATCCACTCATTCCAGTCCATGCCACCGTCGAGTTCCATACTAGCATCCACGTCGTTCATTTCCACTCCCTGAATGGCATCGCTGGTCAACATCCAAGATACAGAGGTATCATCCATAGAAGAACCGGAGAAGGCTTCAGACACGCTGGGCACAAATTCATGCATCGGATCCACCAAAGCTGCGGTATGCGAATTCACTACTGTCCTTGAATTCGTACTATCGACCCGAGTCGTTGGAGTAGCGCAGACCACCGAGTTCTCAGCTGCATGCGACACAGGCGACTCGTTCGGCTGAGGTGCAGTGACCAGCTGACGCCACCGATGATGATAAGCCTCGACACTGGAGCCAGGGCCCAAAAGTCCAGGGCTGGACGGCGTAGGTGCCGACGGGGCCTCCGCTTCAAGCCGGGTGACAGCCTCAGGATCACTTCGTAGGCGAAGAAGTTCAGCTGCGCGATATCTTTGTGCCTTGTCTTGCAGCTTCTGGAACGGCACCCAGATGCGCCGAGTCGCTGCGATCGGAGACGGAGCTGGAATCAACCAGCTACTGTGCAAAGCGACCCACGCCCGTTCAACGCATGGTGACCACGGACGACGCGTAATCTCGATCAGGAGGTATACGATTGCGTGCCAGTGCGTACACGTCTGATATAGCCATCGCAAATGCCGCCCGGTCTCTGCGGCGTTGAGAGCGTCATTGTATTCAGCAACTTCGATGGCAGCACAGAGCAGGGTGGACCGGATTTCTTCTGTCAGCTCCTTGCCAGGGGCAGCGAAGAGTACAGGCAGGAAGACAATCAGCGTCATCTTGGCCATCACGAGGCGGATGAGGTTGACGGCCACCCAAGAAACGATACTGCTAGACCCCGCCGCATACTGCAGGTACTCTTCGTCGAGCTTGCGATAGATCTCATCCACCGAGCGGCTTTGCTTCTGCATGCCCGCGACCCCATCTTCCATACCACGGGTCATCATTTCTCGCATAATGTTGGTCAGGTGCGCCGAGAGTCGCGGGACCGACATATCGGTCAACCCGCGGCGCTCGAGGGGAATCTCCTTCGTTCCAGCGTTGATGTCACTATCGTTAATGTTCAGGGGGATCTGGGTATCGAAGCTGCCGGGGGTAATGCTCAAGTCCGTCCCCTGGTCTTCGGAGGTTCGTATGTCCAACAGACAAACCCCCCACCACGCCCTGCGGCGCAGCTCAACCTCAAACGGGGTGAACTGGGTGAAGTGAGCACCGTCGCGGTGGAGACCCAGATACTGTGCCATCCGAATCACAAACCCGGTCATCATCCAGATATACCGAGGGCTGTCATATCGTCGCGATAAGTAAAGGAAGATGGTGAATGCTTGTACGAGCACCAGATCGGGAGCATTTAAGAAATCCGACTTGGCGAGAGCTTGTTCCACTCCCAACCGGAATTTGTGGTTTAATTCGCTCTTCGTGAAGCCGAAGTTGGCCATGACCTGTTTTGGTCAGCATTTAGACCCGTCAGAAGACTAGAACCGAAGCACTAACATCCTCCTCTTCCATCGAGGCGATAGTAGCATAGTAGATCGAGAAGAGCAAGGCCTCGTTGGAGGGCGAAAGCGACTTCATGCCATTTTGCCGCCAATCGCGGACGACTTGGGAGACAGTGGGTATATGGACAATGCCCAGAAAATAATTCACATTCTCCGCAAAGGTTTCCAGCAAAAAGGTGATTTGCGAAGGAAGGGGGTGCAGCTCGCGAAGGTCCGGACTGGTGGGATTCCAATTCAAGCCGAAGATGAATGCATGGCGTTCTGATGCCGTCCGTTCTACTTCCGAGACTGATGGTGGCTGGCCGAGGGCGCTGTCTGAATCGTCAGGTTGTCGGTTGCTGGTAGCTATCTTCAACTCATTAAGCTTCAGGATAGTCAGCCGAAACCTCGTGTAATACACGGCACAGATACTAACGCACCTCGTCCTCAACACGGGACCAGAAGCCGCTGCTCACGTAACGGCTGCGATTCGCATCCTGCAGGACCAACCGGCCTAGCTGAGTGGAGACATGATTGGTGTCCACCCTGCAAGAGGATTCCCTTGCATGGACATTTCGACAGGCGCGGGTGGGTGAGTGGCTTTCCGATAAGTCGTTTTGGTCCGAGCGCTCGCTGCCGGGGGATCGTGCGAGCTGGTCTTTCAATTCTTGGACCAGACTCTCGAGAGTGTTGACCCTGTCCATCAGATGATCTAACCCCATATCTCTGTGCACGCTGGGCGAGACAGTAGGGTTCGAGCATTGAGGAGGATGGAGGCGACGGGCCCATCTCGGGGGAAGGTCAGTGGTGGAGGGCGAGATGCAGGCGATCTTTCCGCGACGGCAGTTGGAGCAGGGGGACTGTTTATCGCATCGCACCTTGCGCTGGCGACAGACCAGGCAGCTGCGCGGTTTTGCAGGGGTGGGCAAGGCACTCAGACCATTCTCGAAGACAGGAGCGGAAGAAGCTGCAATAGGAGACATGATAATTCCAGCCAGGAAGTTATTTGGCTACTCCGGGGAAAGTGGAGGGGAGTGAGTGGAGAGGAAGGACTGAGGGGGCAGCTTATCGCGCAGTTCTCGGGGGAGTCGATCGCCTCTAACCGCTTTCGGTCCCGAGAACGGGGCGAAAACGGGGCGAATCGCAGGATATGATATTGTCTTCCCTACTACTGTTATATATACTGTAGTAGTACATTTCTTATAGTTTATAGTACAATCTTTATAGTACAATGCCAATTACTAGTATAAATAATTATCGCTTTCTCTTTCTCCGTGTCTCTCGTGTCTCTCATTTTACCATTAATCTTAGTGACACACTCATCTCTTCCCTTGCCATTACCCCTGAAATACATTTAAACCCTCAACACCTATCCACAATGGACGCCCCCTCCTGCGAATGCATTAAAGGCACCATCCACGCGGGCCAACCGGTGGGCAGCGAAGAACCACTGCACGGTCTCAACGTCTACGTGACCGGCAACCGCACCAATCCCCGCGCCATCATCGTCGTCTACTCCGACATCTTCGGTCTCCCTCTCCCCAATAACCGTCTGATTGCCGATGCATATGCCAAGTCCGGCGAGTATCTCGTCTACCTCCCGGACTTTTTCGAGGGCGATCCCGTTCCCCTCAAGGTGGCCGACACTTTATTGCCGGTCGACGCCAGCAAGCAGTCCACCCTGGCCAAGTACACGGGTCTCTTGGCCGCGGCGCCTTCGTTTCTCTTGTGGATGCGACGACACCGCGAAGCCCACTGCCAGAAGGTGTGTTTCGACTTTTTAGCCCAGTTGAGACGGGACACCCCGTCCGATCGAAAGATCGGGATGGTCGGGTTCTGTTGGGGTGGCAAGTACGCGCTTCAAGCCGGTCGCGAGCGAAATCAGATCGAGGTGGATGGCGGGAAGAAGGTGCCATTGGTGGATGCCGTCGTCGCACTGCATCCCAGCCACGTTGCGTTGCCGGGGGACGTGGAGGATCTGATGGTGCCGGTGAGTGTGGGGTGGGGGTTGGAGGACCAAGGGGTGGATATTGCTCAGAAAGGACTGATGGAGGATGTGCATGAGAAGGAGAAGAAGAACGGCAGACAGTTGCCTGAGATCCAGCACAAGGTGTATAAGCCGGGGAGGCATGGATTCGCCGTCCGGGGAAACCCCGAGGATCCTTTAGAAAGGGCCTGCTTGGAGGAGTCCGAGAAGCAGGTATTGGATTGGTTTGCTCGATGGCTATGATTGTTTGACGAGTAACGACTTCATTCGGTAGAATCTTGATATTCCATCAATACCAGCGATGCTATCTTTTTTTGCATGGTATATAGATTTCTAGCCAAAAAGTCTATCTTAGATAAGCACCGGTGGCTCAGTGGTAGAGCGTCGCACTCGTAATGCGAAGGTCGTGGGTTCAAACCCCATTCGGTGCATTCGCACTTTGTTTTTTCTTTTGTCGCTTCTACCACCTGCCAACAACCCAAAAACCGAAATTGCGCATGTAATGACGAGATATACGATGAGGATGATTAGCGTTCCGATGATATTTTCGAAGATGGTGGTCAATTCGATACTGAGACTTAGGATGAGGAGACATACGACGACGCGATATAAATTAACTACAACATTGCAGCCACGGCAGACGCAGCCACCCCGACTCCTACTACTTTCTCGTGCATATAGCATCAACTGAATAGAGGCTAAGTTACCCTCCCATCCCCTTCTCATACAAGAAATACAGTTTCATCTCCTTTCCACGAAACGTACAGCCCCCGTGCCCAAAGTAATCATACCCAGGCCAGCCCTCCAACCCCTCCACAAAGCACGGCACCGGCTTCGGGTCATGGCTGAAGTTGAAATGACACCCCTCGCTCCCCTCGGTGGCCCGGAGCACCCGCATCAGGGAAAAGGCGTGCTGGCAATGCAACTCGACCGGGCAGAGGATGACGATGACGTTGTCGGGGATGCGGGTACACCCGGGGGGTGGGCACATGGCATCCAGAACGATCCCGGTGTTCCTGTGCTTGATAAGAAGGGCTTGGAGCTCTTCGCGGGGGCTGGGGGAAGTTGAGTGCATTTTGGGTGGTGGAGTATGTTATTGTTGTGGTGTGCTGTATGTATGCTTTCAGGTGAGTACTAGTCGGGGTATGCTGGGTGATGTGTTGTCTACCGTCAGGAAAGTGCACGCGGGTTTATACCTCTGATGCTGAGGAAGCGAAGACGCTTCTATGTCTACGAGGATGGGGCCGGGATGGAGATTATCACCGGGTCTAAGCACCCTGCTTTATTGCTTGAGCTTGCGAGAGAAGTTGAAGAAAGAACCCGGTAAGGAAAAGTCCCTCTAGATGACTTGCGTCGTCGAGTCTGAACTGGCATGGTAGACAAGTCTTTGTTCCGGCGCCAACACTACGACGGAGTGCATTATTATTCTTGCTCATTGTTTCCCGTCAGCGGCATGGCATGAGAATGCCATGCCTGTGGTCTCTTTGTGTTCAGTGCCCTCGGGCTGACGTCTCAGCGACAAGTTTCGCACATGGTCAATGAATCATGATCTCATTTACATACTATCTAGGTCAATATTGCATTTCATACACCACATCCAGCCGCACTCACGGCCAGGGGCGCCCACCAGCACGATTACTCGAGCTCGTACATTGGCGGACCCGACCCTGCCAACTCTCGAGCTTTCATCTGCTTCATCGTCTCCAGCTCGCGCGGCGGCCCCTCGGTCACTCGCGCCGGCAATTCCAGGAACCCCTCCGGCCGGGGCTTTCGGTCCTGCCCAGCATGCTTCCTGCGCTGGCGTCGCCGCAGCACTAGCCACAGCGCCACGGCGGCCACGACGACTGCGCAGCCACCGCCCACCCCCACCCCCACCCCCACTCCCACTTTGGCTTTGGAAGAGAGGCCCCCGCTCGTCGCGGTGGCGTTCGAAGACCCGGTAACGTCGACGTGGAAATACTCGGCCCAGCTCTCCTCCCATGAGGCGTTGGTCCCGGCGATTGACGTGTCCCTTACGTTAATGGTGGTGACGGCTGCATCGGCGACCGATGGGCCGGGCGCCTGGGCCAGAAACCAGGTACCCGTATTGGTGCCTTCGTGGTAGTTGACTCCCACGAAGGCCGACTGTAGAAAGGCGCGGCCCAGCACTGGGGTCTCGGTGGAGAAGAAGCACGGGAAGTAGGTCCGGTTGCTTTCGACCAAGGGCTCTTGCAGGGTCAGTGCCAGCTGCGCGAGCGGGACCTTGACCGTAATGTTCTGCGTGTCGAGGCCGTTCATCTTGAAGACGAAGGCGAGGTAGGTCGCCGAGTTGGTGAGGTTCGCGTAGTCACTGCTGGCGGTGTCCCAGAAATAGAGCCCCAAGCTCTGGTTGAAGGAGACCGGAAGTGAAGCAGTCATCGCATTGCACGTCGCCTCGGGGAGATACATGTAAGGCTTCGTGGGGTCGATGGTGACTATGCTGGACGTCGATCCTCCGTCGTCCTGCAGGAACAGGCCGGTCTTGGTGGTGAACCCTGCAGGAGTAGTATCCCCGAAAATGCCGAGGCCAATATCTTTCAGGGAGATCTGCAGCGCTCCACCTGTGCTGCTGGCCAGACTTATCGACTGTGCACTGGCGTTCCCGAGAACTCGACTTTGATCATACCCACCCAAGACCAGAGAGCCTGGAATGTGCGAATTGACAGATCCGATGTGCATGCCGTACGAGTAGGAGGGAATGGCATTGTCGCCTCCGGATTCATAGAGCCACGCGGTGATTATGTTCAGGGTGACGTTGTCCAGGGTCGCGGTCGTCCACGGAGCACCCAGGGCCAGATATCCCACTTGCACGGGATACGCCTTCTCATTGGGATAGATCTGATAGGTCTGGTAGACCGCCTGGATACTGACGTTGGGAACGGTCGGGCCAAAGGAGATCTGATCCCCCAGATCGCCTTCGATGCCTTTGCCTTCCACCGCCCAGTACAGTGTTTCCCACGAAGTTGTGCTGAGCGGGTAAGCTGAGCTTGACTCGGATTGATTGTAGGTGCCAGCCTGTGCGGCATAACAGGTGGAGGAGAGGGTCTTGTTGTCGCAGATGGAATCGGTTAAGATAGTGGATGTGTACGTGGCTCCGGGATAGAGAGCGACTGGTTGTTTATTGCTGCCAACCTCGACCGTCACCGCCTGCCACGGGCCGTCCGGGCCATAGCTCTGCGAGGACCAATTCATCACATAAGGCGTGGCCGCGTACGTCGCGTCCACCAGGAGGACGGCGACCACGAGGAGGAATGGGTGTCGCATATTCACATCGGTTGTTGAGCTGTCATCTGGAAGGGCAGAGAGGATTTCGAAAAGATGGCGAACGTGGGAAAAGGATCAGGAGAATGAATGAAAGAAGGAGTGAAGGATTCCGGGTGGAAAGGGGGCGCAGTCCCCACCATTCCGTCTCTCTCCCTTGTGTTGGGGGCGAAAAATGTCTGCAGTCTGTAGTAGTGCTGACCACCATCCACGAAGTCCACTGTCCTATCAACAGTGAGCTAGACCGGACGAAGTGGGACACTCTGGTGATTGTGCATCTCTCTCGGAATCTCATTAGACTCATTGCTTATCTTCGCTGCATGTCAGCTGTCGATCGCAGGAAACTACTCCGGAGTAGGCTAGAGCCAATGAGTGGGATTCATTTCGCCCCTTAGCTCAGTTGCCGTCCGTCCACTGCAGACACTGCGCGGAGGATTCTACTCCCTATCGATCACCTTGTTTCTCCGAACTGGCCTGAGAATGAACGGATCAAGTGATGAAAGGATGATTGTGGACGGCAGTGGATCAGGGCTGGTTGTGTGGCGGAAGGACCGGCCCGTCCGGACCCCGTTCCAGTCGAAGATACTGTGTATTTCTGTGTATTACTGTGTATTATATATACTGTATACGCTGTATACAGTAGTCGATCTCAGTTGCGACAATGACCGGAGAATACAACGCATACTCCAGACGGTGGATTCCTCGTTCAAGGCCAATTGACATCATGGCCCATACTACTATTCAGACCAAGATGTCGAGCTGGCTCATGTGACTCTGACGGTCGATACCCATGACACCAGCGTCCTCGTCGGCACGGACCATTCGGTGGGGAACCTCTCTTACGGCGATGCAGTCAAGTATGGCTACAGCACATGGCTGAACCAGGCCAGCTTCTTCGGCGTCAACGCAGCCATCAACATCGCCAACCAGTCCACGGCATACATCGACCACGCCAACAGCACGGTCCACAATGGCGCTGCCAACATCTACGCCGATGGCACTGCACTACCGTCGATGTCAATGACGCCGACCTCTACAGCTCCGGCCCCATCTCCCGTGAGTTGTATGCCGGCGGCAACGGCACCTTTGGGGCCCACCTCGAACACTACCTCGAACACCACCTCGAACACCACCTCCGGCATCCTTGTCCTTGCCAACACCTACCCCACAAGTTTCCCAAGCGTTTGATCATTTCGCAGGGTATGAGGAACACTCCGCTGTCGCGCCGGCCGAGGTGACAGTGACCGTGTCAGAGTCAACGTTGACAGGTGAGGTCGTGGCGTACAACAGCAGTCTCATGCCCTGAGTCTGAACGGCTGCTCCAGCTGCACGGGAGCAGTGCAAGAATCGGCGCTGTGAATAGTGATGGAATGCTTATTGTCTGACTGTCTTTCACTCTGAGTAGTAATGAGGCATAGTATCGCTCATCGATTCATGGACAGAGTATGGTGGCTCCCCTAGGGGAAAGACCTCGGTATAAGGAGGAAAGCGAGGGAACGGAGCGAGAATCCCTGATGGCTTCGGATCAAGACGTCATTGTCTACGGATTTGCTCACAAATTAAGGGTTGCACCTAGTAACGGCGGACAATTACCAATGGAATGGGGAGCGCTGCGCCGTTTCATGCTTCGGCAACCCCGCTCCAGCGGTCATTCGATCCAATTGGGACAACCTCAACATGATGGTTGATAGATCCAGAATTCGGCAGGCTAGTGTGAGGGGTGAAATTTGCGTCGAGGCCCGAGCGGCAAGATGATAGATTGGAGCATGAATCAGGTCAGACTATCCACAACCCGAACGCCGTTACTGCTGAAGTTGCGAGGGTCGGATTGAAGTGCAGCCCTTGAAGTGCTACCATAGATCAAACCATCATTGAGACCGTGATCCCCCAGTAGGGCAATCAAGTCCGTTAAAGGTGGATCTGCATCCACATGAAACATACCCAACAATCGATCGCTCTTCATGAAGTTCGCAGGGAATTCGTGTGGATAATGAGATGGCAGTGAGTTTGTTCCAGTGTTGCCGATTGAAGCTTATGATGCGAGTGCAGAATCGGAGCAATCCGACCGCTTCATACGACCGATCTTGTCAAAGTAGCATGCATCATTGCGAAGCGATCGTGAGCAAAGATCAGCATATGCTCGAAGCCAGATGAAACGGGAAAAACATGGCAGATAGCCATCAACAACGTGATCCAAGCGCCCGAGGTTTAGCCAGCCGCTAAGACCACTGCCAAAGACTCGAATTTAAGGTTCCTGGGAGAGAGACAAGTCGATCATCGCCGAGCTGTGGGTTGCGAATGGGGAAGCGTAGCTGGTCTCAAAATTGAGAATGGCGGAGCGGAGCTCGACCCCTGAAACAACCAGCACTTCCCCTCGGCCCGTTTCAGGTTTGCAGCTGGTACTGCAGCACAAAGTTAGACGATATGATCCGTCAAATGTTCACTCTATATGCGACAGAATTGATCTCGGGCACCTCGAACGGGGTTCATCAATGCGGCCATGGTTATGCTCGACAAGGAGGCTGTGATCCCAATCGCCCATCTAGGGTTATGTTCCGTGTTAATCGATGATTCTGAATTTCTTGAGTTTGAGCCGACACTAGGTGCATATCATGTCCGTGGATCATATGGCTCTCTGGCGGCCTTGGGTCAATCCCCCAAACCCCCAGGTGCGGCGATCGGATCGAGTTTCAGCTCGAGAGCAGGCGGTTTGGCAAGAATTTTGCGCCTCGGTAATGGCCCGCAGGGAGATATAAGGCAGGACTGAAGCCCTAGAGATCCTGTTGCAGCAAGCTCAACCTCTACATTCTCTATAGTCGCTCGTTATAGCTTCCATCAGTCGCCATGTTTCTCAAGAAGTCCGTCATCCTAGCCGGAGTGGCCATGATCCCTGTCGCCTGCGCCGTGCCCACGAAGCGGGCTACCGCCGGTGAGTCGCCCTATCGGCGGTTGTCCGATGTCCGACGACCATACTGACTTCTCCTCAGATCCCGCTGAGTGGACGGAGCTTCATCGGGCAGCGCAACTTTCCTCGGCCGCATACACTGGCTGTACCGGCACGGCTTTCGATGTAACCATCACGAAACAACTTAATGATCTGGTTACAGACACTCAGGCATGAGCGACATGATCACGGTGTCCGGCGCAGGGCTAACATGCTCCAGGGTTTTATCGGCTACTCCTCCGAGAAGAAGCGCATCACGGTGGCCATGCGAGGCTCGACGTCTGGTGGGTGATCATCGGCCATTCTTTGGAAAGACTTGGATTCTGACGTAGGCAGCGACTGATATTGCCAATGACGTGGACACCACCTTGGTGACCCCAACCCTTTCCGGTGTCAACTTTCCGTCAGGCGCCCAGATCATGCATGGCATTTATTCGCCCTGGTCGTCAGTGCACGACACGGTGATTTCCGAGGTCAAGTCCCTTGTGGAGCAATACCCGGACTATGATCTCGAATCCACCGGCCATTCTCTGGGCGGGTCCCTCACATACATGTCGTACATCGCTTTGACGCAGAATTTTCCCGGGAAGAAGGTCATCAGCAATGCGTTAGCAGCGTATCCAATCGGCAACTCGGCATTTGCTGCTTTTGGTACCTCGCAAAATGGCACGTTGAACCGGGGTAACAATGCTGGTGATGGTGTTCCAGTAAGTTCGACGGTCGGATCTAAATTGAGCAAAGAGAACGCAACGCTGACTGTGAGTACAGAACATGTATGTCATGTGGCCTTATGACTTTGTCCACTATGGAACAGTGAGTTGTATGCCTTGATGCAGCCTTTGATCATCGCTGACAGATCGAGCAGGAATACTACAGCTCCGGAACTCAGAGCAGCACCGTCAAATGCAGCGGCGAGCGGGACACCCAGTGCTCTGCCGGCAATGGGATGTTGGGTGTCACCGCAGGCCACTTCTCCAACTTTGGCATTTCTCTGGGTTTGGCTGGCTGCAGCGCATCAGTGTTGTAGGAGGTCGATCGGCGGATGAGGCATGAGTAGAAGTAGGCTGGGAAGACAAGCATTCGCAGCAGGTCTGTGTGTTGCATGTTTTGCTTCGTGTGCGGTGTCATGATCAGTGTTTCGGGTCAATTCTTGGATGGTCGTTTGCATTTTGGAATATTCATAGATCAATTTTAGACGTTATTACCCGGGTGGTCGTAATCTTGCAAGTGTACCTTGACATGGTCAATCACTATCAAGCGTTGCTTGAAATATAACCAGTATGTATAGCTTAAGATGAGGAGAGAAAGTACTCCGAAACGCAGAGCTGATGCGCGAAGCATGGGCAGACCACTCAGACCAACCGGGTTTGCAGCATGGTCAATCAAGTGTGGTAAAAGCAAAGATCCTGATAGCTGACATTCACTTTTCACTTGTGGCGATGCACCCGGATGTGGAGTGGGACGCGGAAAAGGGCGATACATGGCAATGTTGAAGCTGTTGTTCCCTGCATCCTGATCCGCATGACGCCCTGTCACATGCTTGGCGATGGGGAGCCAGGAACAACACTTTTCCGTGCTCGCTGCCGACCGGAACCGTTCCGCTCCCTTCCGAGCTGTACTGACTGTACTGTATACCTGTACTCCGTAAGGGTGAACTATAGAAACGTTGATTAAGAGTGAGCATTACTGGTAGGACGGAGTCAATGGACTAGGTCAGAGTATGCTGACTATCTTCTGTTGGGTGTAATACTAGTAAGTAGCTGGTTCCTCTGAACTCATCTTAACACCCAGTGCCAAACTATATATTTCCTTAGTACTAGAGATTCCGCTGATGAGCAAAACTCACTGCCATAAATTTGGGAATGAGGCATCGTTCTCCTTAGTACAAAAGTAGCCAGGTTGACGATGCATTACTAGCAGTTCCATGTAGTTCCTTGAAATACTTGACTCAGTCTCTCGTAAACGACGCTCGTGATGGAGGCTGTGCTGGTCGGGTTTGCCTGGTTTGCAGTCGATCTGCGAGCCTTGCCAAGATTCGACTCCACTTCAAGTTGACAAGGCTAACTGACGAAGGCCATCGATGGAAAGGCTCTTGTAGTATATCTAGGATCATCATCCGCGCACTGAGTTGCTTGCTAATAAAGTGGTTACACCGTCAATATACACCCGTACCATGTCTGTCGAAGATATCCCTCAGTTTCTGCTGCTCTGCCGGGAGGAAGAGTCGATCACCGCCTTCCGAGCGGCGCTGGCCCAGCAATGGCCCGCCCATGAGACGGAGCCCAAAGTCCAGATCAGCATTGTGAATCAATCCCTGCGTGATGTACCTCCCACGACGCAATTCGACCTCATCGTCTCGCCTGCCAACTCCTATGCTCTGCTCGATGGTGCCTTCGACGATGCTATCACGCGCAAATTCTGCCTGCCCCACCATCCTTACGAGACTCTGACGCGAGCGGCGCAGCAGGTCCTCTACGATCGCTGGCGCGGATACGTGCCCCCCGGAACGTGCACGCTGGTGCCCTTCCCCGAGTCCTTGGCCACCAACGACTGGGGATGTCGCTGGGTGGCCCTCTGCCCGACGATGCGCATGCCGGACAAGGTGAGCTGGGATCGAGAGGTGGTGTACGAATGTATCTGGAGTCTGCTGGGGCAGATTGAAGGGTGGAATCGGGGGCGTGCGACGGGTCGCATTGAGCGGATCCTGATCCCTCCGCTGGCCACGGGAATAGGGAAGGTCAGTCCGCAGCGCTGGGCCGCCCAGATGGTATTGGCGTTAAGACATTTTGTGGATGCGTTGGAGCGACCGGCGCACTGGAGCAAGATGAATTGGCTGGATGCGGCGGATCATCATCGTGATATTCTCCCCACGTGGAATATGTGATGGCGTGAGAGCGGGGGAGTTCTAGATTTCTTTTTTAGTTGTGTCGTTATCGACTCTCCGATCTAGATCCACCATGACTACAATTCTACCTCATCCTTTACTCATTCTGTTAAACTCAGTCGCCGCGAGGCTTCTATTGTATGTGTCCACGGGGGGGAAGGGGATGACGGATCAGGGGGAATGAGACAAAGAGCGGGAGTCCCGGGCATCCTCGGCCCAACAATAAAGTCTGGACGGGTCGGCGAGGCGCGGAGGGGAACGTCACCTCCGTCAGTGGCTTATCAGGATTGTCAGGGTTGGTATTAAGGCAGCCACTGCGGAGGTTGACTGGCCAGTTTGCGCCGTTGCGGTCCGACACGCCGTCTGCCAGACTCGGAAAAAGGAGCAGTGGAGAGCTACAGTAACTTGTTGTGGCAGAAAAAGCGATTGTGGTGAGGCTGTCGACAAAGAATAGTAGAAGGTGAAAAATTCGGTGAAAACATTACCTCGGAACCCATCACTGCGTACTCCGGTAGCTAGTCATGATGAGTGTCCACTCCATCGAGAGTACACGAATTCTCCATCAAGTCTAATAATTCAAAGAGGACATCCCCACATCCCTAGGAAAATACTGCCCTTGCTGGAATTGCATTCCAGGGTAATAGACTTCTGGTTGAGGTCCTGCCCGCGCAACAAGGTTCGAGGGCAGGTAGACTAAAGATAGACGATGGGGTTGACAAGCAAAGTCAAGATCGAATGGCAGGTGATCGACGAAGAACTAAACGACTAGAAGCAATCATCTGCACCGATCACCCGCGGGTCGATCGTGACCCTCTCCACCACTCTTCATCCATCGGTGCTTGTGTGTAGATTGTCCTCTCTTGATCTGTGCCTAACTGCCAAGCAGGAGATCTTGATGCCAAACCCTCTCTATGGGCAAAATGCAAGATCATGAGCCGAGGAGATCTCGGAAGGGGGGAGGAAGGAGAAAGTGGAGGCAACGGTCGGGGGGTCATCTTTTGAGCAAACGAGAACCATCTCGCTCCTGCGGCCAAATTTCTCTCGAAATTCGGGGGGGGGGGGCGGCCCTGGGAATGGAGCAGGTTCTGGAGAGGGATTGGAGACGGGGATTGGCTGGAGGTGACATGCGGAAACATCGCGTGGAATCCGACCGATCCACTGGGCGAGGAGGCCTTGGAGAGATGGCGTTGACAGCCGGGTCTAGATTGAGAACGACCGCTACCGGGAAGGCATTGATTGGTTCAACGTGCAGCCCACCCGCCAATAATCTTGGATAGCCTGTTGGTCGGCAAGTTTTATCGGTGGAGGGAGGTGATCCGATGACGTCGCGGCGGAAGGACAATTCGCCAGAGAGGGCAAAAGTGGTACTCCGGAGTAGATTTGAGGAGTAATAAGTATCTCAAAAAGACTCAAAAGACACAAATTGTGTGTGTCTCCATTAATAAAAAGAGTGGTTCTTTAGTGGGATGGGTGGAAATTTGGGAAGAGATGAGATCGGGACGAAAGGTGGGGATAAAGACAGAAGAATATACAGGTAACCACCCAGATTATGGAAAGGCAGGTTAAGGGCAGTCAGTGACCGCCTCCAACTGGAAGAACTAACTACGGGTACCTTACTCTATGAACAGAGAGGACACGGAGAATTGTGCCGGTTGCTGGTGTACTCCTTAGTGCCTGCTATTGCCGCCTTCCACTCTCTCTCCCTCACACAACACACACACACACACTCTCTCTCTCTCCTCGCGCCCTCCCCTACTTTTTGCCTCCTCCGCCAATTATTTACTACTTACTTACGACTACTTCCCCCCTCCGAGGCTTTTCCTTTCGCCTCCCTCCTTCCGCCCCCTCCCCCCCCTTCGCCCCTCGTCTCTTTTGACCTTCTTTTCCCTCTCCCCTTCCCCACTCCACACTTTTTTTTCTTCCTTTGGTTTACTTAGCTTTGATAGCCCTTGATAGCCCGGATGTAGTTTGCTGAACGTGGTTCTCGTGCTTGATTCACTCCATCCCCGCTATTTTCAATATCCGCGCCGATGTCCGAGTCATTCGAGTCTGAGGCGGCGGCGATCCATGATCCCGCCAGTATGGCGCAGGAGCGGGAGTTCTATAAGTAAGTCCGACGTGGCTGACACTTGACTTGAGAAGATTAGCTTCAGGCTGAACAGACATGATTTTCTTCAATAGATACTGTCAATTGCCTCAGCGTCCCGGATTGTTGCATCGTCCACCCACCACCCCCTCCTCCGAGGAAGCTGAAGATGAAATGCCCCAGTCGTCCCAGGACACCACCTTAACCGCCCTCGCTCAACTCGGGGCCCTGCGCTTGAATGTTCGTCGGTGTATGATTTCGCTCTTCGACCGCCATACTCAATATATCCTCGCCGAAGCCACTCGCACCCTCAGTCTGCAGGATGACCGCGTGCACAAGGATGGAGATGCCCTCTGGCTGGGAAGTAGTGCTATCTCGAAATGCGATGGTGTTTGTCACCTTGTCTGCGATTATGAACAGCTCAATGCTGGTGAGGAATCTCCGAGTAACGGAGGGGGCCCGTTTGCGCTAGTCATTCCCGACATGACCCAGGACGATCGAACCAAGAACCGCGGTTACGTGCTCAACGCTCCCTCTCTTCGCTTTTACGCTGGTGTACCCATTCTCAGTCGCCGTGGTATTGTGATTGGAGCCTTTGCAGTTAGTGATGGGCAGACGCGACCGGCGGGGTTGGACGAGTTGGAATTGCGTTTCCTGAAAGATACCGCTGCCGCCATCATGAACCACCTGGAAATGGTCCGCTCTCAGCAACAAAATCTACGCGGAGCTAAAATGATTGCCGGATTGGGACGCTTCTTGGAAGGCGGCCTATCGTTACCTTTCGGCCTGCGTAGCAAGAGTGTTGATACTCGCGACCTGTCCGAAAACAAGATGCATCTGCGCTGGAATCATGGCTCACGGGCCCCAGGGTTTTCCTCTTCTCGTGACGTCCGCGAGCACCGGGAATCGCGGGAATCGAAGGAAAATAGAGAACCAAAGGAGGCCAGCGCACCAAAGGAAGCGTTTTCGCCGTCAGGTTTGTGCCTCGGTGCGAGACTGTCGAGCATGACTAACAGGGAAAAAGGATATGAAGGATGCCGTACCACGGACAATGCGACAAGCAAGAAAAATCCCTTGAACAAGACACTCTCCTCCGGCACCCGGGAAATTTTGAACCGCGCGGCCCATGCCCTGCGCGAGTCGTTAGATGTGGAAGGAGTGGTGTTCTTCGACGCCAGCGTGCGCTCGTACGGCGGGCTAATGCAGAGCGGGGAGGCCCGCCACTCGGATCTCGAGATCAGCACCACTTCCGGCTCCGGCGAATCTGGCAGCGATAGCGAACACTCCACCGTCGGTCATTCATCCACCGAGACGGACGAGGCTGCACTCTGTGAGGTTCTCAGTCTTTCGACTGAGCCCGAGGACGCTGGCCTTCCGATTGGATCCTTCCATGAAAGCTACTTGCGGTCGCTGCTTCATCACCACCCCCGCGGTGGGATCTTCAACATTGACGAAAATGGATGGGTTTCTTCGAGCGAAGGCAGTGACGGTGCGACTGGCAGTGCTCTGACCCGCGATATCGTCTATCGGCGCCAGGTCACCCAGGGCGGCAAGAATGGTCTTCGAAGCAAGCGACAGAAGCTCACCTCCCGCGATGAGTGCAAGGCTTTGCACAAGGTCTTCCCGCTAGCGCGAAGTGTCATCCTGTTTCCAGTCTGGGACTCGCGGCGCAACCGATGGTTCTCAGGACTGTTCGCGTGGACCAACACCCCACGGGCCTTCAGCTCTCGAGGTGAATTGGCCTATTTGTATGCCTTTACCAATAGCATCATGGCTGAGATCCACCGATTGGATATCGAGCTTGCCAACAAGGCCAATCGGACCCTCGTCAGCAGTATCTCCCACGAACTGCGGAGTCCCTTGCACGGCATCCTGGGGAGCACCGAGTTGCTGACCGACTCCAGCATGACGCCACCACAGGTCGCGCTCGTGCAAACCATCGAGAACTGTGGCCGCTCGTTGCTAGACATCATCAACAACATGCTAGACTTCGCAAAGATCAACCAATTCACCCGCAAATCACGCTCGGGGCGGTTGAAAGCAGGACCCGCCTTGGCACGCCGACAGGCCAACACCGGTCGAGCGCTGGCGAAAAAGCGACCAAGCGAAGGTATTGTCAATCTCATCACCGACGTACAACTCGACTCTGTTCTCGAGGAGGTCATGGATACGGTCTTCGCTGGTCACTGCTTTGCCACCACCACCGGATTCTTAGCTCAAGGCGGGCCCGTGCTCACCAACCAGGACAAGGACGGGGACTATCTCATGAGCAATACGCCACAGCCACCTCGGACCAATGAGCCTTTGACGGTGATCTACGACGTGGAACCAAGGATGATGTGGCTATTCGAAACGCAGGCCGGTGTCTGGAGACGCATTTTGATGAACATCTTTGGAAATGCTCTGAAGTACACTCGGTCCGGTCACATTGTGGTCTCCTTGAAGTCCACCATGCCTACCACCACTAAGCCCAAGAGACTATCTGCTACAGATCCCTTCAAGCATGAGCTTGCCGGGATTGTTCTCAGTGTGAAGGACACCGGACAGGGCATCGACAAGGAGTACCTCAAAAGCAACATATTCAAGCCGTTCTCTCAGGAGGATCCTTTGTCGCCTGGGAGCGGATTGGGACTCAGCATTGTATATCAAGCTGTGCAAACAATGGGAGGGACGATTGACATCAATTCCACAAGGGGGTTTGGAACGGAGGTAACGGTGAGTGTAGATTTGTTGCGGAGTCCGACCCCAGCACCCAATAGTGACCGGGAGGCGCGCACGATTCATAAGGCTCAACAGTTCTCCCGGGGGAGATCAATTGGCTTGCTGGGATTCAATGGGCCCGAAAAAGCCAAGGACGATGGACTCGCTCTGCTGCGGGCTTCGCTCACTAGCATCTGCCAGGACCACCTCGGCATGCAAGTCGGCCATGTCTCGTGGGATTCGAGCGATGCACCGCTCTACGACGTGTATATAGTGCAACACTCAGATTTTGCACATGTCGATAGTACCTGGGCCACTATAACGGGCAAAGCCTTGGCGACCGGCGTGGAGCCTAAGGGCCGACCCCCGGTGGTGGTAGTCTGTCCCACTCCGCAGGAGGCGCAGAAAATGGCTGCCACCGGTTACCGTAGCCCTTCGTCTGCCATCTATGAGTTCGTCAGCCAACCCTGCGGGCCGACCAAGATGGCGACCGCGATCATGACTTGCATCCAGCGGCGTGAGCAGCAGCAGACGCAGTCGGTGACCGCCAAAATGGATGCCACGCTGGAGGAGGAACCCGGTACGCAGCCAACCAAGTTCACGGCGGCCTATCACGCCTCAACCACAGACGTACAGACTAAGACATCGTCAGGTATGGACATCGCGCTGACCACCTCCACCACCATGGTCTCGACCACTACATCCAGCAAGGGGGATTCAGTGACCAAGATACTAGCGATCGAGACGACGAAACGAGCGCCCTCGGTCCTTCTGGTGGATGACAATGAGGTGAACTTGAAATTGCTGGTCGCATTCATGAAGAAGGCAAAGTTGTCGTATTTCACGGCCACCAACGGCTTGGAAGCCCTGGAGGTGTTCAAGGCCAACGCCGGTCAGATTCAGATCATTCTCATGGGTAAGGATGATCCACCAGCGTGTTGATGACTTACGTGCTAACATCCCCTAGATATCTCCATGCCGGTTATGGATGGCCTGGAGTCTACGCGGCAGATTCGTCTCTTCGAGAAAGCCCAGGAAGAACTCAGCCCGACCAGCATGCCCTCCGCCAAGCCCGCTGTGATTATTGCATTGACTGGATTGGGTAGCGCGACGGTCCGCCATGAAGCCCTCACGCACGGGGTGGACCTCTTCCTGTCCAAACCGGTTCGGTTCCAGGAGCTGATCAAACACATCGGCGAACTTGTCCATTGATCTTCTGGCCCCCTGCCTTTTCTTCAATTCTTTCCCGCAAAAGTTCCCACATACCCCTTTTTGTATTGATGCCACGGTTTTGGAGTGATGTATATATACGCGTGATGAGCCTGATGATGATGGAAGGCGCCTCAGAGACTTCCTTCGAATCAATAGATACCTATACCAGTATGTTTTCTTCAAATTATCGGGCGAGACGTACGTTCACGGCTCTCCTTATGTATGTTCTCTCCATGTACAAACGCCGGGGATTCCATGTACTCATGGACACTCATGGACGACTCCATCTATTCCCCATGCTCCGCTCGCTTCCACGTACCACGGACTTGGATCATCGGCGGCTCCCATCGGCGATAAGAACACGACTAACGCGAGTAGTTTGGCCACCGTCGCTTAACGCCGAACGCGGATGACCTCCCCATACCGACAGGACCGTGAACCAGCACACCCCTCCGCTTCTGCTATCTCTTACTCTATTGTATGCAACCCCCCGCGAGGAACCGGCGAACCACA